AAATAATAACAATACAAACTCACACCATCTTTACTCATAAGAAATTAAATGAAATGGGGTTTAACGCCCTACTGTTCTGCTCCTACTGGGCTAATGAAGACGGGCATACACCATACAGTGTGCTATGAGGAAAATATTGCCTGGATAGCTGCACTTTGGCCTACTCTTATATCTTTTACGTGCACGCGATGGACCTTGGTTTTACTTCCCATCCGGTTCTCGGTCCTGAACATGCACACATTAAACCACTAGATCACCCACCCACCCCTTTGTCAGGTACAATTGACACATTTATTTCTGATCCTAAACACAGAAAAGATAGTATTAAAAACAATACTCAAGATTAGGTACAATATATAATAGTATTAAACCAATACCTGTCTCAAGGATACAGGTACAATATATAATAGATAGTATTAAAATCAACACCTGTGGTCGTTTAACACCTGAGAGTTAAATAAAGGGAAACTCGTTTAAATATTGTTTTATGATCTATCAAACCTACAACTATTACCTTGTCTATTATAGTTTAAATATTGTCAAACCTACGGCTAATAAAAGGAATAGAGTGTTCTTTCTATAGGAAAAGATCAAGAAGGCTTGAGGCTGTTTTATTGATAATCACAATAAAATATATGTGAAAGTATTTAACCATTAAAAACACAACACAGCCTCCTCTCTCCCACTCCCACTCCCAAGTTTGCAGTATACTATGTAGCCTCCTCGCTCCCACTCCCAAGTCTGCAGTATACTACATAGCCTCCTTGCTCCCACCCCCAAGTCTGCAGTATACTACGTAGCCTCCTCGCTCCCACCCCCAAGTCTGCAGTATACTACGTAGCCTCCTCGCTCCCACCCCCAAGTCTGCAGTATACTATATAGCCTCCTCGCCTCCACTCCAAGTCTGCAATATACTACATAACCTCATCCCCCCAGTCTGGGCAAAATTAACCTTATAGAACACTAATGGCATAAGCTTTTCTACATTATAGGCTGGTTGGTGTAGAAAAGTAGGATGTTAAACCCCATTTCATCTCCTTTCTTTGCTCCTGGATGAGTAACATGAAATATGTTTTTATTTCAACCCTATTACGTATGTATTCTTCTGTGAATTAGATCCATGTGTTTGGTACATAAGGCATATGGCGTCGTTTCCATTTATCAGTAGTACAGGATGGAGGGCCTGATAAAGACAGCCGTCTAGTCGTTCGGATGGGATAAAAAAAACCTAGGTCCTGTGTATACATTGGCATGCACGTAAAAGATCCCTTGGCAGTTGGAATCCGATATAAGAGTAGGCCATAGCCATAGTGCCACTGCCTGGGCAAAATTTCCCTCATAGCACACTGTATGGTGTATGCCCGTCTTCATTAGCCAAGTTTAGGAGCAGAACAGTAGGATGTTAAACCCTGTGTCATCTAAAGTTGGTTTAGGTACGTCTTTCGACGGCTCAACATATTCTGGAATAAAGTTCTCTTTTCAAATTTTGACAAACTGGGCGTAGTACACTACATACGAAAATACATCAGATTCTGGAATACGGTGCCTTTTTGAAATTTGGACAAATTGGGTGTGGTAGTGTACATACGAAAATACATCAGATTCTGGAATACGGTCCTCTTTTGGAAATCTTTGATAAATCTTTGACAAATTCTGGAATAAGGTAGGGGGGTTGGATGGCTGAATGGTTAGCGTGCGCGCGCTGTATCATAAAGTCTGTCTTTGAGTCGACTGCCGTGGTTTCGAATGCCCGGTTGTACGTGACAAGGAGTAGGGTCGCCTGTCCAACCTCGTGGGTTTTCTCCGGGTCCTCCGGTTTCCTCCCACTGCTAAAGACCCCTACGCGCAAGCAAATTATGTAAATAAAATTAAACCATATGTTAGTCCCGAAATGACCTAGTTTGTGTCGAGTGGATGTTAAACCCCATTTCTCTCTCTCTCTCTCTGGAATAAGGTGCCTTTTTGAAATTTTGACAAATTGGGTGTGGTTCATACAAAAAGGTTCTGGAATAGGGTGTCCTTTTGATAAACTGCACTAGATGCATGTTGTTATAAAGAAGATAAGTAAATTGTTATAAAACTATTCTATTTTTCCTGCCTGTGAATTATAAACATAATATTTATCTAATATCGAAACTTTAAACCGAATATGGTATGAATATCACCGCCTAACATTTGAACATTTAAAAGAAAATATTGAAATAAACCAATACTTGTGTTGATAACTTTGTCACTTGAGGTGCAAACCGTTTTGAAGTTTAACATTTAACACTGTTTTTCTCAAGGTTGCAGTCTTCAGGTGATAGAGTTACCTGTCGTTTATATAGATATACAGGTGTCTTCAGGTGATTTATATAAATCGTACAGGTGTCATGTGTAGGTTATATAACATAAACATTGATATAATAAATTTATGTGCTTATTAGAAAGTTTAAAAAGAAAAGTGAACAGAGGAACTAGAGGTTTCACCTTCGTGGCTCTACAATAAGGTTGTGTATAGTCCATGGAGACACACCAGTCTACAGAGGCACCACTATATTAGGGCTCTTCATAGAGACACCTCTGTTGTAGGGTGGTCCATGAAAACACTTCTGTTGTAGGGTGGTCCATGGAGACACCTCGGTTGTAGTGTGGTCCATAGAGACACCTCGGTAGCACCTCTGTTGCAGGGTGGTCCATAGTGTTACCATAGATTTTATTTTAATATATATTCATTATTTAATTTGAAGTTGCAATTTTTGACATGTTTCTATCAAATTTGATGCCTTAGGCTTAACACAATTCGTCATCAAAGTATGAATTGTTATATCTCATAGACATGTACCTGAATGAGACAATTTATCAATAAATTTCTTTTTGTCGTATTTATATACTGGTACAAGCTGGTACAATTAATCACAAGTTTTTAAATTTTAACTGCTCCTATCCTAGTTCAATATGACTTCGATGCTATCTGTATTTGACTATTGTTTGATAGTGTGGGAAAATGCTATCTAACATAAATTATATAATTTTTCAAAACTACAAACAGAGTACAGCTGGAAGTGTTCTTGATGCACCAAAGGAAATTCTGTCCATATTTCATCTTACTTGTCATTAATAAATAACACTGAGCAAATCATCGGTTGGTGTGGCTAAGTATTCTTCCGTCTCCTGGACAATAGAGAGGGAGAGAGAGAGAGAGAGAGAGAGAGAGAGAGAGAGAGAGGATATGGTCCGCTCAACACAAACTAGGTCATTTCGGGACTAACATATGTTTTAATTTTTATTTCAATAATCCACTTGCACTTAGGGGTATTTAGCAGTGGGAAGAAACAGGAAGACCCGGAGATAATCTGTGAGGTTGGAAAGGCGACCCTAATCCTTGTCACGTACAACCGGGGAATCAAAACCAATCAAAACCACGTCAGTTGACTCAATGACAGACCTTATGATACAGCACGCACATGCTAATCATTCGGCCATCCAACCTCCATAATAGATTATTTAACTATGACAAACTGAGCTACTGCAGCGCTCAGAAAACTATAACTAATATCAAAATCATATTGTGTGTTGCAGATATACACACAGAGACCAGGTCAATTCGGGACTAACATATGATTCAATTTTATTCCATTAATACGCTTGCGCGTAAAGGGTCTGTAGTTGGAGGAAACCGGAGGACACAGAAAAAACCTACAAGCTTTGACAGGTGACCAAAATCCTTGTCACATACAAGCGGGGAATCAAAACCATATTATTGGCTTAATGACAGACTTTATGATGCAACGCGCACGCGTCAACTCTTCGGCCCCTCAAACCCCCCTTGTGTATTATAACATTTTATCTGGTCGTACATACACAGGTTAGAACGTAGCCATATTAACTGGTACCGAGGAGGGCTATAATCAAAATGAACTTAATATTTGAATAGACAATGTTTTTGTTTATTTTAGAATCAAATCATATTGTATATTATCAAACATACATTATGCATGAGGTAAATCTGCCTATTGCAGGTCTTTCTTTTAGGCCTGAAATGTTATCTTAATTATTAATTAGACATTAATTAACTTATCCAGACCATAATCAACTCTAGATGGCATCGCTAGCCTGTGATATTTACTGGATTTGAATCCGATCTTTTGCTCAACGCTCATCAATGTTTAAATCCAAAAATGTTTTGTATTGTACTGACTTTAGTGATGATCATCGAGGCTAAGCCTAAAATTCGATTGCTAATATCTTGATTCAGAGTGAAGCAATTTGACTGATATTTTGAGCATATTCCCTTTACAATATCTAGTTTTTAACTATTATAGTGAGAACTACCACCTCTTTATCTAATCTTCCATAATGTCCCTTTGAATTTTATCTGCTTAGTGCGAACCGGTACTATAATTGCCCATAATCAAAATATTTAAAAGTATTTATCGGGTGGTTATTTCCAATAAAAGTATGGCAATTTTGGTATATATACATCCAATCTTACTAGAAAAAAACTGGATTCCCCGAAAAACACCCATGGAGCGTATACAGGACAAAAATGTAAGGGTTCCCTTAATTGACAGCCCGACGATTAGGAATTTCTGCATGCGTGATGTCAAAGGTCACACGCAAACATTGAGCGATTGATGTACAAGTTGACGTACAACACTTTCTGAGATAAAAAATGACAGAAAAAGACACGGGTAGTGGATAATCCGAGAATTTAATTGAGATTCGATATTTGTAATAAATGGTAAGCGATTAAAGACAACATCGTCTTATGTATGCAATGAATTCTCCTCTGACTTCTGACAGAGGTAAGTCACGTGACGTAAACATGACCTGGTTTGATCAAATTTTTATACCAGGGCATTCCTTGGGAATTACAGTGTTTGAGAAGGATTTGAAGCAAAATTATGATAAATTAATTACTTTGAATATGTTTTTAGTCCATATATACAATTAAATCACCCAGTTTGTACATGGGAATGTATCTTTAAGTATGTGATTATTTTGTTTGTTTATTTCAGAATCAACTATGAATTAAGTGGAGGAAGAGCGTATTGGTTTCATGTTGTAAATGTTATATTACACTGTATAACGACTGGTCTATTTACGTATCTCCTACACGATGTCTTCAATATCTCCACTACAGCATGTTTCTTCACCTCGTTACTCTTTGCTGTTCATCCTATACACACGGAAGCTGTGAGTAAAACAATCCTCTTTTGTATAGATGTATTATGTAAGAGCTAAATCTGTCTATTCATGGCCCCGAGTTCACAAAGCATTCTCAGACTTAAGTTAAGAATTTACTCAACTTTCAGTCACTATTTACGAGAAATATCTTTGATCCAGAAACACAAAACTTTGCAAATAGTTTCTTATTGATGTATTTGATACATTAAAACAACAAAAGTTTTATAAAGGGCAATATTTTAATTAAAATAAGGCAAACATTTTTGAGTAAATTCTTAACTTAAGTCTGAGAATGCTTTGTGAATTCGAGGCCTGGTCTTTGTTCTCGCATCAAATGTTTTATGAATTATTGATAAGACATTTATTTCATTGAGTCGCATTTATGAAAAACGACTTCCGAGGCCTGCTTCACGAAAATTTAACTAAGATAAAATCCAAATTTTAGTGATTTGATTGGGTAATATTAGATTGATTTTAGTGCTTAGCCAATCAAAATTAAAGTATCTACTAAAATTTGGATTTTATCTTTAGTTAAGATTTTGATAAACGGGGCCCTGGTTTATTAGCGTGCAATGTTTCGACGATTATACTCTCATCTTTATCAAGCAAATGATAACATATTATACATAAATCCCTAAATATATATACAATAAAAGGAAGCCATAAATATACATTATAACAAGCAATTTATTCATATGACAAGCCCATAATCAACTCTCTAGCACATCGGATGGGACAAAAAAACTAAGGTCTGATGTAGTCATTGTCATGACTGTAAAGGAACCTTTGACAGTTGGAATTCACTGGAAAATTATAGGCAGAAATGCCACTTTCCAGACAAAATTTCCCTCATAGCACACAGATTGGAAAATACTTGTCTTTGTTAGACAGGTTGGGGCAGAAATGTAGAATAAACATGATATACCTGTTGACTAACAATATATTTTTGTTTATCTACCTGAAGGATATATACAGGTAAACTAGTCTTTTATGTAAAAGGTTAATTAGTATAAAATGACATATCTAAAATAATTTATTATTCTAAATAAATACCATCAGTTGAAAACCTTTTACACGGTCTGAAAGAGATCTGTATCTGTCAACTTTACATTGCTAATGAATTATTCACACACAAAAAATATTCCAGTATTTTAATATCTGCAGGTAATAATCAAGGTTATGGTTATCATGATAACTTTTTTATTTTCTAACGATATTTATTTAATCAATATTTACCTAATCTAAAGGTACAATACGTAATTCTGGGATCTGGAAATAAGCCGGAGATTATATAAATTCATTTCCCAAAACGTTCCTTCAGTGTTCATTTAAAATGCATCAAAAAAAATAAAAATTGTCAACAGTTGACATCCATATTTAATATATTATATTGGAGTAAACAGTAGATGGTCACCCTTTATTAGAGCCGCTGTGGCTCAGTGAGGAAGTTGCTTGCTTACTTAAACCTGGCGAGACTTGACTCAATGACAGACCTGATTCTACGCGCACACATGCTCAGTGAGGAAGGCACTGGCTCACTAACGTGGTGGCGCAGGGTTCGATCTTGGTGTTGGCGTATTAAATTCCCCAGGATTTTTTCAGGGTGGTTTCCCCTTTTCATTGGTGCAGGAGGGAGGGCCTGACAAGGACAGCTGTCTAGTCATTTGGATGGGATGGAAAACCAAGGTCCTGTCTACACATTGGAGTGCTTGTAAAAGATCCCTTGGCAGTTGGAATTCTATATAACAGTAGACTGTAGCGCTGTTGCTCCAGACATAGCACACTGTGTGGCGTATGCCCTTCTTTATTAGCCCCATCGGAGCAGAACAGTAGGGCTTTAAACCCCATTTCATTTCATTCATACAGAAGATAAAAAGTTGTTTAATCTTTTGTTGGTCACGCTTCAGTTGTTGACATACGATAAACATCACACTATATTCTATTGAATTATGTTAATCTAGGGGTTTGTCCAACATGAATAAATAACATCCTGGATAATAGAGAAAAGGATAAATCCAGATCAACAGGACTTAAATTATAAATGAATGAGCTATGGTGTATCACATTAACTTCAATATTTCGGTGCACCACACGACACAGGCCAATAGAATTATTTGTTGGTTTCTCATTAAAGATACATTATGGGAGATTAGATACAAAGCTGACAGTTCGCACTATAATAGTTAAAAACTAGATAATGTAAAGGGAATTTGCTGAAAATTTCAGTCAAATTGATCCAATCTGAACCGAGAATTTAGCGATTGAATCTTGGGCCTAACCTCGATCATCATTACTAAAGTCGGTAGGATAAAAAACATAGTCTTGATTATCCATTTCTTCACTTAATCATAAATGAGTGTTGAGGGCCAGATCGGATCCTAATCCAGTAAATATCACAGGCTAGCAATGACATCAAGAGTTGATTATGGTCTGAATAAGTTAATTAATGTCTAATTAATAATTTAGATAACATTTCAGGCCTAAAGAAATACCTGCAATAGGCAGATTTAGCTCTTGCATAATGTATGTTTACCAATTTACGGCATTACATGAAAATTACATAGCGCCTTCCTTGATTTCACTGATACAACGGTCTTAATGTCAGTACCTCTCTATGGCACCTAATTGGCGCACACGGCAAAATGCCAATCCGTAGATACGTAGATTTAAACATCAGGCATCTTTAAATTTGTTTTAGTCCCTGTGATATCAGATATGTTTGATCTTATCAAAAAAAACCCATGTTGTTAGCTAGAACTAAGTAGGTACTGTTTGATATATATATCATAAAATTAAACATCAGAAAGTTGATATGTTAGTTGATAAATCTCAGATTCAAATCATAAAGAATGTGATTTTAAGGGGGTTATAAAGGATCTTGATTTAATTTAAAATCAAGGGTCCACTTACCAGCAAGAGATAAAAGATATATCAAATTCCATGTTTGATCTTCTTGTTGAATAATGTCTCATGTTACCTGTAATTGGTAAACTCAGGTGTGTTTATTTACCTTTTGTGTTACCTGTAATTTTAAGTACTTTTAAGTACATACAGAGTTGACGTACTCTTCCATTTATATATTTGTGTGAGCAGTATGGGGGCTGGGTGGGGTTATTGGTTTTAATTGGAGTGGAGGGGTGAGAGAGGGGGGGGGAGGGTATTGGTTGTGATTGAAGCCTTGGTGGGCTGGGTTGGGTGATTGGTTTTGATTGAGGCTTTGGTGGGCTGGGTTGGGTGATTGGTTTGATTTGGGGCTGGGTGGGGTGGTTTGTTTTGTTTTGAGGTTGATGGGGGTGGGGGATGATGCGTGGGGTAATAAGTAATTGACTTTGATTTAATTTATCCCCTTTAAAGTGATCACTGTGCAAGTGTGCTTTGTTTTGGTGATGTTGGATTTATCTGATGCCGCCGTTCTTCATTTGAGAGATTTGTAATCCCTTGCTAACTACAAAATTGTGAAAGTTGAATCTCTAATATCTAAAAATCAGTCCAAACATGGTTCAAGTATGTTCAGTATTTATAAAGATATGTTGAATTGAAAATTTGTCAAACATACATTATGCAAGGGTCAAATCTGCCTATTGCAAGTCTGTCTTTAGGCCTGAAATGTTATATAAATGATTAATTAGACATTAATTAACCTATCCAGACCATAATCAACTCTCGATGCCATCGTTATTTTTGTGGATTTTAATACATTTTGTAATTTAATGCAAAAATAAAAAATCGAGACTTTGTTTATTATGGTACCAACGTTAGTAATGACGATCGAGGTTAGGACTAAAATTGAGTCACTAATATCTTGATTCAGACAGTTAAGAGTAAAGTAATTTGGCTGAAATTTTTAGTTTATTCTGTTTTCATTATCTATTTTTTAACTACTATAGCGAGAACTGTCAGCTCTTTATCTATTCTTACCTAATGCCCCTTTCAATTTTGATTCCCCGGTTGTATGTGACAAGGAGTAGGGTCACCTGTCCAACCTCATGGGTTTTCTCCGGGTCCTTCGGTTTCCTCCCACTGCTAAAGACCCCTACGCGCAAGCAAATTATTGAATAAAATTGAACCATGTGTTAGTCCCGAAATGACCTAGTCGGTGTCGAGTGGAAGTTAAACCCCATTTCTCTCTCTCTCTCTCTCTCCTTTCAAATTTGACATGCACTTCAGATGATATATAGGATATAGTGAACATATGCCAGGGCAACTTGTAATTTTAATTGAAGTCTTTTGATAGGACTCTTTACATACAACTAAAAATTTTACTGAATCCAAGCAGAGAGATAGGACTCTTTATAATACCATTGAATCCAAGCAGAGAGATTCTCTACCATAGATATTGCGATTATAACTTTCATAATTAAATGTAATATAAAATAAACTTGAATACATTTTACGGTAAAAAATTTAATTTTGTTCAGAAAATGGAAATGACAATCTGTCTTTAAAGGGATCAAGCATTGATTCAGGAGGGGGGATGATAGTCGATTGGTTAGCACGTATGTGTTGAATCATAGGTCTGTCATTGAGTTGTACGTGACAAGGAGTTGGGTTGCCGTGGGTTTTCTCTGTGTTCTCCATTTTCCTCCAACTACAAAAGACCCAACGATTATTGAAATAAAATTAAACCATGTTAGTCCAAAAGTGACTTGTTTGTGTCCTGTGGATGTTAAACAAACTCTCTCTCTCTCTCTCTCTCTCTCTCTCTCTCTCTCTCTCACTGATTCAGGATTATTTACTTTAAGGTTTTGGGGGCTGATTAATTCAGAAAGGTCAAATTTCATTCAAATGAAGGAGGTCACGGTCTGTTTAATTTTCTCCTTGGCCGAAGGTCACTGACTATCAATTTATCAAAAATTTGTTATTTCCATTAGAAAGAGATTTGTTTGTGAAGACATGGATGATACTTGAGTTAATCTGCTTGTGTTAATACCCAATAAATACTAGAACTCATTCTCAAAATTCCTTCTTAATTCAAGACCCTGTTGACTGATGGTCCTTATAACCGTTGACAACTGGTCGTTATAAGTGTTTCCCACTGCTCCTTTATTAAAAGCTTGTTTATCAACCAAACCCTTTTCACCGGTCAACACCTCACAGGCCCTTTTTATCTGTCTTAAGAAAAAAAAAACTTTTGATAATTGATAAGCCCTCTTTTGAAATTCATACTATGTAGTGGTCAAACAGCAATTGACCGTTGAATGGACAAACTGACCATTGATAATTGATAAGCCCTCTTTTGAATTTCTTACTATGTAGTGGTCAAACAGCAAGTGACCGTTGAATGGACAAACTGACCAGAGGGTGATTTGAATATTGTCAACAAACGAAGACGTATGTATTGTTAACGTGTCTAGAAGTTAGATTAATTGGCTACTCGATCAGCAAATAATCGACGAATACTTTATTGATACTCACGTAGTTGTCGTGTCGACATTTTGATTAATTTGCCATCAATAACAATGACAAACAATAGCGTAGTACTTTACTTATTTATTTATTTATATTTGAAGAACCCTCAGGAATTTTTGTTTGCAAAAGATCGTCTCTTATTAGAAATATTATTTGTGAATTAAAGAATCCCCACTCAACAGTAGCACAACAGGCCGTAGTAACTAGGCTGGTATTACCTAGGTTTGGCCGAGAAAGTTCATTCAGATTTTCCGGCATGGTTCTCACTTGTCAGTGATTCAGGACGGAGGGCCTAACAAGGACAGCTATCATTTCATTATCTGGGCTGGTATCTTTTGTGGTGTTTTTGTTGATAGAAGTATCCTAGATGTTATTTTTATAAGTCGACACTTCGTATAAAAATTTTACGAACAGGCATAACAGCACTAGCAAAATTTCTTGTACTGGCGAAACTCCCTTAAATACTAGTGGTGAAACTACCTATAATTCCCTTTGTACTGGTGAAATTCCCTTGTACTGGTGAAGTTCCCTTGTACTGGTGAAGTTCACTCGTACTGGTGAAACTTTCTTCCACTAGTGAAACACCATTGTACTGGTGAAACACCATTGTACTGGTGGTGAAGCTTCCTTGTACTTGTGGTGAAACTCCCTTATACTGGTGAAACCCCCTTGTATTGGTGGTGACACCCCCTATACTGGTGGGGATACTCCCTTGTACTGGTAGTGAAACCCCCTTGTAGTAGTAGGGATACTCCCTTGTACTGGTGGGGATACCCCCTTGTACTGGTGAGGAAATACCCTTGTACAGGTGAAACTCCCCTGTACTGGTGAAGTTCCCTTGTACGGGCAAAACTCCCTTGTAATGGTGGTGTTTCCATGAAACTCCCTTAAATACTGGTGGTAAAACTCCCTTAAATACTGGTGGTGAAACTTCCTTAAATACTGGTGGTGAAACTCCCTCATACCGGGGAACATCCCATACGAGAGATTAGACCCCAATTTCTTTTCCAAGCCCAAAAATTCAATATGTATTTATATTTAAAGGGACTATTCCGATTTGAACAGAGTCTCAAAAATAAAAATCCGAGTACGTATGAAATTTAAGCACCAAAATATAGAGAAGTGGTGTATTTACCTTCTCTCAAAATTTCAGCTCAAAATATTGAGTTGTGTAACTAATTTCACATCCATCTATTTTTGTGTACATGAAGTCATTTTGTGGCCATTTTCATTGTGTTCGATAAAAGAATCAAATGGTGATAGATAGTCAAAGGTTACGCTTGGTCCATCTTCAATGGTCACCCTGCAGGGTTGTTGTTCAGGGCTTCAGGCAACGACTGAAAGAGACCATTTATCCCTTTTTGACCGTGCATAATGGAATATGATTACTATTTTGTACCCGCGACAATTACAGATTATATTTTGAACGGTATTCATGGACAGGTATTGAAGCTGTAAAATAGGAATGTAGATGGCTCCTTTGAAAAATGGATGAATGACGTCTCCTCTGTCTTGACTACCTGTCATATTTAACACTTTGAGTTGTAAATAGTTGTAATCCATGGAAATTATTTGACTTAAAGGAGCTAAATCGCTAATATTTGGGACCTAGAAATTGACCCAAATGGGTCGCAACGCATATAATAATGTAATCTGATTGTATATAAATTGATTTACATTCAATTGATTCCGTTTTGACTCTAATTTCAAATTAGTTATGTCCAGTGAAATAAGGCATGTGTCTCAACCCTATAGCAATTTCTAGCGTCTGGTTATTCCAGTCTCCAGTTGAATATGTCTAGCCTCGTTCTGTCTGGTCACTTGTTGCAATGACGCTAAAACACACTATGATACACAATTCGTGTACCAATGGTAAAATGTTTATTTTGTCTTAAATATTAGATATCAGAAGCCTGCCTTTTCCTGGTAAGATCACAACATCAATGTTGATTTGAATTGACAAATAATTCGTATTTTACACGTGTAAGACTTTGGATGATATTGAGTTAGAGACTTAGCTACTTTAATAAAGTGTTTTCCTGAAAATGGGTGAATATGACCCAGGAATGAACTGAGAAGAAGCCTGTAACCCTAAATAAGTTCTCACATAGTGGGGTTTTTTTTTTGGTGGGGGGGACTTTTGTTTTTTTTTAATTATATCATTTTAAGATTTCCAAACACTAAATTTGTGCATAATTCAAAAAGATCAGGATATACTCCTATAGAAAACAACATTTGCAGTCAGTTTTGAACAAAAAAATTTGCACTCACGAACAAAGCTCTGACCCTAATTTAAACTCTTAATCAGCGGACTTATCTATTTTCATCCTGCATCCATGGAATTCACTTTTTCCTGGATCACAAGTTTTCTGAGAATTTGAATTCTTTAAAGAATATTTTCATAAACCAGAAAACCATTTTGCTAAAACATATGAAACTTGAATGGCATTTAGCACTTTAGCACAATAAAAAAACAACAACACTATTTTCAATAGCAAACATCAAGGTGTATTTGTAACAAGCTAATGAATGTTATCCATATAAATTAAAATTGTGGTTTTTTTTACGTTCCAATTCTAATATATGTACTAATCATTTCAGGTATCAGGAATTGTGGGAAGAGCTGATATTCTGGCAGCAATCTTTGTATTGGTGTCGCTTATCCTGTATATGAGGTAAAACTACTTAAATTTCTCATAATTTTGCAAATCATACAATAGTCCCCTTACATTTTGATAGGGTCATCAGAGTTTTGATAGGGTCATCAGAGTTTTAATAGGGTCATCAGAGTTTTAATAGGGGCATTAGAGTTTTAATAGGGTTGTCAGAGTTTTGATAGGGTCATCAGAGTTTTAATAGGGTCATTAGAGTTTTAAAAGTTCATCAGAGTTTTAATAGAGTCATCAGAGTTTTAATAGGGTTGTCAGAGTTTTAATAGAGTCATCAGAATTTTAAAAGTTCATCAGAGTTTTAATAGAGTCATCAGAGTTTTAATAGGGTTGTCAGAGTTTTAATAGAGTCATCAGAGTTTTAAAAGTTCATCAGAGTTTTAATAGGGGCTTCAGAGTTTTAATAGGGGCATCAGTGTTTTAATATAGTCATCAGAGTTTTAATAGGGGCATCAGAGTTTTAATACAGATTTAAAAATAACTAAATATATCAAGAAAGATGAAAATGGTTTGAAAACTTTATTTTAGCTTTAATATATCAGGAGATAAGTACTTCTTGATGGAATATATCTTGAATTAGGTGGATAATGTATTGTAATGTTAATTATTGGAGAGTTGATTGTCCCACGTTATAACAATAGCAGCCATTATTGTCTTAACAATGATGTTACTTGTATCTGTCACAACATGATTTATTGTTTGTTATCTATCATACGCATACTGGCTGCCATTTTGTAACGTCTGATCATAGAATCACATTGTGTTTATTGATTGATCTGTTTGGACACCCGTAATAGATCGGGAACATATTGATATATGTCGTTATTGTGACCAATTGGAGATTAATCTATCACATTTTCTTATGGTTGGATTCATCTTCACAAGGGGGCATAGGATGGCTGATTGGCTTAAAGTGCGCGCTTTAGATAAAAATAACAAAAGTTTTGATTCCCTGCTTGTACGTGATAAGGAGTAGAGTCACCTTTCCAACCTCGTGGGTTTTCTCTGGGTCCTGAGGTTTCCTCTATCTGCTACAGACCCTACGCTCAAGCAAATTATTGAAATAAAATTGAACCATATGTTAGTCCCAAAATGACCTAGTTTGTGTCGAGTGGTCGTTAAACCCCATTTCTCTCTCTCCCTCTTATCGTTTTCATGGAAAAATGACGAAGTGAGTTCGCCAGTCGGTTAATTTTACAGCTAGTCAGTCCAGACTGGTCGTTACAATTGAACTAAAAGCATAGGTCCCAAAGGGGGGTGGATGGCTGAATGGTTAGCGTGCGCGCGCTGTATCATAAAGTCTGTCATTGAGTCGACTGGCGTGGTTTCGAATCCCTGGTTGTACGTGGCAAGGAGTAGGGTCGCCTGTCCAACCTCGTGGGTTTTCTCCGGGGCCTCCGGTTTCCTCCCACTGTTAAAGACCCCTACGCGCAAGCGAATTATATAAATAAAATTAAACCATATGTTAGTCCCGAAATGACCTAGTTTGTGTTGAGTGGACGTTAAACCCCATTTCTCCCCTCTCACAGGTCCCGAATTCACAAAAGCATTCTCAGAATGTACTCAACTTTCAATCACTGTTTATGAGATATATCTTTGATCCACAAAACACAAAACTTGGCACATAGTTTCTTATTCATGTATTTGATACATTAAAACAACAAAAAATTGTAAAGGGCTAAGGTGAACAATTTTGAGTAAATTCTTAACTAAAGTCTGCGAATGTTTTGTGAAACCGGGGCCTGGTCTGGAGTGATCACGAAAAGTTAAAGGAGATTATAATGTAATAAATATAATTTGTTTCTAGGGTTACCGAGACAGATGATGATTATGCCGATGATGATTGTGATTTTCCTGTTACTAAGCAACCATTATATCTAGCTGGTAGTATCATGTCTGCCGTGGTTGCCATGTTATGTAAGGAACATGGTATTATGGTGTTAGTAATAATGGCTGCTGTTGATTGTCTCGTTATCTGTCGTAAAGGTGTCAACAGGTAAGAACATGACATAAGATAATACAAGTAATTTATCTAGGATTTCAAAATTTAATGTAAACTTCAAATGGTCATAACTTATGACTCATAAGTAATAACCAGTCAATTTAAAGACTACATGAATCTGTATATTTTTGTAAGATTTCTTTGATTAAACATACACTATACAAGAGCTAAATCTGCCTATTGTAGGTCTTTCTTTAGGCCTGAAATGTTATCTAAATTATTAATTAGACATTAATTAACTTATCCAGACCATAATCAACTCTCGATGCCATGGAGAACAATTTGTGAAGGATGATATTAAACACAAAAATGGATAATCGAGACTATGTTTTTTATCGTACCGACTTTAGTAAAGATGATCGAGGCTAGGCCTAAAATTCAAACACTAATATTTTCAGCATATTTCCTTTACATTTTCTAGTTTTTAACTATTATAGTGAAAGCTGTCAACTCTTTACCTAATCTCGCATAATGCCCCTTTTAATGTTCTACTTTTATACACAAACTGGGATAATGAACACGGACATACACCATACAGTGTGCTATAAGGGAAATATTGTCAATGGTTCTTTTACATGCACAAGACCTTGTTTTTTTGTCCTATCCTATCCATCTATTTTAATTAGAATTATTGACTATATATAAATAATAATTCTAATCTATATTTTTATAATATATTTTTTCCTATCCGAACAACTAGATGCTATCTGTCTATTTTAATTAGAATATAATCTATATTTAAAATATATTTTTTCAGGATAATATCTAGTCCAAGATCTTTTAAACAAGCTGGTCAGTTGGCTTCAAGAATTTTGATTATATCTTTTTCTGTAAGTAAATTCAATTCAAATCTTTTTGAGCTATATTGGGGGTTTAGTGGCTAAGTGGGTAAGACGCTGGCTCGCTAGCCTGGAGGTCGGGTGTTCGATCCCTGCATTGGCCAAGAAAGTTCATCCAGATTTTCCGGCGTGGTTCCCCCTTGTCAGTGATGCAGGATAGAGGGCCTGACAAGGACAGCTGTCTAGTCCTTCGGATGAGATGAAAAACCGAGGTCCCGTGTATACATTGGAATGCACGTAAAAGATCCCTTGGCAGTTGGAATTCGATATAAGAGTAGGCGATAGTGCTGCTGCCCGGGCAAAATTTCCCTCATAGCACACTGTATGGCGTATGCCCGTCTTCATTAGCCCAGCATAGGAGCAGAACAGTAGGACGTTAAACTCCATTTCATTTCATTTTCATTTTTTGAGCTATCTTTGACATCATCAACCACCTCAATTTTTGACTCTTCCCTGAAATTCTGACTTTATTTCATGTAAATTGAAAGTAGGATGCCTGAAACGATAGTTTTATTCTTTATTTGTTTGTCTTACAGTTTTTGACGTTGATTTATCTGCGATTTATGATTAACGGAGGCTTACCAAAGTTTATAGAACAAGATAATCCAGCATCTTTTTCATCCAGTCTTTTAACGAGGTTAGTGTAGTCTCCATCCAGCCAGCCCATCCCATCCCATCCATCCATTTTATCGAGGTTGGTATAGTCTCCATCCATCCATCCATCCATCCATCCATCCATCCACCCACCCATCCTTTCATATATAATCTCAACCGAATATTATCAACCCATCTAAATCATTCACCCATCCAATTACTCATTTATCATACAAATTACCTACCCATCTAAATGACCCACCAATCAAGTTATTCACCCATCAGCCATATTATTAACTCATATGAATGATTCATGCACCCAATTATTCATTTATTACGCAAATTACCCACCCATCTAAATGATTCACCCATCCAATTATACATTTATCATACATATTCCCCACCCATCTAAATGATTTAAACATTGTAATTATATCTAGTCATCATCTAAATTACAACTTAATTAATTGATAAATCCAGAAAAGAACCCTAACACTAACCCAAAATTCTTGAAAAAATTATTTATTAAAAACAACCCCTATTACTCCCTGATTGTCAGTAAATATCAGTGTTGATATTTTTCAGAATTTTGACCTATAATTACCTCCTGGCGTTTAATTCCTGGTTGCTATTGGCGCCCATCAAGCTGTGTTATGATTGGCAGATAGGAAGTATACCATTGGTTGAAAGCGTTGACGATATCAGGAATATATCAACTATAACGTTCTATGTCTTCCTGGTATTTATATTGGTGAAATGTTATTTCACGTTTAGATCTCAGGTAAATATATTCACTGTTTTAATCACCAGGTGAAAAAATTACCTGAGTTAAACATACATTATGCATGAGGTAAATCTGCCTATTGCAGGTCTTTATTTCGGCCTGAAATGTTATATAAATTATTAATAGATTATCCAGACCATATTCAGTTCTCGATGCCATCGCTAGCCTGCGATATTTACTGAATTTGAATACATTTGTGATGGATGATTTAACGTCATGATGATCGAGACTAGGCCTAAAATTCAATCGCTAATATCTAGGTTTAGAGTAAAACAATTTGGCTGAAATTTACCGCATGATCGAGACTAGGCCTAAAATTCAATCGCTAATATCTAGGTTTAGAGTAAAACAATTTGACTGAAATTTACCGCATGATCGAGACTAGGCCTAAAATTCAATCGCTAATATCTAGGTTTAGAGTAAAACAATTTGACTGAAATTTTCCGCATATTCTCTTTACATTATCTATTTTTTTAACTATTATAGCGAGAATGTCAGCTCTTTATCTAATCTTCCATAATGCCCCCTTGGGTTTCTACTGCTGCAGTCAACGCTATACAATATATCATCTACAGTCTAAATTCTTATAAACATTCATCCTCGGTGTCCCCAGTAGTATCTACAACACCTGGGTCCATTGACAGGGTTCCGGCGTGGTTTCCCTTGTCAGTGGCGCAGGACAGAGGGCCTGACAAGGACAGCTGTCTAGTCATTTGGATGGGACGAAAAACCATGGTTCCATGTATACATTGGCATGCACATAAAATATCCCTTGGCAGTTGAAATTTGATATGAGTAGGCCATAGTGCCACTGAATGGGCAAAATTTCCCTCATAGCACAATGTATGGAGTATGTCCGTCTTCATTATCCCAGTCGGAGCAGAACAGTAGGACGTTAAACCCCATTTCATTTCATTTCATTTTTCTTTATTTTTATAAAAATATACAATCTATTTAACTTTTGGGAGACAGGTGTAAGGAATATGATTTAAAGAATTTAACCTTGAAATTCTGCTTATTTTATCTTGGAAAAGAAACCCATTCAATTCAATTTATTTCTTATTTTTCAGAAATCTGTCCAGAATATTCCATTAATAGCAGCATTATTGATCATTCTTCCATTTATACCGGCATCTAACGCCTTCATTAGAGTGGGTTTCGTCGTGGCAGAACGAATCCTATATATACCCAGGTATGTTTAAATATTCTCAGTAGTTTGTAGAGTTTCAGTGATGCCTGGGAGCCAACTTCTTGAGTGTATGTCCCCAAAATACAATTGTAGGGCCGACTCCTCCTTGAGTGTATGTCCCCAAGATACAAGTATAGGGCCAACTCCTTGGGTGTATGTCCCCAAGATTCAAGTATAGGGTCAACTCATTGACTGTATGTCCCCAAGATTCAAGTATAGGGACAACTCCTTGGGTGTATGCCCCCAAGATGCAAGTATAGGGACAACTCCTTGGGTGTATGCCCCCAAGATACAAGTATAGGGCCAACTCCTTGAGTGTATGTCCCCAAGATTCAAGTATAGGGTCAACTCCTTGAGTGTATGTCCCCAAGATTCAAGTATAGGGCCAACTCCTTGGGTGTATGCCCCCAAGATGCAAGTGTAGGGTCAACTCCTTGAGTGTATGTCCCCAAGATACAAGTATAGGGCCAACTCCTTGAGTGTATGTCCCCAAGATTCAAGTATAGGGTCTAGTGCTCAGAAATGTGATAAAGGAAGACATCTTAAATCTATAAAAACCAAACAGGACAAAGGGCATGGCAAGGAACAATGTCTAGTCCCTCAGATGGTAAGAAAAACCAAGGACCCATGACCCATTTTATACACATTAAAAAACCTTTGACAGTTGGAATCCAGTAGCTGCCTGGGCAAAATTTCACTCATAATGCTCCGTATGGCGTGTGCATGTCTTCATTAACCTAGTTAGTGCTGAACGGTATATACTACTGATAGTCGAAAACTTCGGTTTTACAAAATATAACGAGAGAGAAAGAAAAGGGTTTAACATCCACTCGACACAAGCTAGGTCATTTCGGGACTAACATATGGTTCAATTTTATTTCAATAATTTGCTTAATTGTGCGTAGGGATCTTTAGCAGTGGGAGGAAACCGTTGGACCCAGAGAAAACCCATGAGGTTCCACAGGTGACCCTACTTCTTGTCGAGTACAACCGGGAAATCGAAACCATGCCAGTTGACTCAACCTTATGATACAGGGTGCACATGCTAATCATTCGGCCATCCAATCCCCTACAAAATATAAACTGCTGCATCACTGTCCAATGACCTTGACTCATATAAACATTTCATTGAGCTGAATTTTTATGCAGATTTGATAAACCCACAATATTTGTCCAATGAGTTGACTCGTTGAAGCGTAAGAATGCTTTTTAGTTAAACATCCCCATTATAAAATCTATGAATAACAAATTAAACAATCGCTGCATTCTCTCGTAAATAAGCAATAAAACTGTAATTTATCCAGGTCTAGAATCTTTTAATAAAATAAACCCACATTAATCACGCTCGGACAACTCACATCCTCCTCGCAAAAAAATCATTAAACCACGGGGTAACGGCCGATTTAACAGCTGAACCAAATGTTCAAATAACTTTGTATTTTTAAATGAAATAAAATTGATCTTCAAAAGTGGGATTAAAGTTTGTGGGTTTGGGATTAAGATTATGGGATTATTTAGTTAATCTGTGCCGTATGAAGGTGTGTATTAATGAAATGATTAACAGGTGCCCTGTCTCTGATTGGTTATTTGTATATATCATGCAGTTTAAAAGGTCTGTTGTTGATATTATATTTGAATAGATCTGGTATTGTTCATTATAAACTCTATACATCTATACATACATGTACTGTAAGTAATAGCAGTAGTAAGAAACACTTTTTTATTTTACCGTACTCACATAAATAAAACACTCAACATTATTTTCTCGCTCAGTCTAATTTAATTGGAGCATTTTGGACTGGCTGGTTGATTGGTCTAAAGTGTGGGCTTTAGATCGTGAGGTCTGTCATTGATTCAAGTGGCATGGGTTCGATTATAAGCTAGTATGTGACAAGGAGTGGTGTCGCCTGTCTAACCATGTGGGTTTTCTGTGGGTCCTCCAGTTTCCTCACACTTCAGGATCGAACCCTCAACCTCCTGGTTAGTGAGCCAGCACCTTCATCACTGAGCCACAGTGCCCCTCTCCTGTCACTGTTAGGTGACCGAATGTTTAACATGTGTGTGTTAGATCATAAGGCATTGAGTCAACTGGTGTGGTTTCGAATCCCCGGCTGTACATGACAAGGTGTAGAGTCGCCTGTCCAACCTCGTGGGTTTTCTCTGGGTCCAACGGTTTCCTCCCACTGCTAAAGATCCCTAAGCACAAGCAAATTATTGAAATAAAATTAAACTATATGTTAGTCCTGAAATGACCTAGTTTGTGTCGAGTGGACGTTAAACCCTTTTCTTTCCCTCTCTTTATATTTTGTAAATCAGAAGTTCGTGAATTTCAGCAGTATATACTGTTCAGCATATAAAATACAATAATATATTGGTATATTTACCATGTTATAACAAATATAGAATACAATGATAATATATTTACCATGTACATGTTGTATATATGTTATAACTCATATGAAATATAATGAAATATTTACCATGGTATATCACGTTATAACTCATATAAAATACAATGATATGTTGGTAAATAAAATGAAAATGAAATGAAATGAAATGGAGTTTAACGTCCTACTGTTCTGCTCCTAACCTGGGCTAATGAAGACGGGCATACGCCATACAGTGTGCTATGAGGGAAATTTTGCCCGGACAGCGGCACTACGGCCTACTCTTATATCGAATTCCAACTGCCAAGGGATCTTTTACGTGCACGCCAATGTGTACACGGGACCTCGGTTTTTCGTCCCATCCGAACGACTAGACGGCTGTCCTTGTCAGGTCCCCCCGTTCTGCATCACTGACAAGGGGGAACCACGCCAGAAAATCTGGATGAACTTTCTCGGCCAATGCAGGGATCGAACACCCAACCTCCAGGCTAGCGAGCTAGCGTCTTACCCACTTAGCCATGTGATCCCCTGATATGTTGGTATATATTATACTAGGGTATATACGGTATAACCACCGTGTGCCGTTGAATAAATAAAGGTGATCTATTGAGCGTACTGCATGCTGAGATGTGAAGCTTTATACATAGATAAAACATTATTCTATAACAAACTTTTAAACCAGTAAACTTTATAAAAAAACTTATTACATTATAAATCAAACATTAAGATATGCCGTTTGTATTCTCTCTGTCAAATAGATAACAGAGGTTCAAAACACAAAACAAACTTGAAAACTTTACCATACTTGACAGATCAAACAAAAACACTGAAGATTTTTTATCCATGAAATTTCATATTGTAAAAAAAAATGAAAAAAAAAATGAAACATTAATTTTATATTCTATAAGGATGTGATTCCTATCTTTTTTGTAAGAGCATACATGTCACTGACAATGTGGTCTAGACAAGTGAATTCATTAAACATATACATTATGCAATGATCTCATTAAAACACAGATCCTATTTTGTTTCGTTTTTTTTATAGTTCCAAATTTCGTTTTACTTGTCTTTACTACACTAGGATCTGGGAGAGTTGTTATATAACAGGCGTTCTAGTTAATGTGAAGAATTAGCCAATGAAAAGGTCTGTTATGGCGAGTACTTGGCGTGTTCTGCACGGAACTGTGAGTGAACCCCTGGAAACATCAACATTGTATGACCCTTGACGCGACCTCCTAGTACAACTGGTCAGATCAGAGGGCCTGACAAGGACAGCTGTCTAGTCGTTCGGATGGTATGAAACACCGAGGTCCCGGGTACACATTGGCATGCACGTAAAAGATCCCTTGACAGTTGGAATTCGATATAGGAGTAGGTCGTAGTGCCGCTGTCCGGGCAAAATTTCCCTCATAGCACACTGTATGGCGTATGCCCGTCTTCATTAGCCCAGTTCGGAGCAGAACAGTAGAACATTTAACCACATTTCATTTTCAAAATAAATACATGTAGCTGTAAAAACATAGCGCATAATGTATCAGCAGAAAACTAACCTCATTCAATGCATGAATAAATCTCAAATAAAAACAAATTATTAAAACGTATATACGAGACAGTACCTTTTCTTTTCATGCGATTATATACTCTATTGAATGATTGTGATTAGGTGGAGCCATTGAAATCATTCAATATGTCGATGTTAGCCTTGAATTAAAACCCTGCTTAACGGATCAGTCAATGGGGTGTTTAGTTTGTCATTGTTGAAAACATGCGATAGCCTGAGGGGGGTTGTGACATAGAGTTTTAAATGATACAAACCTACTTTTAAAGTAGCCATTATTGTAATTGATTTATAAAAAAACAACCAGTTATAGCACTATATTATTATCAGGGAGGTTGGATGGCCGAATGGTTAGCATGTGCGCGCTGTATCAAGGTCTTTCATTGAGTCAACTTGCGTAGTTTCGATTCCCCGGTTGTACGTGACAAGGAGTAGGGTTGCCTGTCCAGCCTTGTGGGTTTTCTCCGGGTCCTCTGGTTTCCTCCCACTGCTAAAGATCCCTATGCGCAAGTGAATTATTTTTATCCAAATAAATGAAATGAAATGAAATAGGGTTTAATGTTTTACTATTCTACTCTGACTGGGTTAATGAAGTCATTCATACACCATACAGTGGGCTATGAGAGAAATTTTGCCTGGAAAGCAGCACTACGACCTACACTTATATCGAATTCCAACTGTCGAGGGATCTTTTAAGTGCACACCAATGTGTACACAGGACCTCGGTTTTTCGTCCCATCCAAACGACTAGACAGCTATACTTGTCAGGCCTACCGTCATGCATCACTGACAAGGGGGGACCACGCCGGAAAATCTGGATAAACTTTCTCGGCCAATGCAGGGATAGAATCCCCAACCTCCAGGCTATCGAGCCATCGTCTTACCCACTTAGCCACCATGATCCCCGTATCCTGAATATGGGAAGAATGAAAGCTAGTCGACAATTTATTGAATACAGTACGATAAGTTGAAATAATTGCATGAACGACCGTAATTATATACAAATTTCTACTACTATTGTGTACCTCAGCCATCATTTTTAAATGTTTTTAATTTTAACTACACTTTTTATACCCCGACACCTTATTTTTTAAATATTTTTAATGTTAACTACGGAATGAAATTACATTAAGAATTTCTACAATAAAAATATAATCACGAAGTGGATGATACCAATTTCAGTTAATTGGCAACTCAATTTTTTTTGGCCACGTTTTCAAGGGTTGTTTTTTTGTGAGTTACTGGGTGTAATAGTTGAACACGTCTGCTATCTAGAGCAGAAACGCTGTGTTTATAAAATCACAATGGAGTCTTTATTAGATATTTTGCTAACGTTCAATTATCGTGTTACAATCTGTGAATTAGTTCCGCTTGAGGACAACCACAACTGATAAAAAGATAGAAAAACTGATCTTTTAATCTTTCAAATAAACCTAATGTTACGAGAAATCCTTTCATCGATAACATTAGGTTAAAAAAGAAACGGGAAAAGGGGTTTAATGTCCTATGTCGTTATTTATTGTAAGTACTCAGTCGAATTCCCGGTTGTATGTGTCCAACCTGGTGGGTTTTCTCCGGGTCCTCCGGTTTCCTCCCACTGCTAAAGACCCCTACGCGCAAGCGAATTATTGAAATAAAATTAAACCATATGTTAGTCCCGAAATGACCTAGTTTGTGTTGAGTGGACGTTAAACCCCATCTCTCTCTCTCTCTCTGTAAGTACTCAGTGTTTTGTTTCTTACTGTACAGAGGTTGTACGTGACAAGGAATAGGGTCCTTCCCGAAATGGGAAAAGGAGTTTAATGTCCCATACCGTTATTTCTTACAGTACAGAGGTTGTACGTGACAAGGAATAGGGTCGTTCCCAAAATAAAATAGTTTGTATTGAAGTAGCTAAGTTTCTTACTCAATATTTTCCATAATATTCGAAATTAAAAAAACATGAATTAGAATTCAATATTAATCAGTTTCAATCAATATTAATCAATTTCAATCAATATTAATCAATTTCAATTAATATTAATCAATTTCAATTAATATTAATGTTGTTATCTTGCTGTGAAACTATAGGATCCTAATTTCCAATTAACATTTTATAATCAGTACACGAGTCGTGTACCCTGTGATTTCGGGTGCCATTTTGTAATGAACAAATAAAAACTATTCTACAACACAATGTGAAAGTATTTAGTAAAGGCTGATTCACAAACGTCAAAATAATAATTTAAAAAATTCATATAACATTATGATTTCGGGTGCCATTTTGTAATGAACAAATAAAAACTATTCCACAACACAATTAGTAAACATAATTAGTAAAGGCTGATTCACCAACAACAAAATAATAATTGAAAAAACATTGAACAAATAAGCAGGCGTAAAACGACAACCTTCAATTTAAACTGTTCACATAATTGACTAAAAATAGTTGATTAGAAATTGCAATATTTTTTCAAAAATTTAATATAAATCACTTTACATACATTTATATTACATTAGATTTTAGAACCATTTTTGTCTATTTCAACTTAATTTCAAGGTTCCAAAAAATAGAGCCATACACCCTTCAAAGCCATCAATTCACTGCACAGTCCTGTTTCTGTGGTGATACAGGCGTCACTCAAATGGAAAACCAACTAACATGATCGGCTATATTCTACAAGAAATTTCAATGTCGCCACATTCTAAGACTATTTTAATATGAATCCCCCCTCCTCCCCAACCCTAAAAAAAACCCCTAAAACCACCTACACAAAAATATAATTGGGTATGATTGAGAATCACGATAGTGTTCTATTTAATGTCTGTCTATAGACACAGTAATGTAAATTCAGATAAATTACAATTTTATTTCATCGACTTTATTTTTTATTTCAGTCTTGGATTCTGTTTATTGGTTGGTCATGGTTTGTCTTGTGTCATCAAGAAATTCCCAGGAAAGAAATCCGTGTTTGTCTCCATGTGTGTTGCTTACGCCATTGTGTTATCACTACGAACTGTACATAGAAATCAAGTCTGGTTGTCAAGACAATCTCTGTTCATGTAAGTTCATCTTTTTATGTATCGTTGCTATGCACATAAGTGGATTCGATCATCCAGCAGAGAGAGAGAGAAAGAGAAATGGGGTTTAACGTCCACTCGACACAAACTAGGTCATTTCAGGACTTTAGCAGTGGGAGGAAACCGGAGGACCGAGAGAAAACCCACGGGGAATCGAAACCCTGCCAGTTGACTCAATGACAGACCATATGATACAGCGCGCATGTGCTAACCATTCGGCCATCCAACCCCCTCATCATCCAGCAGAACTTTGTTTCCAGTGATATTATTGGCTCCACTCATCTTGACTTTGGGTCTGACAAACAAAAACAGACAGGGACGGATCTACTGTGAAACTAACGAAGCTTGAGCTTCAGGACCCTTAATCCCTGATGGACCCCCCAGAAGCAACGAAGCCTGAGCTTCAGGGCCGCAATCCCAGATGGGCACCAAAAGCAGCGAAGCTTGAGCTTAAGCGCCCATAATTCTGGATGGTCCCCCCAGAAGCAACAAAACTTGAGTTTCAGGGCCCTTAATCCTAGATGGGCCCCCCAGAAGCAACGAAACTTGAGTTTCAGGGCCCTTCATTGCAGATGGCCCACCCCCCAGAAGTGACTTTAGTCCTCATTGCTCAAAATGTTAAGGACAGAGAGAAAGAGGGAGGGAGAGAGAGACAGAGAGAGAGATAGAGAGAGAGACAGAGAGAGAGGGGGTTTAACATCCATTTGACACAAACTAGGTCATTTCGGGATTTACATATGGTAACAGTGGTTGCACCAACCTCATTGCTAGTTGCGAAGGAAGTCTGTAACAATTGTTCAAGCTTTACAGCCCCCAAAATATACGTTCACCACTGCGAACAGAACACCTTGTTAAGCATATCTAATTCGCTGTCTTCTGCCGGTTTTTGTATGACCCAGCCTGATAATAATAATAAATAGAATTTTCAATAAACTGTCAGGCCGGTTTCCTAAATTTAAGACGAAGAAAAAATTCAAAGAGAGATTACCTACTTTGATATTCTTTTCTTAATCAAATGTGGAAATTTGATATTAACCGAAAAATACAATTGACACACCGTCAGATTAGCATAAACATTTGATACCTTTTCTCGGTCCTTTGTTCCGTTCTGTGACTGTATCTAGGAAGATCTGGTTTGGATAATAATCCATGGTCATTTGATACCATTCCTCTGTTTTTTGTTCAATTCTGTGACTGTAACATTACTAACAAGGATGATCTGATATGGATAAAGATCAATGGTCATTTGTTATATTAATGGTTACAGAAGCAATAGAGTTTTGACAGCAATAAAACTCTTTCTGAAAGTCCTCTCTGGTTACGTTTTGGACCAGAAACTGAAGAACATTGTCGTAAATATTGAATATTGTCATCACTGTCTTGGCTAACCAGTAATAATAGGGGGTTTCGACAGTAATAAACATCTTTCTGGAAATCCTATCTGGTTATTTTTCAGATCAGAAACTTAAGAACATTGACTGTAATTTTAGGGTTTAAAATGTCAACCGGTTGTCATCTCTTTTTTGGGGGGGTAGGGGTTGGATGGCTGAATGGTTAGCACACGCGTGCTGTATCATACGGTCTGTCATTGAGTCAACTGGAGGGCTTTCGATTTCCCGGTTGTACGTGACAAGGAGTAGGGTCACCTGTCCAACCTTGTGGGTTTTCTCTGGGTCCTCCAGTTTCCTCCCACTGCTAAATCAGGCTTTTAACTGACTCTGTGTATGCAGTCGTTAACATGTCCATAATCTTGTTGTTTATTTATGATTATATTGTCACTTTGTAAAGTGCCCCTGAACATGTTATATGAAAGGGCGCACTATAAATATGCTGTAATAATAATAATAATAATAAAAATAATAATAATCCAAAAACACAAAACTTTGCACATAGCTTTCTTGTTGATGTATTTGATACATTAAAGCAACAAAAGTTTTATAAATGGCTATATTTGAATTAAAACAAGGCCAACAATTTTGAGTTAATTCTTAACTTAAGTCTGAGAATGCTCAGTGAACTCGGGGCCCAGTCATTATGACTCAATGCTCTGCTCAATTTTCCCCTCATTGGTGAGTAATCATAGGTACACCACTGACAGATGTCAGAATGTTTGGTCTGGACTATATTGCATGATTATATGAAACAAAAATATAACAAACTGTTTTAATGTAACAAACTGCAGCTTTTAGTAGACTTTGCGGATTACTCCGGTTTCCTCCCGCTGGTAAAGTCACCTACAAGCAAGCGATTTATGGAAATAAAATTGAACCATGTGTTAGTCCCGAAATGGCCTAGTTTGTGTCGAGTGGATGTTACTCCCCTCTCTCTCTCTCTTTCTCTCTCTCTCTCGTTCGACTTTGCTGAATTTTTATTCTCAGAAATATTCAGTTACTATATATTCGTTGTATCTATCCATGAATAGAAAACAAGATCAAATTTATGATTTAATTGGATTCAAGTAGAATGATAGAATTACAATGCATTAAGATATGTCAAGATGATTATCTCATCATGATACCCTTCTGTTATTGATATACCTCTACCTGTAGAATAATACATATATATGATATACCTGTATCTGTACCTGTACAATAATACATATATATATATGATAAACCTGTACCTGTACATGTAGAATAACAAAAGCCCTATATCCAGGTACCGTAGTATAAAGAAGAAATACACATGAAATATAGATATATATATACGATAATTCTAATTAAAATATAAATATATATACGATAATTCTAATTAAAATATAAATATATATTATTATTATTATTATTGTTCGATTTATATAGCGCTTCATTACACGTGAAGTGTTTCTAAGCGCATATCACAAACATATACTTCAAACACACAGAAACGATCAAAATCAGGAGAACATAATTAAACACAGCTGCCTGTTAGGCGCTATTATTCAAAGGTTTATATCCAACAAATCAACCGGCTAATCTCAATATTGAACTCAGTCGAGATATTACCTGATGAACACCTACACCAAGTAGAGTTCAAAAATAAAAATGAAGTTTAAAAGAATCAACTTCATTAACAAAAATTAAACAATCAAAAGCTAAACAGATAAATCAAATTCAAACGAAACAAATAAAACAAAGAAAATGAAAAGAGCAGAAAGGAAATCAACTTGTGAAAATTTTTTCAAAAAATAAGAGCAAAGTAACACTAATGTTAATAATTATCAAAAGGAACCAAGATCTTAATGATAAAAACATATATTTAAAGTTTCATCGAAATTGGATAAAAACTGTGGTCTCTAGAGGGTCCACAACCCTGATATACCATATCTATCTGTGATAATTCTTATTAAAATGTGAATTAAAATATAAATATATATGTGATAATTCTAATTAAAATATAAATATATATGTGATAATTCTAATTAAAATATAAATATATATGTGATAATTCTAATTAAAATATAAATATATATGTGATAATTCTAATTAAAATATAAATATATATGTGATAATTCTAATTAAAATATAAATATATATACGATAATTCTAATTAAAATATAAATATATATGTGATGATTCTAATTAAAATATAAATATATATACGATAATTCTAATTAAATTATGAATATATATATGTGATAATTCTAATTAAAATATGAATATATATACGATAATTCTAATTAAAATATAAATATATATACGATAATTCTAATTAAAATATAAATATATATGTGATGATTCGAATTAAAATATAAATATATATACGATAATTCTAATTAAATTATGAATATATATATGTGATAATTCTAATTAAAATATGAATATATATATACGATAATTCTAATTAAAATATAAATATATATATGTAATAATTCTAATTAAAATATAAATATATATACAATAATTCTAATTAAAATATAAATATATATATGTGATAATTCTAATTGAAATATAAATATATATCTGATAATTCTAATTAAGAATTAAATATAGGGGCTACGATTCCTCTCTTGAATGTGACAAGGAGTTTGATCATTTGTTCAACCTTATTGTTTTTTTTCATGTTCTCTTGTTTCCTCGCACGGCACTGCTAAAGACCCCTATGCCCAAGCGAATTATTGAAATAAATTGAACCATGTGTTAGTCCCAAAATGACCTAGTTTGTGTTGAGGGGATGTTAAACCCCATTTCTCTCTCTCTCTCATTAGCCAAGTCGAAGCAGAACAGTAGGACGTTAAACCTCATTTCATTTCATTATGTTCGGCTAAATATGCGAGAAATCTCTATCGAATGGCAATCTGTTATATGGACGTATATGGACGTTAGATTTCGTTAATATAGCTTCCATCAGACTGTTATATGAACGTTAGATTTTATTAATATAGCTTCTACCAGACTGTTATATGGACGTTAGATTTCGTTAATATAGCTTCCAGACTGTTATATGGACGTTAGATTTCGTTAATATAGCTTACAGACTGTTATATGGACGTTAGATTTCGTTAATATAGCTTCCACCAGACTGTTATATGAACGTTAGATTTCGTTAAAGATGGGTTCCCGGAAAAGTGTTTATTGGGTGGTTATTTCCAATAAAAGTATGGCAATTTTGGTATATATGGAAAGTAGAGATATCCAATCTTACTAGAAAAATACTGGATTCCCCGATAAACATTCATGGAGCGTATACAGGACAAAAATGTAAGGGTTCCACTAATCAACAGCCCGACGATTCGGAACTTCTGCACGTGTGATGTCAAAGGTCACAAGCGAACATTGAGCGCTTGATGTGCAAGTTGATAAACTTTATGAAGAGTTAGACGTACAATACTTTCTGAGATAAAAATGACGGAAAAAGACGCGGGTAGTGGATAATCCGAGAATTTAATTAGGATTCGATATTTGTAATAAATAGTAAGCGATTAAAGACAACATCGTCTTATGTATGCAATGAATTCTCCTCTGACTCCCAAGACGTGACGTAAACATGACCTGATTTGATCGAATTTTAATAGCAGGGCATTCCTTCGCAATTACAATGTTTGAGAAGGATTTGAAGCATAATTATGACAAATTAATTAGTTTGAATATGTTTTTGGTCCATATATACCATTAAATCACCCAGTTTGTATGCGGGAACCCATCTTTAATATAGCTTCCACCAGACTGTTATAAAATGTTTTCATTGAAGCAATCAGATAAAGAATCCAACATTTTCCGCTTCATGTCCAATGAAAGGTGAAGCGTACACATAATTATATCTTAGCTTATTGAAACCTGAGGTAAATACAAGTCTATTGACACCCTTCATTCATAATATACCCTCACAAAATACACCTTTATGAAACACATAATATTAGTCTTTTTAAACAAATTTACTTTTCGTACTAGTGTAAAAAGGAGGTTTTTAGACCGTTATTATCAATTGCCGAGTAATTATTCGTAAATTGTTGACCTTTTTTATGACCACATATCACTGTAACATGTTTTTGAACAGTAACGATGTGTATACAGACTTGTAGAACTCGTCCGCTATTATTCGATCAAATTTGAAATGCATACATGACCTTTTTACGAGGTGCATGTTTGATATGTGTTGTTATTTCTTGATGAATACTCAAGGCCATTTTTGATACAGACGAGTCAACTATAACAAGCACGCCCTGGTTGTCGTCTTCTCGTAAAACATGTCATCAGTACAGAGAGAGAAAGAGAGAAAAATGGGGTTTAACATCCATTAGGTCATTTTGGGACTAACATATGGTTCTATTTTATTTCAATAATTTGCTTGCACATAGGGGTCTTTAGCAGTGAAAGGAAGCCAGAGGTCACGAAAAGTAAAGGAGCTGGGTTTAAGTTGTTTCAAAAATTGTGTACAAAATTTCTACTATGCTAGACGAGTGGACAGCGGTGCCCAACAGTCTGAACCTTCATTCTTAAGTTGCAGGTCCCCTTCCCATGAAATTCTGAGTTTAATTCAGCTTTTGTGACAACAATCAACTTTCGTGCGTGAGTCGACCCATTTCAGATGTCACTAAAAACAATTCTTAAGAAGACCCCCCGACCCTTCCTCCCTTAAGAACCCTGCCCTCAGAGATGAGTTAATTCAACAACCGCATACAAAATTAATTTTTTCCGTTAAAACTTTTACTATTGGTGCACTAGAACATAATACTAACTTATGTAACTTAAGATTAGAAGAACAAAACAGGGACCCAAGGGTGAACCTGAGTTTAGCTCCCTTCCTCGACATGTACAAGAGTGGAATCTAAACCACGCCAGTTGACTCAATGACAGACCTTATGATACAAAGGGCACGTGCTGAGCACGTATTGGGAACCGTTCTCAGACCGGAAAGCGTTTACACTATGAAAATTTAACTGTGCCGAACCTGGCACCGTGCCGAGACCACCTCATTTCAGTGAACCAAATTGGCACAGTACTCAGTACGGTACCCTTATGTTTGACCCTTTTACACTACCAAAAAATTAAAAGTGTCATGCCTGGCACGCTTAAAAATTTGTAATGTAAACGAGATAAAATAATGTCTAGACAGAGTTCAATGATGAGTAGAGATAAGAACTGTGATTGGTTGATAATTTGGAATGCAATAACTTGCATACATTGGCTCTATCAGGATTTTTCTCTGTCTTATGAACAGGGTGACCACCTTTTGTTTGATGATATTGCAGGAAATTTCAGAAAAATATATGTTGCTCAAAAGCCCTCTTATTTTCTGTGGAGCCGTGGGCGGCGGAGAATCTCACCCTGAACGCCGTAAGCGTGAGACCGCGTGTAAACTTACGAATTGTGTTGCAGAATGTCTGAGAAACAGAATTATAAGTTGTAGATTAAGTTTATGCCGAAAAATAGTTGTACGAATCTTTGAAAAAAGGTAATGTAATACTCAAATTGTAGATTATCATCGCGAGACTAGATTCACGCATATTACTGTATAGAAATCTTGCATGTGAGCAATTGCGGGACATTTTGGCTGGTTTTCGGGACGCAAAATGTGGGACGGGTGGTTACCCTACTTATGAAATGAAATGGGGTTTAACATCCTACTGTTCAGCAACTAAACTGGGCTAATGAAGACGGGCATACGCTATGAAGGAAATTTTGCCCGGGCAGCAGCGCTACGGCCTATTCTTATATCAAATTCCATCTGCCAAGGGATCTTTTACGTACACGCTAATGTGTACATGGGACCTCAGTTTTTCATCCCATCCAAACGACTAGACAACTGTCCTTGTCAGGCCCTCTGTCCTGCATCACTGACAAGGGGAAACCACATCCGAAAATCTGGATGAAATTTCTCGGCCAATGCAGGGATCAAACACCCGACCTCCAGGCTAGCGAGCCAGCGTCTTGCCCACTTAGCCACTGTGATCCCCCCTACTGATGAAATCAGGCTGTGTGCCTTTAGCTGATTGCATGTTCAAATATATGTAATTTGAGTAGATGCATTATCTATCATTAAAATATAAAGTTCTCCGTTTATGTATTTAAACTGAATATGATAGAAATATAACCAACACTTGATATCTCCCATATTGTCGGGGTTTTATCCACTATCAATTACTGTAAGAGTATTAGGGGATATTGTCAACATCATGAGTAGAGTCAGTGGGTTTAAGTTAAACACAATTTAAATCTTATCTTTACGAGTTGGTTTATAGCACTATACGATTGAGAGAGGCTTGCACCGCCTGCACACCTTGAGATCGAGAGAGGGTTACACCGTCTGCACTCAGAATCTCTTTCTAACCAGGAGTTAACTAAATATTACTATAACGGTAAAACGTAGCGTGCAGCTATTATATATTTCGAGATTATTGTTAGTTGAATAAAAAATTTTTTTTAGAACCTTTCTTAAGCATACATTATGCAAGAGCTAAATCTGCCTATTGCAGTTCTTTCTTCAGGCCTGAAATGTTATCTAAATTATTAATTAGACATTAATTAACTTATCCAGACCATAATCAACTCTTGATGGCATCGCTAGGCTGCGAAATTTATTGGATTAGGTTCCGATTTGATGTTCGACTTCCATTCATAATTAAATCATGAAATGGATAATCGAGACTATGTTTTTTTATCCTACCAACTTTTGTAATGATGATCGAGGCTAGGCCGAAAATTGAATCACTAAATTCTCGGTTCATATTGGATCAATTTGACTGAAATTTTCAGCACATTCCCTTTACAGTATCTTGTTTTTAACTATTATAGTGAGAACTGCCAGCTCTTTATCTAATCTCCCATAATAAATCTTTAAATTGCTTTTTGAAATGTACCTAACCTCAAATATCTAATTCAAAATGAAATTAGTTTTTTTCATATAAACCTGTCTCAAGGCGAGGGAAATTTTTCCTGCACACCACAAACATTACCAGTAATTAAATGAAATATGGTTTAAAGGCTTACTTTTCTGCAGTGGCGGCGCCAAGGGGAGGCAGGGGGGGGGGCATTTGCACCCCATAAATCTGGTCTGCCCTCTGTTTGCCCCCCACCCCCAATAATTTTAGAAAATAATACGTTATGATACGTTTCAATACCTTCTACGGTGAATAAATCCCACATCCCCACTCAGTCATAAACTTGCATGTTGGAAAGCATTTCCGACAGTCTGTTGTTCAAAATGTTCTTGGGGAGGTCCCCAATGGCTTTCTACTTTGGCGCTCACAAGGGGAATTCATTGAGGTTCGCAAGTCCGTTCGTTTGACATTTTATTCTCTGGTCGGATAAACTAGTGATCAGGCGACGGATGGTTTCTGGTCAGATCTATTTATCTCGACGATCGGTGCCTGACTGAATACTGTCAAACAGCATTTCCGGCAGTCTATTTTTCAAAACCCTCCGTAAGAACTCCCTACTTTGACGCTCGTGAGTGGGCTTCGTCGAGATTCGCAAGTCCGTTCGTTTGACACTTTACCTGAATGATCAGTGCCTGAAATACTGCCAGGCTGCATTTCCGGCAACCTGTTTTTAAAAGTTTTTGGGGGGACCCCCCCTCCCTACTCATAGTTGAAGCTTGTGCCTTTGCCCCCTTAACCTTGGACTTTGGCCCAGCTTTGCCGCTCCAATCACTGACGGCTGGCGCCGCCACTGCTTTTCTGCACCAACTGGGCTAATAACGGTCTTAGATGTACCTGACAAAATGTCAGGCACTAATGAAATAGTACCTGATATTTTCAACTTAGTGCCGGACATGTATTAATAATATCAATAAAAAAACCCAAATCAGTGCTGGACAAAATGACAGGCACCAGAGGTTTTGTGCCTGACAAAGTCTGAATCTGTGTCTGACATTGTCTGTGACAGGTGGCTTATTTCCAGGCTTGGGCTGTTAATTGAAATGTTAATTATAACTGTGTATCAACTGTCAGACTTTATTTATTTAATTACTCACTAAATGCCAACTATCTTGCAAGTTCGGAAAGAAATATAGTACAATTTTATTTCAATAATCTACATGCTCGAAGCAGTGGGAGGAAACCTAAGAACCCAGAGAAAACCCATGATGTTGGACAGGTATGCCTGCTGCTTGTTATGTACAAGCTAGGGATCAAGACCCCACCACTTGACTCAATGACAGACCTTATAGGGAATGTTTTTTTTTAAATTATTTTTTTTTATGTTTCAGATCTGGTGTTGTTACGTTACCTCATAACGCTAAAGTTCATTACAACTATGGAAATTATCTTAAAGATATTGGTAATATATCCGAGGCTATCTATCATTATCAAGAATCAGTGAGGTATGTTCCTTTACAACCTGAATCATTTCTCACCAACCATCCACCCGAATCCCATATCCACCCACATCCCATCTCTCACCATCCATCCACCATCCCATGTCTAACCATCCACATCCCATCTTTCACCATCCACATCCATGTTTCACCATCCACATCCACATCCATGTCTCACCATCCACATCATATGTCCCACCATCCACATTCTTGTCTCAACATCCACATCCCATCTATCATCCACATCTCACCATCCACATCCATGTCTCATCTTCCATATCACATGTCTAAACATCCACATCACATGTCTCAACATCCACATCTCATGTCTCACCATCCACGTTGCATGTCTCACCATCCACCATTCACATACGATGTCTCACCATCCACCACACCCCATGGCTACCATCAGTAATTGTATTAATTGTGTGTCTCACGATCAGTAATTGTATTAATTCTGTGTCCACCATCAGTAATTATATTTATTCTGTGTCTTGCAATCAGTAATTGTATTAATTCTGTGTCTCACCATCAGTAATTGTATTAATTCTGTGTCTCGCAATCAGTAATTGTATTAATTCTGTGTCCACCATCAGTAATTATATTTATTCTGTGTCTCGCAATCAGTAATTGTATTAATTCTGTGTCTCACCATCAGTAATTTTATTAAGTCTGTGTCTCACCATCAGTAATTGTATTAATTCTGTATGTCCACCATCAATAATTGTATAAATTGCATGTCTCACCATCACTGATTATATTAATTATGGTTATATTACAGATTATATCCACCACAACCCAGTGTTCATAATAACCTTGGTACTATTCTAACCAACCAATCATGGGCAACGTACCATTTTCGAGAAGCATTACGATATAATCCACAACATAAAGGTGCTCTAGTTAATCTAGGTAACATCTACCTGTAAGTAATTTCGTCATCAAGGTGATAATCCCCAGAGCCTTATTTATAACAATATTTAGGATATGTTAATAATATTGTCTTTTATTGGATGATATTTGACTTTCAGTTTATGCTAGGTTACCACTGTGGTGCAATGGGTTACGATAGGATTGTCCCTATTGAGTCCACGATCTGCTACATGCAGATACATTCGGATACGTTTCTGTATGATCAACACAATTTCCACAACTGACCTCAATATATAATAAGACCTAATAATATAACCACGATTTTAATCGCAGTATGAATCGGGATTGTGGGAACCTAGCATTATGAAAATGTAGAATCCTTATAATATTATAGTTTAGTTTTATGAATTATGAATGATTCCCCAGAATTCTTACTTAAAACTTTTTTCAGGTGAACAATTTTACAACTGTTAATTATATTAATCAAATCTAATCTCGAAATCTGATCATTTCTACCTTCAAAATCTGACAGTTTCTACCTTCGAAATCTGACCGTTTCTACCTTCGAAATGAAATCTGACAGTTTTTACCCTTCGAAATCTGACAGTTTTTACCTTTGAAATCTGATTAATTCTACGTTTGAAATCTGACCATTTCTCCCTCAAAATCTGATCATTTCTACCTTAGAAATCTGACCATTTCTACCTTTAAATTCTGACAGTTTCTGCCTTCAAAATCTGACCATTTCTACCATTGAGATCAAACCACTAAAAATTGTTTAAATTGTTCTTAAAATGTTTTGTCGTTTATTTTTCTTTCAGCCAAAGAAAAGATCGTGCAGCAGCTGAGAGACTGGTTAAACAAGCCTTGCGTATTGATCCCGACTATCTGGAAGGACTGCTGTCATTAAGTAAAATTATGATGGAATTAAAACGAAATGAAGAAGCGAAGTTTTACATAGAAAAAGCTGTAAAAGCTCATCCTAATTCTGCTGACGTTCATAATTTTAATGGTGCTTATTTACATTATAAAGGTAGGAAACTATTATTTTAGGCAACTAGGTGGGAGGGGGCGGGGGAGCATATCGAGACAGGTGTACCATGAAGGAAACTATTATTTTAGGCATCTAGGTGGCCGGTAGGGGGCAGGGGAGCATGTCGAGACAGGTGTACCATGTATGATGTGCTCGGAATGGTTGATTTTATTTTGAAGATAATCATCAAGTCTGAAATGAACAAATTTAAGAAGATGATTGCATCTTGGATGCTTTCTATGACAACTGACTCCCTGTTACAAAGATAAGTTGAAATATGAGTGGTTTAAAGATCGAGAGCGAGACATTAAATAATATATTGAAACAACACGAGTAATGTAAGTCACGAGTTGTTGTTTCAATAAATTACGCAATGTCTTAATCTCGAGACCATTAAACAACTTAAAATACAGACACTCGCACATACTTTGCAATGAAATACATCACGCAAGTTCAGAATTTCAACTAGCATAAATAATCTACGCTTGGCACATTATTTTAAATAATAATGGTACGCCAACATCAAAGGATGACGTCACATCTGTATTTTAATGTCATATATTGAATGACATTCCTTTCAGAGATGCATCTCCTACAATGATATAGTTGGTAAGCTATTTAAAATCTGGTTTTCAACCATAATATATTTATATTTTCAGGAAGATACGAGGAATCTGTGAGTAGTTTTCAGCGAGCGTATGCGTTAGATAGTCGAACGCCCCTTTATTTAATTAAAGCTGTGTCTGGTTTACAGATTCTAGGTGAAGTTAACGAAGCAGAAACACAATTAAACAGGTAAATACATAGAGGGAGGGATTTGGCGCAACGGTTAGAGAGTAGGATTTGTGACCTAACGGTTGCAGGTTCGAGACCCGAATTGTGCGTCAAATTCTTGTGTCCTTGAATAAGACACTTCATCCCTGTATTCCAGTCTACCCAGCTGTAAATGGGTACCGGTAGGATGGTGTATGTATTACACAAAAAACTGTTGCGCTCCTTGAAGCAGCATATGTTGGGGCTCTTTTTAACATTTAAAAAGAGTTCAGGGGTAAAGGGAGATAATCAGGCTTTACCTGTATCCTAGAGACTAGGATAGAAATTGTGTTGTGCTTTGAGCATAAACTTAGTTTGTGGATATAGCGTATTATAAATATGCACATTATTATGTTAATTATGTCAATCAAATGTTTCAACCTGGCGGAATTCTTTCAGAAGTGGGAACTTAATAACTTCCATGGGGCAAGGAGAATGAGTTTATCCAAAAATTAGAAAAATTTCTTAAAACTGTTGGAAAGTATTCTTGATATATCTGCCTGTCTGGTGTTGTGTTTTTGGTACAGTTATCTAGTTTGTGTTGAGTGGACATTAAACGCCATTTCTCTTTGTATCTCTACAACACCAAATCTGTAGTTTCAGTAAAGCTGTGTCTTGTGAAATCTCGCTATTGGTGTGTGGCCAATTTCGTTCACATTAGGGGGGGTTGGATGGCTGAATGGTTAGCGTGCGCGCGCTGTATCATAAAGTCTGTCATTGAGTCAACTGCCGTGGTTTCGAATCCCCGGTTGTACGTGACAAGGAGTAGGGTCGCTTGTCCAACCTCGTGGGTATTCTCCGGGTCCTCCGGTTTCCTCCACTGCTAAAGACCCCGATGCGCAAGCGAATTATTGAAATAAAATCAAACCATATGTTAGTCCCGAAATGACCTAGTTGTGTCGAGTGGACGTTAAACCCCATCTCTCTCTCTCTTTCTCTCTCTCTCGTTCATATTAGATCATATTCATCCATACATTCATAATTTTATTTTAGTTTATTGACATGATCACATATTAATTATCGTATTATTATTATATTATAGAGCTTTAAATAAGAAACCAAGCGTGGAGGTGATGGATCAACTTGGTTTGCTATATTATAAAACACAACGTCTTCCCGAATCTCTCACCATCTATAGAAATATCCTCAAACAAGCTCCAAATAGTACAGAAGCTGCTACTCATTATGTAAGTGACATCTTAAAGCAGACTCGTAATATAGTTCTGGTATTTTTAGAAAGATAATTTCCACTGACTTGGGAGTATATTGGGTGAATTGCTAGATGTTTCTGCATCCATCTTCATGTGATTAAAGGGGAATAACTCTTTTTATGTATCCGAAAATTTAACTTTTTTTAAATGCTGTCATTTTCATTAATTATCATTAACATGTACCTTTAAAACTAAAATTGTTCAGGCCTATTTTGATCTTGCTCTGTTGAAACTACATGTGATTGATCAATAATGATACATAGTCTGAGAAATAATTTGCAGGCCTCTAGGAATCAGTTATGGTGAGGTCGAAAGAAAGAGTTATGAATTATGATGAATCTAGAAAAGTTTTACTACCAGTCGTCCCTGATATAAATATATATACCATATATTAAATGAACAACTTTTGATAGACACAATAGAACTCTTGGCAGTTGAAATTTGAAATACGTGTAGGCCGTAGCACTGTTGTCCAGGCAACATATGATGTATGCAAGTCTTCATTAGTCTGGTTGGTGCAGAAAATGGGAAGAAATGGGGTTTAACACCTATTCAACACAAACTAGCTCATTTCGGGACTAACATATTGTTCAATTTTATATTCTTGTGAGTAGGTGTCTTTAGCCGTGGGAGGAAACTGGAGTACACAAGAAAACCCAAGAGGTTGGATAGGTATTCCTACTCCTTGTCACGTACAAGCAGGGAATTAAAACCACGCCACTTGACACTGTGACAGACCTTATGATCTAAAGCAAGTTCATTTCACATTGTTGTTGTTTATTTCCAGGCTCGTATATTATATAGTGAAAATGAGACGGACGAAGCTGAAAGTATTTCATTAAATGTGTTGAATCATGATCCTAACAATCTGCCTTGTTTACAATTAATGGTAGCCATTTCGGCCTCAAAAAAACAACTAAATAAGGTAAGCTTTTATTTATTCCCAGGATGTCGTTTAAAGATACATTATGGAAGATTAGATAAATAGGTAAATAATAGATAATGTAATGGGAATATGCTGAAAATTTGTGACAAATCCTCATTTTAATAACATTGTAGCCTCGATTGCCATTGTTACCATTGTAACGATAATAAACAAAGTCTTGATTATCCATTTTTGCAGTTAAACTTTAATGGCAATCATCAAGGTATTATGAATAATATTCAAAAATAATATTCGGGACTAACATGTAGTTCAATTTTATTTCAATAATTTGCTTGCACGAAGGACTCTTTTAGCAGTGGGAGGAAACCGGAGGACCCAGAGAAAACCCACGAGGTTGGATAGGCGACCCTACTCCTTGTCACATTCAAGTGGGGAATCGAAACCATGCCACTTAACTCAATGAAAGAAGGGGGGGAGGGGTGGATGGCCGAATGGTTAGCACATGTGCGTTGTATCTTAAGACCTGTCATTGAGTCAACTGGCTTGGTTTCGAATCCCCGGTTGTACGTGACAAGGAGTAGGGTCGCCTGTTCAACCTCATGGGTTTTCTACGAGTCCTCCAGTTTCCTCCCACTGCTAAAGACCCCTACGAGCAAGTGAATTATTGATATAAAATTAAACCAAATGTTAGTCCCGAAATGACCTAGTTTGTGTCGAGTGGACGTTAAACCCTATTTGTCTCTCTCTCATTGACAGACCTTGTGATCTTACGCCCATGTGTTAGACCATTCCATCACCCCCACCCCCCACCACCCCAATTATACCCTCCGCCCCCATGTGATTAGGATACTGAACTTACATCACAACCAGAATCCTATTTGAATCCCTGAGTAAAATCTGAATGATTCTTTTCAAATTGTGGATAATATGTCAATTAAATATATTTTTTCGTTACATCAGGCGATAGAATACAGTCACTTGGCATTAGATCTAGCAGACGGTAATGAGATGTTAATGTTGGAAATGAATTTTCAACTTGGTAATATTTACAGAGAAGTAAATGATCTTAAGAATTCTTTAAAGGTTAGTAAGAAAGGATTTTAACTCAACCCAAACCCTTATTTAGCTCATGTCAGCTTACCAGGGAGCGGGGGCACAGTGGCTAAGTGGGTGAGACGCTGGCTCGCTAGCCTGAGGTCGGGTGTTCGACCCCTGCATTGGCCGAGAAAGTTCATCCATATTTTCCAGCATGGTCCCCCCCTTGTCAGTGATTCAAGACTGACGGCCTGACAAGGACAGCTGTCTTGTCGTTCAGATGGGATGAAAAACCAAGGTCGTGCACATAAAAGATCCCTTTACAGTTGGAATTTGATATAAGAGTAGGCTGTAGTGCCGCTGTCCGGCCAAAGATTCCCTCATAGCACATTTCATTTCATAACTAGTTAGCTCTTATTTAACTACCGTCAGCCTACCAGGGTGGATAATTCTTAAACCCTAACCAGAGGGAGAGGGAGGGATGTGTCAACATCCACTTCCACTCGACACAAACTAGGTCATTTTGGGACTAACCTATTTTATTTCTATAATTCATATGCACATAGAATAATTTAGCAGTGAGAGGAAACCGGAGAAAGCCAAGAAGTAGATTTTACGTTTGAACCCCAGTCCACCTTGTAATGAACCAATGCCTTATTAAAAAAGATATAATAAAACTTCTCCAAAATGTTTCTTTCTTTCTGCTGATGAGCTATGTGGGCATATTTCCACTATTGCCTTGGTGATCTTTTATAATAAGAAGAAAATGTTACATTTTTTTTTTTTTTTTAATCTTTTCAGTGTTTTGAGAAATGTATTAAGATCAATTCAAATTATGTGATGGGATATTTACATGCTGGTGGAATACATCATTTACAGGTAGGTACAGGGGTGCCCGTAACGGCGCGAGGGCCAAGGTACCAAAAGATAGGGGGTGGGGGTCTCTAGAAAATTTTGAAATTTGTCAATTCCGAAAACGCTGTTTAGAGCGCCTTTATCATCTCATGAACTCGATTAACCAATTATAGACATCTGGCCAAGGCATGCACTTATAGCTGATAATGAGAGTGCGAGAGTCGGTTCGCGACCGACCAGAGAGCAATACATATCTATCATTTAAAAATGAATAGACTAGTAAAAAGGTTGAAAACTTTCAACATTAGGGCATGGGTATACATGTATACCCAGTAAAGGGCAGGGTACCATTTGTATACCCTGGTACCCGGGTTCAGGCGCCCCTGTACAGGTAGGCGGTTATTGAATAAAGTTACTAGAAAAGGCGGGATGGCTACTATTGGACTGTCATCAGTAACACACTACATGGAAGCAGATATTAACCCTCGTTATAAAAATAGTTGAGCTGACGAGAAAATATTTCTAGATAAGCATAGGCGTACGGGCTTGATGACAGTTAGGGGGGCAGAACGTGATATGCCCGAAAAAAAATTTCTGGTTTACAGAGAGCGCCGGTCTTCCTTGAGAGGCGAAGAGAGTGGAGCTTACCTTGCCCCCCCCCCCCCCAGGTGGCTGACTCGAATTCCAATCAATCGTTTACAGTCCACGACAAAGACCGTTGGGAGAAAATTTTGAAAATTTAACTGCAACAAACGCGTTTTCCTGCTATTCCAGCCTGTGAATACAGCAACTTCAATTTGGTCCAATATAGCCTACCTGGCTGACCGGAATTCCAAACAACCAATCAATCGTCGCTGGGTTAGGAGGTATACCCTCCCGGAGAAAATTTTGAAAGTTTAACCACCGCAAATGCGTTTTCTGCTATTCTAGCACGTGTAAACTCCAAAAGTATCCAATGGTTTTGTAACCGAAATCCCACTCTGAATTCAAACCATCCAATCAGACTGTTGCAGGTGCATTCACAAATAATAATCGATGCTCGAAAAATGTCGCACAAAGTAGAGCGACTCCAGGCAACATTTTTTAATCCATAGTCAACTCTGTACAAATTCGTGGTATTCAATTAAAAGAAAAGTAAAATTAGTGTTATATTAGGGCTCGATAACAGTAAGGGAAGCAAAACCAGAAATGCCCGAAAAAAATTCGGGTTTACAGACAGCGGCGCCGGTTTTCTTCGAGAGGCAAAGAAGAGATCCTGACCTTGTATGGACCCCGCAAGAAAATTTTGGAAAATTTGACAGCCGCAAACGCGTTTTCCTGCTATTCCAGCCCTTAAAATTAGTGTTTTATTAGATTTCGGGCACTTTATTTTGCCAAGTAGATGAAATAATATTTTTTTCACTTTACCCGTCTGCCCGAAAAGTCAGCTTGCCCGAAAGTTAGGGGGGCAGCTGCCCCCCCTTCCCCCCTGGTTCGTACTCCTATGTAGATAAGACGAAACACCTGGACATAGACACAACACCTTTTAATTAAAATCAGAGAAGTGGATGCCACTGTCTTGGTAAAATCTTCTGTCTCATCAAACAAGCAGTATGTCGAATATGTTGCACAGGAGTCATGGTGTGAACGTGATGTTTTCCGAGAAATTTTGTCAGGATTTTTTATCTGTGGATTCTCCTTGTCCGCAGTGCAGGCACGTGTCATGGGGGGTGGGGGGTCGGATGCAAGGAAATCAACTTCAAACTTTCAAAACACCCCATACCCGAATGACCTAGTTTATGTCGAGTGGACGATAAACACCCATTTCTCCCTTTCTCACTCAGTTCTTGTTTCATATTCCAGTGTGAAATAAATTTCACTTTTATTTATTTTTTTTTTAGAAAAACTTTTCAAAAGCGAAAGAGAATTATAACAAAGCTTTAAAAATTGATCCAAACAACGAAATGGCCAAAGAGAACCTGGCAAAATTAAAACGACAAGAACTCAAGGCAAACAACGCATCGAGAAAAACTTAAAGATAGCCAACAACGATTGAAATAGCGAAAGTTTTATCAATTTCTGGTCATGTAGTGGAGTGTGATTAATTGATTAATTACGCGCTTTAGATTATGTTAAAGTTGACAGTTCACAAAATGGACAGGGGTTGAACACACCATCGTATGTTTTCTCAAACCAGGTTGGTCACCATGTGTAAACACATATACCACAGCCAAGACTCTGATATACTACAGCTAGGACTCTGATATTCCATAGGCAGGACTCTGATACACCATAGCTAGGGCTCTGATATTCCATAGGCAGGACCTAGGGCTCTGATTATTCCATTGGCAGGACACTGATATACAATAGCCAAGCTCTGATATTCCATAATCCATAGCCAGGGTTCTGATATTCCATTAAGTGATATCACCCTTTATTTTGTGTGAAACTTGACAGCCCACACGATGGCCACATTTTGTACTAACAGTTTCTTTGTTTCTTTACACCATTTGCCTTGAAGTGTTTGTTTTCACAAGCTCTGGCTGTTTATGATTTATGTAACTTTGCTACTGAAGATCATTGAGTGAGTTTTTCAACCAGCGAATGAATCATCAGAGATCGACCACAAGGAGAATCTGACGAGTATTATTGATACATTTCACTAAAAATATTTACAATTACTTCTTACATTGTGCCAAATCGGATTATTTAATAATGAATATTTTAGATATACCATAGTTAGTATTATATATAAGTACTATAAAATATTATCACAATATTAATATCACATATTGGGTAATCTATAATAATATCTCACATTACATTGTGTATATTGATATCCCCCATTACATTCCATGTTGACGTCCCCCATTACATTGTATATGTTAGTATCTCACATTACATTGTGTATATTGATATCCCCACATTACATACAATGTTGACATCCCACATTACACCGTATGTGTTAGTATCTCACATTACATTGTGTATATTGATATCCCCATATTACATACAATGTTAACATCCCACATTACACCGTATGTGTTAGTATCTCACATTACATTGTGTATCTTAATATCTCACATTACATACAATCTCACATTATATTATGTATGTTAATGTCTCACATTACATTCAATGTTACTATCTCATACTATTACATACAGTGTTAATATCTTACATTACACACAACCTCACATTATGTTATTACCGGTATGTTAAAGTCCAAAATTACATTATGTATATTAATATCTCACAGTACATAGTATTACAATGTGTGTTAATATCTCACATTACATTGTGTATATTGATATCTCACATTACATTGTGTATATTGATATCTCACATTACATTGTGTATATTAATATCTCACATTACATTGTGTATATTAATATCTCACATTACATACAATGTCTCACATTACATACAATGTTAATGCCTCACAATACATACAATGTTAATGTATCACATTACATTATGTATATTGATATCTCACAATACATACAATGTATATATTAATATCTCACATTACATACAATGTCTCACATTACATTGTATATATTTTATACCCCTCCCCTCAATACATATCCTATCTTCATCCTGGTTGATGCAGGGGGGTTGGATGGCCGAATGGTTATGATGATCAAGGCTAGGCCAAAAATTCAATCGCTAAATTCTCGGTTCAGAGTGGATTAATGTGACTGAAATTTTCAACAAATTCCCTTTACATTATCTAGTTTTTATATGCCCACATTTTCATGTGGACGTACATTGTCGTATCCTGTCTGGCAGCCGCTGGTTAACTATTATAGTGAGAACTGCCACCTCTTTATCTAATCTCCCATAATGTATCTTTAACTGTATCTTGTCCCCGAACCAATCAATAAAAATTACTTGCAGGATGATCATGTTGTTCTTGGTATGTTGCCAGGGCTCACATTTGGATGATAATTTTTATGTACAAAAATTTTTCCCGCCAAACATTTTTATTTCTCAAGCAGGCCTATTAAAAATAATTACCGATATAATTATAATATACATGTTGCAATATGTTGTAGTTTAAATAATAAGTGATTTATTTTTTTTTTAAAATATATTCTTTACTTGCTGTTTAATTTATTTTGTACAGAGATAATGATAAAAAAAGATTTTTCACCCATAGTGATATTAATCTTATTGATAAAGATTATATTTACAAGAATGTCTTATTAAAGGGAATGTTTTTTCTGTGGTTTATTTTGTACAGAGATAATGATAAAAAAAAAGATTTTCACCCATAGTGATATTAATCTTATGGATAAAGATAATATTTTCAAGACTGTCTTATAAAAGAGAATTTTTTTTTCTGTGGTTTCTGCAAGTATGTTTACTCAATTTATAGCTTGCATTTATATATGCAGGCCAGTCATAGAGAAAATTATGTAAAAAGTCTAAAAATATAAAATAAAAACTATCAATGATCCTCAGATTTTTGATGTAAAGGGCATTTGATTGATCTGAATATAAAATTATATATTTTTAAAATTCCAAAATGATTGTTTATAGGTGTTAATTATAGAATTCATTATTACTGAAATTATAGAAGTCATTATTACTGAAATAATAGAATTCATTATTTTTGAAATTATAGAAGTCATTATTACTGAAATTATAGAAGTCATTATTACTGAAATTATTGTCCCCCGCCTTTCGAAGAAAGCAGGGGACTATTAAAATGGGTTCGTCCGTCTGTCTGTCTGTCCGTCTGTCTGTCCGTCTGTCTGTCCGTCACACTCTTTGGGACACAATAACTCTCTTCCTAATTGAGCTATAATGTTCAAACTTGGTGTATGTGTTTATTAGGTCAATGCCTTGATGGAGTTCGAAGATGAGCATTTTCCGCTTAGGGTAAGCAGAGATAAGCAATTTGATTGGTTGATGCTTTGGGACACGATAACTCTCTTCCTAATTGGGCTAGAATGTTCAAACTTGGTGTATGTGTTGATTAGGTCAATGCCTTGATGGAGTTCGAAGATGAGCATTTTCCGCTTAGGGTAAGCAGAGATAAGCAATTTGATTGGTTGATGCTTTGGGACACGATAACTTTTAATTGAGCTAGAATGTTCAAACTTGGTGTATGTGTTTATTAGGTCAATGCCTTGATGGAGTTCGAAGATGAGCATTTTCCGCTTAGGGTAAGCAGAGATAAGCAATTTGATTGGTTGATACTTTGGGGCACGATAACTCTCTTCCTAATTGAGCTAGAATGTTCAAACTTGGTGTATGTGTTGATTAGGTCAATGCCTTGATGGAGTTCGAAGATGAGCATTTTCCGCTTAGGGTAAGCAGAGATAAGCAATTTGATTGGTTGATGCTTTGGGACACGATAACTTTAGTTCTAATTAAGTGAGATTGATGAAACTTGGTGTATAGTTTCATTACAGTAATACCTTGACTAAGTTTGATAATGAGCATTTTCTGCTCAGGGTAAGCAGAGCGATACGCAATTTGATTGGTCGAGACTTTGGAAAACAATAACTCTCCTACTTTGATTGTCGAGACTTTGGAAAACAATAACTCTCCTACTTTGATTGTCCCCCGCCTTTCGAAGAAAGCAGGGAACTATTAAAATGGGTTCGTCCGTCTGTCTGTTTGTCTGTCTGTCCGTTCCGCTTATGGTAAGCAGAGATAAACAATTTGATTGGTTGATCTTCGAATTGAGTAAATGTTCATGCTTATTGTCCCCCGCCTTTCGAAGAAAGCAGGGAACTATTAAAATGGGTTCGTTCGTCCGTCTGTCTGTTTGTCTGTCCGTTCCGCTTAGGGTAAGCAGAGATAAACAATTTGATTGGTTGATGCTTTGGGACACTATAACTTTAGTTCTAATTAAGTAGATAAACAATTTGATTGGTTGATGCTTTGGGACACTATAACTTTAGTTCTAATTAAGTGAGAGTGATGAAACTTGGTGTATAGTTTCATTACAGTAATACCTTGACTAAGATCGATAATGAGCATTTTCTGCTCAGATTAAGCAGAGCGATAAGCAATTTGATTTGCTGAGACTTTGGAACACAATAACTCTCCTTCGAATTGAGTTAAAATGTTCATTTTATCCTATTTTGATGAAACTTGAAATATATGTTTATGTCCCGGTACCTTTCGATATTGGCATGTATCGGATAAATATTTCATGGATTATGCCCCCTGACTGTACAAAAGATTATTTTTAGCTAGTGGGCCCTCTCAAGGTCACAATTTTTATACGCCCACGTATAAATGTGGAGGTATATTGTCCACGATTTCTTGTACATGCCCCAACGCCAAAAGTTATGATCCAATTGTTTTGAAATTGATATATGTTTACATTAGTAAGATGAAGGAGTCCAATTAATTTTAATAATTTCCGTTTATTACGTCAAGGGTTACGGCCCTTGTTTCATTTTGTTGAACGCCAAAAGTTATCATCCAATCTTTGTGAAATTTATATGCATTATTTAAATTAGTGAAACGAAGAAGCCCTTTGAATTTCTGTTTATTACGTCTAGAGTTAGAGTTATGGCCCTCTTTTCACTTTATTGTCCCCCGCCTTTCGAAGAAAGCAGGGGACTATTAAAATGGGTTCGTCCGTCTGTCTGTCTGTCACACTTTTTGGGACACAATAACTCTTTCTAATTTACCTAGAATGGTCAAACTTGGTGCAGGTGTTTATTAGGTCAGTGTCTTGATGGAATTCGAAGATGAGCATTTTCTGCTTAGGGGAAGCAATTTGATTGGTTGATGCTTTGGGGCACGATAACTTTAGTTCTAATTAAGTGAGAGTGATGAAACTTGACTAAGTTCGATTATGAGCATTTTCTGCTCAGGGTAAGCAGAGTGATAAGCAATTTGATTGGTTGAGACTTTGGAACACAATAACTCTCCTAATTGAGGTAGAATGTTTAAACTTGGCGTAGGTGAATGTTTAAACTTGATGTAGATGTTCATTAGGAGAATGTTTAAACTTGATGTAGATGTTCATTAGGTGAATGTCTTGACTGAGTTCAATGATAAACATTTCGAGCTGACGCTAGCTAAGCAGAGCTAATTGATTTCATTTGTCGATGGTTTGGGACAAGATAATCTTGATTCTGTCTGGTAGAGAATGATGAAACTTAATGTATGGTTTAAATGCTTGATACTTTTGAAAAAAATAAATGTGCGATTAATTAATATGTGTCATCTTTTTATTTCGGTATTTCGGCGGGGGACATCAGCCTCACTGTTGGCTTGTAGAAGTCATTATTACTGAAATTATAGAATTTATTATTACTGAAATTATAGAATTTATTATTACTTGAATTATAGAAGTCATTATTACTGAAATTATAGAAGTCATTATTACTGAAATTATAGAAGTCATTATTACTGAAATTATAGAAGTCATTATTACTGAAATTATAGAATTATTTTGTGGTATTGATTAATTAATTAATAGTGTTAATACCTACCTTGTATACTATATAACCTATCATTGTTCACTATTGGTCGTATTGGATTGTCTGGCACAATATAGCCTGGCTGGTGCTGACATGTCATTAAATACCATTTCATTTCATTAGTATTCATTGATAACTTGATGTATGTAAATATTATTGTTATATTACCCTTATCATATGTCTATAGGAATAATTGTGTCGTGTACATATTATAAAAACTATTATGGCAGTCAATGATAACGTCATGTACATATTATAAAAACTATTATGGCAGTCAATGATAACGTCATTTACATATTATAAAAACTATTATGGCAGTCAATGTAGTTGTTGAGTTTTAAATAATAAACATTCAAATATTATGTTCTTTTTTTATATACATCCATATTTCATGTAGGGGAGGGGTATATTGTCATCCCCCCGACTGTCTGTCAGTCTTTTGTTCCCAATTCTTGTTGGTCCTCTTCCAATCATTGGACTGATTTTACAAACCTGACGGATCGGGATGAACCCTATCACAATTCATAGATTTTGAGGACATAGAGATAGTGAGAGAGAGAAATGGGGTTTAACGTCCACTCAACACAAACTAGGACATTTCGGGGCTAACATGATTCAATTTTATTTCAATAAATGGCTGGCGCATAGGGGTCTTTAGCAGTGGGAGGAAACCGGAGAAAACCCTTGAGGTTGGACAGGGGACCCTACTTCTTGTCACATACAACAGGGGAATCGAAACCACGCCAGTTGTCTCAATGACAGACCTTTTGATACAACGCGCACACGGTAACCATTCGGCCATCCAAACCCCCTTTGAGGACATAGACTGTAGCCTATTAAAATCTATAGTTAACCAGACACTGCCTGTCTCAGACTTCATGTATATAAAATAAAAGTAAATTTAATCCTGACATGCTGCCTAGATGGTTCGGTGAGTAGCCTACAATCCTGACTCATTAATCTGGAAGTCCCGGTTTCAAGCTTGTTCCTCACGATTTTCCAGCCTTGTCATTGGTGCAGAAGAGGGTCATGCAAGGAAAACTATACCTTGGGATATCCGATTGGGCATATTCCTGGTCGAGCGTATGAAAAAAAGGGTAGAACATGTCCGGAATATATGGGTGAAATTAGCATCTAGTCATTCGGATAGGATAAAAAACCCAACATCCCATGTATTCCAGATGAAAAATGAAATAAGGGCACACTGTCATGGCAAAATCCCGGTTTTGTGCAGAAAAGTAATATCGTAAAGCCCATTTCATTTTTCGTTTTTTATGCAACTGTTTGATAAAAGGATTGAATTCCACGTATTGCAGTAAATATATCATCTTCCGTCAAGGTCGGATTAAGGCATGGTCTTTAGGGGCTGCAGCTCACCACCATGTATTTGAAATGAAATGAAATTGGGTTTAACATCCTACCGTTCTGCTCCGAATTGGGCTAATGAAGACGGGCATACGCCATACAGTGTGCTATGAGGGAAATTTTGCCCGGACAGTGGCAATACGGCCTACTCTTATATCAAATTCCAACTGACTGTTAAGCGATCTTTTACGTGGTCGCCAATGTGTACATGGGATCTCGTTTTTTTGTCCCATCCGATTGACTAGACAGCTGTCCTTGTCAGACCCTCAATCCTGTATCACTGACAAAGGGGAACCACGCTGGAAAATCTGGATGAACTTTCTCGGCCAATGCAGGGATCGAACACCCGACCTCCAGGCTAGCGAGCCAGCGTCTTACCCACTTAGCCATCATGGCCCCGTATCCTGAATATGAGAAGAATGAAAGCTAGTGACCCCCTTAAATTGACCAATCAGTTGTGTTTGCAATGTCAAAGACTGTTGATGATATTGAGTTAGAGACGTGCCTCTTTTTATTCCTTATACCCAAAGGATGGCCTGTATTTTTTTTGGTGCATTTCCGACCCCCAGGGACAGCCACACCCAATCTTTTTGTGTGTCTGTGTCATAAGACTGACATCTACTAGATTCTTCTCTGTTGGCCGCGAGACTTCAGTTATCTACTAGATCCTCCTCTGTTGGCCATGAGACTTCAGACATCACCTAGATCCTCCTCTGTTGGCCACGAGACTTCAGACATCACCTAGATCCTCCTCTGTTGGCCACGAGACTTCAGACATCACCTAGATCCTCCTCTGTTGGCCACGAGACTTCAGACATCACCTAGATCCTCCTCTGTTGGCCACGAGACTTCAGACATCACCTATATCCTCCAGTTTTGTCGGCAGTAAACCTCTAAATTTATCATCTGATAGCTTTTCATTATGCTCCCATTTTACTGAGTTTTAACGGTAAATTTAAGATTCTGGTTGTATGCCATTCCCAATATTGAATTAATTGGAACATAAATGAAATGGGATTTAATGTCCTATTGTTCTGCACTGACTGGGCTAATAAACGCCATACAGAGCTATGAGGGACAGGGGCACTACAGCCTACTCTTTAATTTCGAATACCAACTTCCAAGCTAGCCTGGAGTTCGGGCATTGGCCGAGAAAGTTCATCCAGATTTTCCAGCATGGTTTCCCCTTGTCAGTGATGCAGAACGGAGGGCCTGACAAGGACAGCTGTCTAGTCGTTCCGATGGGACGAAAAACCGAGGTCCTGTGTACAAATTGTCGTGCACATAAATGATCCCTTGACAGTTGGAATTCGATATAAGAGTAGGCCGTAGTGCTGCTTTCTGGACAAAATTTCACCCATAGTCCACTGTTTGGTGTATGCTTGCTTCATTAGCCCAGGTTAGGAGCAGAACAGTAGGACGTTAAACACCCCATTTCATTTCATTTCCAACTGTCATGGGTTCTTTTATGTGCATGGCGCATGCCAATGTGTACACAGGACCTAGGTTTTTCGACCCATCCAATCAATTATACCTTGTCCATTGCCACTGACAAGGGGAAACCACGCCGGAAAATCTTGATGAACTTTCTCAGCCAACACTAGGTCATTTCAGGACTAACATACAGTTCAATTTTATTTTAAATAATTCGCTTGTGGGTAGGGTTCTTTAGCAGTGGGAAGTAACTTAAAAACACGGAGAAAATCCACAGGGTTGTCCGGGTGACCCTACTCCTTGCCACGTACAAGCGGGGATTTGAAACCACGCCACTTGACTTATGAGAGAAATGAAATGAATTGAAATGAAGTTTAACATCCTACTGTTCTGTTCCTAACCTGGGCTAATGAAGACGGGCATACGCCATACAGTGTGCTATGAGGAAAATTTTGCCCGGGCAGCGGCACTATCGCCTACTCTTATATTGAATTCCAACTGCCAGGGGATCTTTTACGTGCATTCCAATATAAACACGGGACCTCGGTTTGCGTATCATCCGAAGGACTAGACAGCTGTCCTTGTCAGGCCCTCCGTTCTGCGCCACTGACAAGGGGAAACCACGTCGGAAAATCTGGATGAAGTTTCTCGGCTAATGCAGGGATCGAACACCCGACCTCCAGGCTAGCGAGCCAGCATATTAACCACCTAGCCACCGCAGCTCCGACTTATGGCAGACCATGTGATTTAACGCACATGCTTCAAACCATTCAGCCATCCAACCCCTCAGACTTCTACTGTGCTTCACTTCCCAATGACGATTCTGTATAACTATAAAGGGAACACAATAACAGAACACAATTTTTATGGGAAACAATCACTGGTTTTATTCTAAAAGCATGACGTTTCGACAAGTATCCTCTTATCGTTATCAAGCACAATGACATTTAGTAAACTTGAGGTCAATGTATATGAAATTCATAGTTATTTAATCTATGTAAATGGTTTCACTATGAATTTTGTATATATTGACCTCAAGTTTACTAAATGTCATTGTGCTTGATAACGATAAGAGGATACTTGTCGAAACGTCGTGCTTTTAGAATAAAACCAGTGATTGTTTCCCATAAAAAATGTGTTCTGTTATTGTGTTACCTAATCACTAAATGCCTCTCAAAGATTATAAAGGGAACAGCCATACAATCTCACTTTAACCTGAAGAGTTCATTAAGAGGAACGAAACTATCGCCTCATGTGAGAAATCTGGAACGGCTACCCGACACTTATATAGATTTCCAATTTTAGTTTATAAAAAAGCATCAAAAAATCGGAACGGTTCAGTGGTCACAAGAAATTGTGCATGGACTGTAGGCTAACGGACAATGGGAACGCTTGAAAAACACAAGAAATTCAATAGAGAGAGAGAGAGAAACGGGGTTTAACGTCCACTCGACACAAACTAGGTCATTTAGGGACTAATATATGGTTTAATTTTTATTTACATAATTCGCTTGCGCGTAGGGGTGTTTAGCAGTGGGAGGAAACCGAAGGACCGGGAGAAAACCCACGAGGTTGGACAGGCGACCCTGCTCCTTGCCACATACAACCTGGGATTCGAAACCACGCCAGTCAACTCAATGACAGACTTTATGATACAGCGCGCGCACGCTAACCATTCAGCCATCCCCCCCCCCCTAGAAATTCAATAACATACTATCGTACATTAAATATGTATTTCTAGACAGCATTTGGAAACAACCAAGATCAGATCCATACAACTTGATTAAAATACAGATCTATCTTTTATTTCGTTTTTTTTTATACTTTCGATGGCCTCTACTACATGAAGATCTGACCGGTGGGAGTAAAAGGTTGCATCAGAGGTTGTACGAAAGGCTTTTGACCCTATGACGTCAGACATTGATTAATCAATCATCGTTTACCAACAGTTCCGTGCATCGCACGCCAAGTAGTCGCCTTAACAGATGGTTTCATTGGCTAATCCCTCACGCCATCCTGGAAGCAAGTTATATAACAACTCTTCCAGAGAAATAAAACGAAATTTTGAACTATAAAAAACGAAACAAAATAGGATATGTGCTTTAATCAGATTTAGATCTATATATTTTTTTACAATTAATAATATAAGTCTTCAAAAAAAATCATTTTATTGTCACAATCTACCTAGACACATATTTACTTCACTTTGCTTTCATTCTAGAAATATAGTCCATGGCCCTATCTGGTATGGCTTTGTTATAATAAGTTTTTTTCCACATCCAAAATGTAAGAAAAGACAGCGTGTACCAGGTAAAAATATAGCTCAAATGTTCATTTCGTAACTGTACTTTTGTTTGCCCGCCAATCGGACCACCAGGAATGGTGGATTCGTAGACTGCATCAATAAATATTGGTTCTGTATTTGCGATTTCCGCCATTAGGTCTATGTCCCGATACATCCAATAACCATATTTTGTTGGATCAGTTGCCGATTTGGACATGAAAACATTTCTCTGCTCGTTTTTCCTAACAACACCCACTAATTCTATTTCTCCTTCTATTTGCCCCTCGGGGCGTTTTTCCGCTGGAATTAATCGTTTTGGAACATATCCTCTATTAACTAATATTGTTCGATTACTGTCTGATAAAATAAACGGCACCACAATGTAGCCACCAATCGTAGACGTTGCTTGCATGTTTCCTTCTGTTCCCAACTTTGCAATGATATTGTGTCTGGGACCAATAACCATTTCCTTGCTATAATCAAACCTCCCCCGTACTTTGACCTTTCTGTATTCAAGTTCTTCAACTTCTTTCCGGGTCTGCGGTAACGGAACTGGTGGAGCGGTTGTCTTTTCTTCAAGAAGTTTTATCATCTCTAATTTCTGTTCTCGGCGTTTAATCTGCCAGGTACCCAAACAAAAAGATGTTACAGGGATTATCAACATAAATCCTGCTTGTCCCCAGTTTGATATTCTACCGATCGGTCGAATCGGTGACGATCTAGGAACTTGTTTGTCGTGGCATTTACATGCCGTGCGAAACGACCGTAACTGTTGTCTTAAACTAGAGTAAATGTTTTTCACGGCAAACATGGTGTATTTAGCAGACGATTGCATGACTGTCACTTCAATAAAAACAAATTACATAAACACAAAAATTGTGCGTTCTAACAAGCCTTGACATTTTTTTTTTGTTACACTGGTAGTGACCTCCCCTTGGTTAGGTAAAAATGTAAGATTATTTCTTTAAAACGAAACCTATTGGAAATAAATAATTAATTCATCATTTTCCATTCTCTAATTTTTTCTAACCGTGTTTAGTAAAGAAAAGAAAAATAAAACGAAAATATCGTTTCCAAAAGAATAGAAACCGGGTCGCAAGTAATTTGCTCGATTAATGAATGGGAGGGAACTCTATTTAGAAAGCTTGTCTCGATGGGATCAGACTGATTACTCTTTCATCCATTGATTTTAATATCAATATTAAATCCATGCCATATCTTCGGTTATAACATTATTTTGGGGGATATTTCGATGATATTAGGTTTTATAAACATCATGGACCCAACATGTTACAATTCTGTAATACAAATTTTGAAAGGGGGTTGACCATCTCGATTTTTTTTCTCTTCAAAGGAATGATACGAGTTCTTAATCCGGGATGTGGTCACAACGGCCCTCACACTGATCAGCAGTGAATTTTCGCTAGGCCGTTACCATCACTGATAAGGACGACATCGATGCGACTTAATGAGACAGAAATATTAACTTTTTTCCTGCGACAAATTAAATTCTAAAACATTTTTTTTATGTATTCCAATATAAATAAAGGCGTTTGACGTATTTGTAGGAAAAAATTATTTCCTATTTAGTGTAAATGGGTTTAAAATGACTAAAAGGCAGCATTCCGCCCGAAGCAGTAACGTCTTACGTAAACAATGCACGCGCCATTCAGCCAATGATATTGACCCCGCGTGCTGTGACGGCACGTGTTAAGGCGGTGGTACTTTTTACCGCCGACCACCGCCGACTACCGCCGACCAAATGCTTTTTACCGCCGACCGTCGTGTAATTAACGCCGACCAAATACTTTTTACCGCCGACCGCATTGTAATGACTTTCGACCGTAATATAATTACCGCCGACCAAATACTTGTTACCGCCGACCAAATGCTTAATGATTCCTTGTTACCGCCGACTATTTTACGGTTGTTTTTTTTATAAAAAAGAATACAAGAATGTTATTTTTTATTTGAGGTGTAATCACGTACAACTGTCGAAAAACATTCATATATATTTTAAAGAATATGGAAGGACAAACTACGATTTAGATATTGAAGGGCAAATAAAAAAAAATATCAAGATTGTTTCAGCCACTGGTTATAAATAAATAACATTTTAGGCCTATCTTCTATTAGTGCGAGGGTTAGGGTTGTCGAACATTTTTATATATAATAAAATCTATATTTTTATCAAACTCTGTGTATTTAACCAAATCTATTTATTTGTCACTAATAATTTAATTAATTTTATATAGTCGGCGGTAACAAGGAATCATTAAGAATTTGGTCGGCGGTAACAAGTATTTGGTCGGCGGTAATTATATTACGGTCGGCGGTAATTTCACGACGGTCGGCGGTAAAAGTATTGGTCGGCGGTAGTCGGCGGTGGTCGGCGGTAAAAAGTACCACCCCGTGTTAAGGCAGTCATCTTTGACAGAGATATTACTACTCGCATTTGTGTCAATTTCTAGGTCCCAAATACTAGCGACTTAGCTCCTTTAAACATCTAGTACTTAGAATAAGGCTATTATTTATTTTCTGGAGCTGTCAAGCCAGCAAGAGTGTTATTGTCCCTTTAAGATAAAATCAGATTGGTTTTGGTCTGAGTGGTCTTCAAAGAAAGCAATTGTATTAGACCAAGCACTTAAATTTGTTGGGATGAGTTGTCTTATAACTTGTCTTATAACTTTACCCATGTTTTAAAGTTGGGATGAGTAGTCTTTTATATTGGGATGAGTTGTCTTTTATATTGGGATGAGTTGTCTTTTATTGGGATGAGTTGTCTTTGGGATGAGTTGTCTGTATACCGCGTGACCGACCGACGTACCTAAGGCAGAAACACCATAGTGAAACATTGGGCCATTCCGTTTTGTAGCCTATATTGCACCTTCTCATAATAATGATGATCTATATAAAACAGACCAGTATCAATTGTCCTTACCCCCACCCCCACCCCGCGGCCATATGACACTCTAAACCTGAAATGAAATGGGGTTTAATTTGATTGCTTACATGCCATTTCAATGAAGTCGTTTATACTGACGACACACGCGAACGCGGCCGAATTTTTGTTCGCGCGGAAAACCGCAGAGCTAGATTGCCTTCAGAGCGATCTTTTGGGAAAAATTTACGCGAACGATTTTCATTAGCCAACCTGAGTGCGAGGTCAAAAGTCATACATGCATGACTTTTCATCTGCAAATTTCCGTACGTATCGTCAATCGCTTTTAGTATGAACGATGATTCGCGCGGAAATTCGCAGAGGTTGCAGTTTACGGTCGCGTTCAGTATAAGCGGACCTTTATAGTCGGCAGCATCCCTTCCTCATCTGGTCGAATGCGACCACTAACCTCTTCAAATTTGCGCGCGAATCATTGTTCGTTCTGAAAGAGGCAATACGTGCGGGAAATCGCTGATGAAACTGACCAATTGACAATTATATCATGCATCGTTCGCATCATTCCATTTTTCCCAGATTTATATTTCTGCTCAAATATAACTGACAAATATAACAGTAGAGACTATTCTTCTTGTTATAACATTTATTCAGTACGGTAGACTACAATTCATAAATATGTCATTTTATTTCTTCCTTGATTCATCTAAGTCCACTGGCGTTGCACGGGCTGGACAATCACCTATAAACATCCATAAAACGCAATTATTTGTTAATTTCATCTTTAAATATTGCACCTGCAAATACAAAATAATGAGCAACATTACACATTTTTAAGGATAATTATTCTCCGTCCATTTTTATACAATAAACCTTAAATTCTTGTAGATTGTTTGTGCCTTTATTGAAAATACAGACACCGAATCCCTGTTTAATTGTCATTTGTTTATTTGAAGCTTGGTAGTGTAAACAGATATATCCTCGTTCATAACCAAGAGAAAAATAGAGAAAACGACATTTTGTATATATGGTAACATACGACATGTGAAAATGTCCGTATTCTAGGAAACTATTTATCTTACAATACCAAACCAGAAACATTGTAAAACGCCTTTACTTATACTTTTGTTGATCACAAAATCGATAAAATACAAACCTAATCCAATTTCGTTCCTGTAGAACTAAAAAGGCAGGGATCTTTTGAAATGGTTCTGTCTGTCTGATCAGCTCGCCCGTACGCCCGTACTATACCCATGATATATCATATTTCATTGCCAACCACATGTTTTATCTGCCAGCCATATATTTCATCTGCTACACATATATTGCATTTCCAACTGTGTGTTTTATTTGACACCAGTATGTTTTAATTTAATATCCACCCATATATTACAATTCGAATCGCGTGTTTTATTTGCCAACCGTATATTTCATTTGCCACCCACATATTTTATTTGTCACTCGTATATTTCATTTATATTTCACTAGAAGAATGCCCGGCTTCGCTCGGGGGTCATAACCCCGAAACCGGAAGTGGTAGACTAACGCCACCTGGCCTATGTTACTCCCCGGTCCGAGCTACCCCTATACCCCAAATTTCAGACTCGGGGCAGACCTAGTGTAGCCGCCAACCCCGAACTGACAGACAGACAGACACACGACAGTCACAAATATTAGTATAGAAGATTTCCAATCGCGTGTTTTATTTGCCAGGCGTATATTTTATTTACCACTGATGTCTTCCATTTGCCATCCGCCGTAAATTTCATTTACTACTCATATTATGTTTTATTTCCCACCGCATGGTTTATTTAAATGTATAATTCATTTACAAAACTACCAACATAGGTGTTCGAGAAATTCGATTTTTTTTTCAGTCAGACGGGTAAATAAAGTAAAACAATTTTTTTTTGGGGGGGGGGGGGTAAATAATGTGTTATAGTAAAATTCGAGTGATAATAAAACATTAATTTTAATTGAATACGGCGACTTTGTACTGTGTTTGCTGTGGATTTATACATTTTGTCGCTACACACTGTTTTGCGACATTTTTGGGTCATAGATCATTATTTGTTTCATCATCTTTTGGGGATTCGTAATTTTTTTAAATTGACATAAGCAACGAAATTGTTTTCGGGAATCATCATTATTTGTTCGGGAGACCGGCTTCCCTGGCCGCGGCTCTGTGGATATTTATCGGGCATCATCATAATTTGTTTCGGCTATTTCCTATCCGAATAAACAGCGTCCTTGTCAGGCCCTGCATCCTGCGCCACTGACAAGGAGAAATCACGCCAGAAAATCCAAAATAATTATCTAGGCCAACGCCGGGAGCGATCCCGTGAACTCCAGGCTATATAGCGAGATAAGGCTAGGTCTCACCTAGTTCGGACATCTAGTTTCATTATGTATAACAATCGTTGTTAAACTAAATCGGGGAGATTTCGATTTGACAGTTTTTACGTATTTTTGAAACAGGTTTCGAAGTGTTTTGGTTCTGTTATGCAAGATCTTTTTCGACGTTCCAAAGTAAATGTACGGTGTTAAGACCACCTAAAGATAAGTTTTAAATGTTCCTTTTATTAATTAGAACAGGTGTCGCTTTAGTTTTTATATTTTACGCCGACATTTTATTGCTTTAAATCTTCCTAGTGCAAAAACGGAAAATTTGACCTTTTGGCCCCCGGGAGCACAAAGAACAAAGGTGAATTTAGCAAGTTAACATTTTTACTGAAAGGTTGATTACTTTCGATTATTTTCAGCATGTTTTCATGATACAAGAATGGCTGCGCATTCATTTTCAGTGCAAATGACCGCATTTGACCTTTGATCCCGAATATCTCGAAAACGCCCCAGCTGCCCAACGGCGGACTGTTTACCACTCGGCATCGTATTCTACGCAAAATTTTACTCTAGAAAAGTTTGGTCTGGTTTTGTGCCCATTTGATGGACAGTGGACACCCCCAGCATTGAGCCACCGGTCGACTATAGTCTATAGGCCTATTATTAAATAATTGAACATTATTCGATACCCGTGTCTTTTCTTTTATGCCATTCGTTTTTATTTCATTTTTTATCCGCAGGCTTGTGTGTCGAATCAGCGGTTGTTGTAGGCCTAATAGGCTATAGTTATTTTCGCATTTTTTACAGCGACGAAAATGATGTAGGCCTATATTCATTTTTTTTGGACAAAGTTAAATTATTTTAAGTGTTTGGTAGCATTACCCTTCGACCAGGCATTGTGAAAGGACAGGGAATTTCGATTTTTTTTTTTCAGAAAATGATGGCGAATATCCAAGTCTACAGGATTCTTCAAGGAAAAGATATTGTTGTTAATGAAGAAATGCTAAAAGTAACCACTGAGAAGAGAACAAGAGGGCACAACTTTAAACTAGAAAAGCGTCATTCTACTTTCTAGATTAGACGTACGGAAAAACAATTTCTCAAACAGAGTCATAAACAATTGGAATTCATTACCATACTACATTGTCAATGCTGAAACCCTGAACTAATTCAAATCACACCTGAATCAATTTTGGAAAAATGAAAAAACTAAGTTCAACCCAAGCTGCTATTAGCACAACTCCTGATATTATTTAGACCAAACACTTAAGAAAATTTTTTATTTAAAGCTACAATTTCATATTTTTAAGTTATATTTTTAAAATTTATTAAAATAAGGCCTTAAAATAGATGGTATCCATAAACAATCCTACCTTGTTAAAGAATAATCCTATTAATCCTATAATTCACTATTGCCAACTGAGAAATTGGCAAATATATCATTTTCAGCTTCAAATTCAAACGTTTGAACATGGCTATTCAATGGAGGTCAAAGGAAAACAAGGGGGGTAATTGTGTTATTATTTCTCGTGTCAATGATTTTTAAGGGTGGGGAATAATGCCCATGATCGTATAATAGTGAGTTGATAACCTATTGAGCAAAAGACATAGAAATAATTATGTTTTGACTTACTTAGAAAATATGAATTTCTCGCTTTAAGACAAGATCTAGCTCAAACATGCGCAAACCTATCAATGCTAGAAGTAATAAGGGTGGTCAACAAGCCATAGAGGCTTAATGGTAGACCGAAGAAAAAGTATAAAAGGTATATAAAAGGTATCCTCTACCTTAAATTTTTTGTAGCAAAAAATACCCCCGACTACCCAAGTTGGGGCGTCGAAAATGTCTTTGCCCCTGCGGGCTCTGATTCTCTGGCATCGTGATTTTAAATTTTTTGTAACAAAAAAATACCCCCGACCACCCAAGTGGGGGCCTCGAAAATGTCTTTGAGCCCCGATGGCTCTGAGAATCTTTGTACGACATCGTATATAATCGAGTAAATCACCGATTGTTTTCTATGTTAATTTCCCTCCACGCTCATCCAGCAAGGAAACTATAATACGCACTTTAATAGAGGGAGACAACTCCTTACGGGAATAAAACGGTTTTTCCAACGTTGAAGAGTTCCAATTCAATATGGAGAACAAGAAAGAAAAAAGAAGATGAAATTAGTTCGAAAATGTCATAATTCGGCGTTTTTCATTTATCATTTCGATTCATTTTATTAGATATTTGTTAGGTACATCATTTATTTTTAATATTTGCTTTTTATAATTGGCAAATGTTTTACAATGAGACGTAATTTATCCAAACAGATGAGCTATAATTATCAGTTTTCAATCAAGCTAAAAATAAATCCGAGAAGATAATTGAGAATGAACTGACACCAATGACAGTTTATATTTATTTATCTGGCAAACTTTGTATCACAAATTGTGTTATCACTTTCCAAGTATTAATTTAATTTAATGTGTGGATAGCCTGTGTAAAACGTAAGCTGAAATAATATATGAAATGGCCACACAGGAAGTCTTTTCTTAAGCATTGCACGATTGTAGCGTGATACTAGTAATACAAAATACTAAAGAGTCGGAAACTTCTGTTTCCTGCCTTGTGAGTCTTAAGTAGATCTATTATCGATGAATGTTGGCCAACCACTGTCAAAAATATTCAGCTTTATTTTGGGGAGACTTTCCAGTTTCTCAGTGTATTTTGTGTTTCTTTCACTGCTCGGATTTTGAAACAATAAACCTGCACATGTAGGCTATATTCTGAAAGTTGATTTGCAATGTAGGCATAACCATGCTATTAGAAATTTTTGGTATTACCAAATAATGTAGGCCTAATCATACAAGTAGAAGGTATTGGTATTACCAAATGAGAATTTATATGCCAAATGGTGTTGTGCAAACTTCAACTTTTGTTATTGCAAATACACTAGCGTTCTTTGCCCTATGTTTTGGACACCAAAATGCCTCTTATACACGGCAAAATTTCATGACTTTTTGGCACAGTTTTGCTGTTTTCTTAAATCAACTTTTTATGAAGTCTCTGGTAATTTATAATAAATGATGAGTACGCTTGATGGAAGAAGGACCGACGTGGGGTAATGGTAATGGAATGTAGTAATCGTTACATTATATTTTTTAAGTGATTACCGGGCAATGGAAGATTTCAAAAGGAATGAGTAATGGAAATGTAATCAGAATTGACAAAGTCTTTATTGTCGGTTTTTGCGTTTAATCAGCAGATCAGATTCAAATCCAATGACTATTGTTGAAACTACTATTCGGTTATCCGTTAACGGATACAAAATAAGGGTTATCCGAATCATTTTACTATCTGTTACAGTCTTCTGACATTCCTTATGCTCTGTATTTAGCCATTTTTACATCCGATTACTTTGAAATTTTCCCCAATGCTATTAATCACGTACGCAGCTTTGAGCATAAATGTTAATATCACGTGTATTATTTAGCGATAGTAACTAATAAAAATATTAATACAGTGCAACGAAAACAGTAGTCTTAATAAAAAAATATTCATTCATTCCTTGCGCTGGTTTACGCTAGATAGAAGCTACTTCTTGGGTTACGGGATACAAGTTAACACTGTGTTTAGACTTCCCGCAATGAAATTTATTCATAACGACCTAGGTCACGTATATTCTCACTTACTGATTGGATCAATAGCAGATTATCAGAATGAGGCAAACGACCTTGGCGGAATAAATGTTAGATGTTTTTATTTTACTTTTTTCATTCGTGTTGATTGAGCAAAAATGATAAGTGGGAGGGCCGCGGCACGCGGATTACAGGAGTAGTTATACACAAATTTATTCACCTCATTGATTTTTTGGGATATCATGGATAGTCTTAATAATTGCGGCTAAAGGTAGGCACGCTTTTTTCTTCGCGGCTCAAACAATTTGCAAATCGAAAGTAAGATTTCATACTCGGCATACACAGACACTCATAAACATTGAAATAAGTAAGAAATTTTGAGTATATGAACTTTTGATGTGATTTTGTTCAAGAATTTCACGTTTCCGAATTATCCGAATAGTATTCGGATAGCAAACAAAAGTATTCGGATCACAAATCTCGATCCAATTTTCAACACTACCAATGACAATTGGACACATAAGATGGCGTTGAGAGTTGATCATGGTCTTTTCATGTTAATAAAATGTCTAATTAAATACTAATAGTTTATATAACATTTCAGGCCTAAAGAAAGGCCTGCAATGCAATTTGGCAGATTTACCTCTTGTATAATGCATGTTTAAGTGTATCTGGCACAAATCTAATTCATTGGAATTTAAAAAAAACAAAATTGAAATCAGTTTTAACAAATTACAATTAGAAGGCATACACTGCATAGTGTATGTTCATGTGGGAAGTAAAACTCAATTTCATTTTATTTTGGGTATTAATATGAAGTGAACCTGACATGATTTTCTTTTTAACTCCTGGTCCATTTCGTTCTATTTTATAAAAATAGTTTAATATTTTGGGTATTAATATCAAGTGAACCTGGCCTATTTTCAAATAACACACTATTTATGGATAACAATTACTATGGTTTATTTCACTGCGACGTTTCAACAAGATTTATGCTTGATAACGACTCGTGAAATCTTGTTGAAACGTCGCGGTGAAATATACCATAGTAATTGTTATCCATAAATAGTGTGTTATTTGATTATGTCCCAATTACTACATGCCATTCAAAGAATATATCCTGGCCTATTTCATTCGATTTTATAAAAAAAAAAGGTTTTGATATTTATTTCTAGGTAAAAGTTTTCGTGTAGAATGGCTTTTTCTGCTAGTAACAGTAATATATCCGGCCAGTAAGTAAATTTTATAAAATTTTATGGGTGGGTGGAGGGGGGAAGTATGGTAGCGATTGGATAACAAGGTTATGAGATGGGGGGTGGGCGGGAAGTAACGTAGCGATTGGATAACAAGGTAATGAGATTGATATCTTCCTTGTAGCCCTGATGGCGCGGTGAATAAGGCACAATCTTACTAACCAGGAATGTCTCCTCGTGTTTCTGTCTGGTTTCCTCATGTCAGTGGTGCCGGACGGAGGGGATGACAAGGAAGAGTGCTAGCCATCCGGATGGGCCGGAAAAAACGATTTCTCAAGTACAAGAATCCTTGACAGGTTAAATTTGACGGAGTAGGCTAAAAGTTCTCTGATAGCTTGCTGCATGGCGTAAACCTGTCTTCATGGCCCGGTTGGTTCAGGAGAGTGTTTACTCCATTGCTGTTTATTTTATGAGTAAACAGTAAGCGTACCAAATAATACTGTTTATTTTATCAGTAAACAGTAAGCTTACCAAATAATCCTGTTTATTTTATTAATAAACAGTAAACCTGTTATAACAATGCTGTTTATTTTATCAGTAAACCTATATTATAAAAATGCTGTTTAATTTATTAGTAAACAGTAAACCTATTATAACAACACTTTTTATTTTATCAGTAAACCTATATTGTAAAAATGCTGTTTATTTTATCAGTAAACCTATTATAACAATGCTGTTTATTTTATCAGTAAACAGCAAACCTGTTATAACAATGCTGTTTATTTTATCAGTAAACCTATTATAACAATGCTGTTTATTTTATCAGTAAACAGTAAACCTATTATAACAATGCTATTTATTTTATCAGAAAACCTATATTATAACAATGCTGTTTATTTAATAAGTAAACAGTAAACCTATTATAAAATGCTGTTTATTTTATCAGTAAACAGTAAACCTATTAAAACATTGCTGTTTATTTGATCAATAAACAGTACACCTATTATAACAGTGCTGTTTATTATTAGTAAACAGTAAACCTATATTATAAAAATGCTGTTTATTTTATCAGTAAACAGTAAACCTATATTATAACAATACCATTTTATTTTATTACTCTCAAGGCTGGCCAATGATGCTATGTCCTGGAACAGCCAGTGAGTATAATTTATGAAGCAAATTTAAAAACTTGTTTCTAATCCGTTTTTTCTAATTCATAACCTATGACAAAATTTAAAAAAAAAAAAAATCACCACAGTCAGTAAAACAGCTAACTGTGGGCTGTTTTAAGTCGCTACTCAAAACATTCTTGTTAAAAACCCTGATCTTTAAACAACCAACAAAGCCCTAGAAACAGTTCTTCACTATTAACATGCTTTATATAAATTACGGTACATGTATTATTATTATTATTACCGTATTATTATTATTATTATTACAGTATTATTATTATTATTACTGTATTATTATTATCATTACCGTATTATTATTTACCCATATCATTATTAATAATATTATTTACGAATATTTGCAGCTCTTAAAGTTGTATATCTGTTGTTATAATATCAAAATGTTATGGGCAGGGTTGGGCGACTGAATGGTCTATTGCATATGCTTTAGATCTTAAGGTCTCTCATGGAGTCAACTTGCATGGTTTCGATCCGACAATTGTACGTAGGACTGCAACGATACGCTAATCTCACAATACGGTATGTATCATGAGCTGGACTTTAGGATACGATACATATCACAGTTTGGACCGCACCATACAATATCACAGTATTTTTCTTTCCAAATGTACTTACAAAAATAGAAACAAGTACATAATATTCAATGGCGACACATCACTTTATTAGCCACGGCTTTTCCATCTGGCATTTTTAATCCAAAATAATCTCATATCCGTGATTTGTGCTCGCTTGAGACAAATGTTTCATTGTCAGAAGCCATCTTTCCTCCTTGTCATGATAGTTGAGTATCAGAAGATTTATCGTTGCAGCCCTAATTGTACGTAACAAGGTGTAAGGTCAACTGCTGAACCTCATGGTTTTTTTTCCAGATCCTCTGGTTTTCTCCGAGTCCTCTGGTTTCCTTACACCTTACACTGCTAAAGTCCCCTACACACAAGTGATTTATTGAAATGAAACTGTACTATATGTTCGCCAGAAATTACCTGGTTGTTTCATGGATTGTCATTGAATCAAGTGGCGTGATTTCCGATTCCCCGCTTGAACGTGACTAGAAGTTTGGTTTTTCTCCAGATGGTCAAGTTTCCTCCCACTGCTAAAGACCCCTATGCTCAAGAGAGTTATTGAAATGAAATTATACCATATGTTAGTCCTGGCTGGTTGTTCCCTGAACCTTAATAGCTGTGTTGTAGTGTAAATGTGTTGCTAGGGGTGAGGCATGTTCCATGAACCTCAACGATTTGTAGCGATGTTGTGGTCTAAATGTCTAGGGGTCAGGGGTGTTCCACAGTGTTGTAATAATGTCATAGTTTTCAAGTCTAACTAGGATGCAGTGGTGTTCCTGGTTCCGTGGTCAATAGCAGTAGTGTTGTAGTACAATGTATGTCCTTTTGTTTAAATGTCTAGCCATTAGTAAGTGCAAGAGGATCACACCACACATTAACAATTAGGGGAGTCACAGTGTTTAAGTTGGTAAGACGCTGGCTCGTTAGCCTGGAGGTTGCGTAAATTGAGTTTTAGTATGTGACAGTTCATCTCTTTAAGTCAGATGGATTAAATATCCCAAGTGTTCCGTCCTATACTATCCTACAGGTGTACTTGACAAACAGCTAATAAAACTAAATAGCAATTCTGTGACAGACACCCTGACAAGGCTTGAAATTATCTAAGACAGCTGCCTGTTTTCAGGGCTTGAAAATGTCAAAATAATAAATACTGTCTAGAGTGTTTTTCTATCTACATGTGTGGAGGTTGGGCGGTCGATTGGTTAGCGCGTGCATGCTGTATCATAAGGTCTGTCATTGAGTCAACTGGCGTAGTTTCGATTCCCCGGTTGAATGTGACAAGGAGTAGGGTTGCCTGTCCAATCTCGTGGGTCTTCTCCGGGTCCTCCTGTTTCCTCCCACTGCTTAAGACCCTTACACCCAAGTGATTTATTGAAATAAAATTGAACCATGTTTTAGTCCCGAAATGACCTAGTTTGTGTCAACTGGAGGTTACCCCTCCCTCCCTCTCTCTCTCTCTCTCTCTCTCTCTCTCTCTTTAATAAACTGATGGTAGATAAATGTAGAGCCTTAAAATGCCATGTCTGTTTTAAGTGGTTTCGGCACACGTTTCTTTGACAAAATAAAACACTAAAATGAATCCCCTTGAATCAAATTTTTTTGAAGGAAACCAGAATATTTTGTTTTCTATTGCCTAATTTTTATTCTGCCATTTTGGATTTTAAATTAGTCAATATTGTATTTTTAAATTACATGCCTTTTGTTGTTTTTTGTTTCATAGATACAACATGACAAGAATGAATAAAAATGAAAGTCTGCCTGCTGCTGCCAGAAAGGCAAATGTTGGTGGAATGCAGATGCCACTTCCCCAACGCTCAAGAAAAACAGTAAGGGATATTGATATACTTAGCACTTGTATACACGCATATGTTGTCATCACTACCCCTGTCAGATTCGAATTCTACAAAAAAATACAGTGATTATGTTAACCCTTTAGACTGCCCCAAACTTCCCTAGATAAGGATTCCTTAGACCACCCCATCAAGTTGACAGGTTTTACAGTGGGACGTGTAGATAGGTTTTACAGTGGTACATACAGACAGGTTTTACAGTGGTACATACAGACAGGTTTTACAGTGGGACATACAGATAGGTTTTACAGTGGGACATACAGATAGGTTTTACAGTGAGACATATAGATAGGTTTTACAGTGGGACATATAGATAGGTTTTTCAGTGGGACATATAGATAGGTTTTACAGTGGGGCATACAGATAGGTTTTACAGTGGGACATATAGATAAGTTTGACAGTGGGGCATATAGATAGATTTGACAGTGAGACATACAGATAGGTTTTACAGTGAGACATATAGATAGGTTTTACAGTGGGACATATAGATAGGTTTTTCAGTGGGACATATAGATAGGTTTTACAGTGGGGCATACAGATAGGTTTTACAGTGGGACATATAGATAAGTTTGACAGTGGGGCATATAGATAGATTTGACAGTGGGGCATATAGATAGATTTTACAGTGGGATATATAGATTTTACAGTGGGACATATAGATTTTACAGAGGGACATACAAATAGGTTTTACAGAAAGACATACAGATATGTTTTACAGTGGGGCGTACATATAGGTTTTACAGTGGGACATACAGATAGGTTTCTCAGTGGGACATATAGGTTTTACAGTGGGATATACAGATAGGTTTTACAGTGGGGCATGCAAATATATAGGTTTTACAGTGAGACATATAGATATGTTTTACCGTGGGGTATATAGGACATATAGATAGGTTTTACAGTGGGATATACAGATAGATTTTACTTTAAGACATACAGATAGGTTTTACAGTGAGGCATACAGATAGGTTTTACAGTGAGAAATATAGATAGGTTTTATGGTGTGACATAGAGATAGGTTTTACAGTGGGACATAGAGATAGGTTTTACAGTGAAACATAGCGATAGGTTTTACAGTGGGACATATAGATAGTTTGACAGTGGGACATATAGATAGTTTGACAGTGGGATATACAGATAGATTTTACAGTGGGATATACAGATAGGTTTTACTGTGGTACATACAGATAGGTTTTACAGTGGGGTATATAGATAGGTTTTACAGTGAGACGAACAGGTAGGTTTTACAGTGGGACATACAGATAGGTTTTACAGTGGGACATATAGATAGGTTTTACAGTGGGACATATAGATAGACTTTACAGTGGGACATATAGATAGGTTTTACAGTGGGACATATAGATAGGTTTTACAGTGGGACATATAGATAGATTTTACAGTGAGACATACAGATAGGTTTTACAGTGGGACATATAGGTTTTACAGTGGGACATACAGACAGGTTGTTGGAAAGACCAGAAACAACTTAGAAGAGATTGTGTCTGTATATGAAAGCAACAAGAAAGATGTATATTTTAAGTATTTTGTATTATTTTTCAGGGTTTATTTGGTGAAGATAACGATGACAATGAAACTAGTTTATATTTTAATCAGACCATGTTTCGTCCCGACAGGGAGGTACGTAAATAAATATCTTCTCTTCAGTAAGGAGCTGTAGGGTTGGATGGTCGAATGGTTAGCGTGTGCGCGCTGTATCATAAGGCCGGTCATTGAGTCAACTGGCGTGGTTTCGAATCCCCGGTTGTACGTGACAAGGAGTAGGGTCACCTGTCCAACCTCGTGGGTTTTCTCTGGGTCCTCCGGTTTCCACCCACTGCTAAAGACCCCTACACGCAAGTGAACTGTTGAAATAAAAAATTAAATAACCTGGTTTGTGTTGAGTGGACGTTAAACCCCATTTCTCTCTCTCGTACAACTGGGGATTCAAAACCACGCCAGTTGACTCAATGACAGGCCTTATGATACAGCACGCACACGCTAACCATTCGGCCATCCAACCCCCCATTAGCCGAGTCGGAGCAGAACAGTAGGATGTTAAACCCCATTTGATTTTCATTTAAACTTAGCAATTTTTTTCCGTATCTCAATGAACCCCTGGAAAATGCTTGATCTAGTGAACTCTGAATGAATTATGATTATTTGATTATTACAGATGATGACATCACAGTCGCCGTCATCACAGTTGTCATCAACGGGAGGAGGAGGAGGAGGGGGAGGAGGAGGAGGTGGTTTCAGTGGTAATTTTTACAATCCTGGTAATTATTAGAGTAGAAAGAAAGCAGATTAACAAACGAAATTTTGAAATAACACGCAAATCACCACCATAAAAACATCTTCCGCTGAGCAGTGTTATCTATTGCTCCATTCTTCGGACAATTAATATTAAAAAAAATTCTGTATTCGTGAAAACGGACGTGTAAATATTATTTGGAAATACGAATTACAACTTTTCTGGCTGGACTGAAAAAGTATGAATTTTCAAGTTAAATAAAAGATGTTTTTAGGGTGTTGTTTGTTGGTTTCGTTACTGCTGTAGAATTAGATTTAACAACTTAACAATAGATGTGTGGCTCACGGACTGTCCCAAAATTTCAACACATGTAACTGACGGAACTGGGTGAGGGGGTTGGACGACACTGTAGATAGAAAATGATAATTAAATGTCGGTTATTTTGTCTTAAAGGTCACCAGAAGAGCTTCATACATTTTTTTTTTAAATAATGCAAGTAATTATGTCAACATATCCTTTCCATCAAGTATAACCCGAACCCGAATGTCAATATTACCTGTAACAGGTAAATTTCAACGTTAGTAATTTCTGCCGTTCTCCAAAGTAGTTGTAACTCTCCGTCAACAATCTGGGACGTCATTTTAGTCCTTCTGCTCATATTCTAGTCTATATTTCTATGAGCAGAAGGACTAAATTGGCGTCACAGATTGTTTATTGACAGAAAGTTACGACTATTCACAGGGAACGGCGGAAATTACTAACATTGAAATTTACCTGTTGCAGGTAATATTGCCGTTAGGGTTCGGGTTAAACTTATGGAAAGGATATGTTGACATAATTACTTCCATCATTTAAAAAAAAATTTGAAGCTCTTCCGGTGACCTTTAAACTCACATCAAAATTCCATCTGTTTCTTATTTGACCTTGACCTTGATCACACGTCTCTGTGTCGTTAAAGTATATTTCTCTTTTATTGGATCATAATTTATGTCGACATTTTATTACTCGATTGACGGGGATGGGCCTTTGGTCGAGATATATGTAAGTGTTGAAATTTTGTGACTGTTCCTTATATGGTAAAAATAAGTATGTGTGTTTTTTTATAGTAACGATAGGTGTTTGGGTTATTTCGTCATGTTTCTTGCGAACAGACGAATCTGATATATTTTTAAGTATTGAGAATTATGCGTTTGAAATTTGTGAGAAACGTGGCAACTTCTAGTAACGATACGTGTTTGTTTTGAATAAGTCAGGGCACTTCGGTGAAAAATCGTTCACTTTTTGACAAAAGCATAAAGATTTGTACTTGTGTAATTTTTGATGTCTTCTTGCAAATAAGAGCAGGACACATGCGATCTGACTTTACTTTTGGCAGCCAATTTGGATACAAACTTTAGTGAGATGAACCCTAAAGAATCTGGTGGTGTGGGGTGGGGCGGTGTTATTGTGACCGCTTACAAGGAGATGACGCTTAGAAAGAGTGGTTGCTCGTACAGATTCTACTATACTTTTTATAATCGATAAATAATTTCTTCAGTTGAATGTCCCTCTTTTATATTTATATTAAAGATGCATTATGTAAGATTTAGATAAATAACTGATCGCTTTTGCTATAATAGTTAAAAATTGATAAGAAAAATGAATATATTGAAAATTTCAGTCAAATTACTTTATTCTGGGTGAAGTGATGAGTGTTTGAAATTTTGACAAGATAGTCTTGTTTGTCAAGTACCATTGATACAATAATAAGCATAGTCTTGATTATCCATTTTATATCATTAAATAATTAAATGGTATGGCTGTTCTAATGCATTCAGGGGGGTTGGATGGCTGAATGGTTAGCACGTGCATGGTTTCGATTCCCTGGTTGTACGTGACAAGGAGTAGGGTCGCCTGTCCAACCTCGTGGGTTTTCCTCCGGTTTCCTCCCACTGCTAAAGACCCCTACGCGCGTGCGAATTGTTGAAATAAAATTGAACCATGTGTTAGTCCCGAAATGACCTGGTTTGTGTCGAGTGGACATTAAACCCCATTTCTCTCTCTCTCCTTATTTTCATGTAAAAGGGGTGTTCGACAAGACGATCCAATGTCATCCAATCTTTTTAATTTGATCATAGAACTGTTATTATACGCTCTTACATATAGACGTCTTACATAATGCATCTTTAAAAGAATTATTTTTTTGCATGTCATTACTTATTTCACACTAAATAATTAACACAGCTTTTATATCACCATGACAACAGTTTCACTTTTTACTTCCATTTCGAAGAAAAGAAATACAGGTGTACTATATATGGACCAGGAACAGAGTCAGACATCATCACAGCCATCTTTTAATTATTACATCATATTATAAATAGATATATTTCAATCGATGCACAATTGTTTTAAACCTTGGACAGACGAGCATAATTATTTTTTTGCCAAATTGCCCCAAAAAATCCTCTGTGTGTCCGTTCAAGTTGACGACGATTCTTATCTGCAACCATTCGCTCGATCGTTCGCCCATATCTAGCATGTTAGACATTTTTATAAGTCAATTGGAGACATCATTCATATCACATGATCTCAAAATGGATTTTGTACTAGTCACATGGTCGATGTAATTTACTCGCGGAGAGTTGTTCGCTCTCGAGACGATCACTACATTGTGCCCGTTTGTGTTTGGCTGTAAAAATTGTTGGCAAATTTCAATCGGCGCGATCAGGTGAGAAAATAATCTTGTCTGCCCTTAGCATTAGGAACAAGCATGCCAAGAACTAAAATTGGCGGATACTTTTCGATGAGCGCTACCAGAGAACGAGAAGCGCTTGGGAACCAATTCCTGATCCAAAAATATTCTTTTATTGGTCTTAAATCAGGAACATGTTGCAAACTCTGCATACTTGTTCTTTTGTCATTGATTAACTTTGATTTTTCGATTTGTGACAATTCCAATATGGCTGCAATGATGTCATGATAGGTTTCTGCTTTATACAGTACTCTTGTACTTGTTTTTTTATATTGCATCTTTTTTTTATTTATTTTATTTTTACTGATATTGCATTTTTTTAATTTTTTTTTTATATATACTGATATTGCATTTTTTTTTTTTTACTGATTTTACATTTTAGCTCATTACTGAATTTTCCATGATTTTATTATTTTTTTCTTCTCAGACATCAATCAACAGGGAATTGATGTTAAATTGATCATAACCATATTAGAATTTATCCTTAAATCATATAAATAACATTAATTACAAAAAACACAACTTTATAGATTTACTACAATGTTTCAGTACTTTTACAGGTATCTTTATCAAGTAATCACATTTTTTTGCGTGACATCAATTGGATGGTTGAATGGTTAGCGCGTTGCATTGAAAAAAAATATTGAAATAAAATTGAACCCTATGTTAGTCCCAAAATGACCTAGTTTGTGTCAAGTAGACGTTAAACCCTATTTCTTTCTCTTTCTCAATCTATAAAATTGTGTTTTTTCATTAATAAAAACTTTGATGTTTAGTATTATATGTTTATTACACATACATCGTAAATCTAACTCCTTTGTGATTATTGGTGATTCATTCATAAAAAAAGTTGTTATTTTGAAGAAATGGTAGTCGATGATTATTTTCTATATTTCAGCGTTACCGTTACAACAGCGTGCTATAGGTGGAGGGGGTTTCCCTCGTAATACTTCTGGTCACATGACACCAACAAGTTTAAATCCTAATTTTCCCATCGGAATGCCCCAACAACAGCATTCTCCTAATAGGTGGGTACAACTAAAATATTAAATTGAAATCAGTAATCCTACAATATTATGAAAGTTTAATACCTTAAAGGCATGTATATCAGTCCCAAAATTGTTCAGTTCCCTTCAGTAAGTGGGGGGGTGGTGGATGGCTGAATAGTTAGCACGTGCGTGTTGTATCATAAAGCCTGTCATTGAGTCAATTGGCATGGATTTGATTCTCTGGTTCTACGTGACAAGGAGTAGGGTCGCTTGTCCAACCTCGTTGGGTTTTCTCTGAGTCCTTCTGTTTCCTCCCACTTCTAAAGACCCCTACACGCAAGCAAATTATTGAAATAAAATTGTAACATATGTTAGTCCCAAAATGACCTGGTTTGTGTCGCGTGGACGTTAAACCCCATTTCTCTCTCTCTCTCTCTCCCTTCAGTAAGTACAAACATATGTGGAGCCATGCTGGCGCAGCGATAAGACGCTAACCTGGAGGTTGGGTGTTTGATCCCTGCATTGGAAGAGAAAGTTCATTGGAATTTTTATGTGTGTTTCCCCCATGTCAGTGGTGCAGGACAGAGGGTCTGGCAAGGGACAATGTATAGTCGTGCGGATGGGACAAATAACAGAGCTGCCGTGTATACATTGGCGTGCACGTAAAAGAGCCTTTGGCAGTTGGAATTCGATATAAGAGTAGGCCGTAGTGCCGCTGTCCGGGCAAAATTTCCCTCATAGCACATTGTATGGTGAATGCCCACCTTTATTAGCCCATTCTGAGCAGAACAGTAGGACATTAAACCCCATTTCATTTCATTTCACAAAGAATTTCATAATGAATTGGAAATTTGTCAACATTTGTACTCCTCAACAGACAATATAAAAAATCCAACGCCACCTATAAATGTTGGGGACGGGGGTTGGATGGCCGAATGGTTAGCACATGCGCGTTGTATCATAAGGTCTGTCATTGAGTGGACTGTTGTGGTTTCGATTCTCCAGTTGTACGTGACAAGAAGCAAGAAGTAGGGTCGTCTGTCCAACCTTGTGGAGGGGGGTTGGATGGCTGAATGGTTAGCGTGCGCGCGCTGTATCATAAAGTCTGTCATTGAGTCGACTGGTGTGGTTTCGAATCCCCGGTTGTACGTGACAAGGAGTAGGGTCGCCTGTCCAACCTCGTGGGTTTTCTCAGGGTCCTCCGGTTTCCTCCCACTGCTAAAGACCCCTATGCACAAGCGAATTATTGAAATAAAATTATACCATATGTTAGTCCCGAAATGACCTAGTTTGTGTCGAGTGGACGTTAAACCCCATTTCTCTCTCTCTCTCCAACCTTGTGGGCTCTCTCTCTCTCTCTGTCTCTCTCTCAATATTGGGTAAAATCTATTATGTTGATATTTTGAGGGTTCTTTTCAGTGCTATTACTGCGATTGGTCCAAGAAGTGTTCTCGGTCAAAATGCAGCAAAACAACCAATGAACAATTTACGCTTACCAAATATATCTTTACCTTCAAATTTCGGCAGTACTGGTGGTCATGGACTACAGAGTTTAAATAGCTTTGGTTTACAGGGTCGTCCAGGTAAGTTGATAGATATATATTGCCATTTGTCCTTTTAGTTTGATAATGGGATGATTCTAATACGTCTAGATGTGAGGAGGCCTGGATGGTTATCCTTCGTTGGACTTCTATCTAGAATGCACCAGGTTCGAATCCTATCAAGGACAGGGGGGGTTGGATGGCCGAATGGTTAGCACATGCGTGCTGTATCATAAGGTCTGTCATTGAGTCAACTGGTGTGGTTTCGATTCCCTGTTGTACCTGACAAGGAGTATGGTCATCTGTTCAACCGCATGGATTTTCTCTGGGTCCTCCTGTTTCCTACCACTACTAAAGACTCCTACGCGCAGGCGAATTATTGAAATAAAATTGAACCATGTGTTTGTGTCAAGTAGATTAAACCCCATTTCCCTCTCTTTCAATTTTTAGAGATTCAATTTCACCATATTGTAGTTTGCAAGGGATTCAAAATAGATAAAAAAATCCAGGATGAACTTGTGCCAAAGATACATTTTGTAAGATTTAGATAAATAGCTAGCGATTATTGCTATGATAGTTTGAAAATAGATAATGTAAAATGAATAATTTGAAAATTTCATTCAAATTACTCTACTGCGAGTGAAGATATTAGCCTTTAAAGGTTTGACAACATGTGTGCAATAATTTCAACCAACGTACTGGTTGTTCGAAGCTAAGCCTCGCTCCTCCATTTTTAGCTTAAATCAAAATATGGCTGAACTGTTCTAATCTATTTCATATCGGAGAAATCCGATGCCATCGAGGGTTGATTATGGTCTGGATAAGTTAATTAATGTCTAATTAATAATTTAGATAACATTTCAGACCTAAAGAAGAACCTCCAATAGGCAGAAATACACCTAGAGTTGCTCCCCAAATATGCCAAGCTTATGTGGAATCCTCTTCCACTTCAGTAGCCATAGAATCATGTCTTGTAATATATTTTTATTTGGTTCAGCGAAATTTTATCCTAACTTATTTTTTATTTACAGAAAATGTTTATCTTTCGGATTTATCTGAATTTCCTTCGTTAAGTAACAGAAATTCTATCCCATCCAATCCGATGCCTCCACCAAGAAACTATGGTAATGTAATCTAGTTGATATATTTCTCGTTCATTTAAGACTTTCTTCGGGGGACATTTTTTATGATATGTGACCCAAAATGAGTCGGACGTCTCCAGTCTTTTACAATATGAACTAATATGTTAAAATAGGCTAAAAATATCTTTTTATCGATGTATTACGAAGGGTAAAAGTTTAGATTTGACAAATAAAGCAAGCTTAATTTTTTTAATATTTTAAATCTATTTCGACATTTATGACCAATAGTTCAGATTTAACAATAAGCAAACTAAGAAATTTTAATATTTTAAACTTATTTCGACATTGATTAAATATTTATGTATTTTCTGTGTGGTAGGGTTGACCAGCACGCTAAGTATTTATGTATTTTCTGTGTTGTAGGTTTGACCAACACACTAAATATTTATTTATTTTCTGTGCAGTAGGTTAGACAGCACACCAATTATTTTTGTATTTTCTGTGTGGTAGGTTTCAATCTGATTAAGACACCGATCTAATTTCGTTTCGTTTTTTATAGTTCAAAATTTCGTTTTTACTTGTCTTTACTACATTTGGATCTGGAAGACTTGTTATTTAACTCTTGTTCTGCTTGAAATGAGGGGTCAGCCAGTCAAATGGTCTGTTGAATCGAGAGTTTGACCTTTTTTGCGCGGAACTGTGGGTAGACATTACCAGCGATAGAAATCAAAACAAAGCAAAAGTAAATTTTAAAAAGCATGGCGGTCGCTAATTGTTAATCGAATGACTGACGTTAGATCTACATGTAGTGTAGGCCATCGAAAGTATAAAAAACGAAACGAAATATAGATCTATATTTTAATTAGATTGGGTAGGTTTGACCAGCACACTAAGTATTTATATGTTGTCTGTACGGTAGGTTTGACCACCACACTAAGTATTTATATATTATGTGTGCATTATTTATGATCAGCACACTAAGTATTTATATATTATGTGTGCTGTAGGTTTGACCAGCACACCAAGTATTTATGTATTTTCTGTGTGGCAGGGTTGACCAGCACACTAAATATCTATGTATTTCGTATGCGATAGGTTTGACCAGCACACCAATTATTTTTGCATATTATGTGTGCAGTATTTATGATCAGCACACTAAGTATTTGTATAATTTCTGTGTAGTAGGTATGATAAGTAAACCTGTACAAGAGGCAGCACCAGAGTTTAATATTACACAAGAAGAATTTCCGGCGTTACCTGGTTCTCAGAGTAAGTTTCCTCAATTAGTTCCTTAATTAATCCCCTGATTAACAAAGATTGAAGTTGGGGTTGGGTGGTCTAGTGGTTTGAAATCAAAAGGTCTGTCATTGAGTCAACTACCATGGTTTTTGATTCACAAGGAGTAGGGTCACCTGTCTAACCTTGTGGGTTTTCTCCGGGTCCTTTCTGTTTCCTCCCACTGCTAATGACGATATACACACAAATTATTTAAATAAAATGGAACAATATATTAGTCCCGAATGATCTAGTTTGTGTCGAGTGGACGTTAAACCCCATTTCTCTCTCTCTCTTGATAAACTTGTGTTAGGGCATGTAATGTTTATTAACAAATATAAGCAAAAGGCAGAGAAGGAATATCATTACTTATCTTGAAGATTTTAATGTATTTTGTATATAAATAATTTAATAATTTTGTTTTTCTTTAGTAGCATCAACATCATCTACTGGTGAATTATCAAATAAATCTGTAAGTATTCTATATTCATGATGTTTGGTTAGGTGGTAGGGTGGTTGGATGGTTAGTTGTTTCCAACCTCGTGGGTTTTCTCCGGGTCCTCCGGTTTCCTCCCACTGCTAAAGACCCCTACGTGCAAGCGAATTATTGAATTAAAATTAAACAATATGTTAGTCCCGAAATGACCTAGTTTGTGTCGAGTGGACGTTAAACCCCATTTCTCTCTCTCTCTCTCTGGGTGGTTGTTTGGTTGGGTGGTCTAGTGCATACACTTTAGATCATAAGGTCTGTTGTACCATGGGTGGAGGATTGGGTGGCCGACTGGTTAGCACATGCGCATTGTGTCATAAGGTCTGTCATTGCTTCATCTGGTGTGGTTTCGATTCCCCGCATGTATGTTACAAGGAGTAATGTCGCCTGCCCAACCTCATGGTTTTTTTTCCAGGTCCTCCGGTTTCCTCCGACTGCTAAAGACCCCTATGCGCAAACGGATAATGGAAATAAAATTGAACCATGTTAGTCCCGAAATGACCTAGTTTGAAATAGTTTGTGTTAATTGGACCGGAGATCCCATTTCTGTCTGTTTGTCTTTCTGGTCATGGTTTTGATTCTCGGCTTTTATGTGACAAAGAGTAGGGTTTCCTCTGGGTCCTCTGGTTGCCTCCCACGGCTAAACACCCAAACGTCACCCCAACGTGAAAGTGAATTACTGAAAATAAATTGAACCATATGTTATTCCCGATAGGACTATTCAATATTTTAATTCTGATATTTCTGTTTACAGCAGTTACCTACGACTGGTTTATACGACCAGTTAACAGGTAAAGGAGACACAAGCAAATTTTTAGGTGAAAAAACTCAGCCGTCACAAATACCAAAACGTGGGATACAGACGCATCCTGATGGTATGTAATATTTCAATTATATAATTTGCTGATCGTAGTTTCATTTTTCCTGACAATATCAAATTTTATATGGCTTAAACATGCATTATGCAAGAGCAAAATCTGCTTATTACAAGTCTTTCTTTAGGCCTGAAATGTTATCTAAATTAGCAATTAGACATTAATTAACTTATCCAGACCATAATAAACTCTTGATGTCAAGGCTAGCCTTCGATGTAGGCTGGATTAGATTCCTATATGACGTCAGACATTTGATTAACCAATCAGCATTGATGTTACTAGTGGATTACCCACAGTTCCGGGCAAAAAAGGTCAAACACTCGATTCGACAGACCATTTGATTGGCTGACCCCTCATTTCAAGCAGAACACGAGTTAAATAACAACGCTTCCAGATCCAAGTGTAGTAAAGACAAGTAAAACGAAATATTGAACTATAAAAACGAACCGAAATAGGATCTGTGTTTTAACCAGATTGAAACGACATTATTATAGGTAGATAAAATACAAACTTCCATTCAGTTGGATGAGAAATATTTTACCCAGCACTTAAAGGTGACGCTTGCATCTTAACAGGTGACGCTTGCATCTTAACAGGTGGCGCTAACATCTTAATAATATATTATCTGCTTATTGAATGGATTTGAAATGAAATGAAATGGGGTTTAACGTCCTACTGTTCTTCTCCGACTGGGCTAATGAAGACGGGCATACGCCATACAGTGTGCTATGAGGGATATTTTGCCCAGACAGCGGCGCTATGGCCTACTCTTATATCGAATTCCAACTGCGAAGGGATCTTATATGTGCACGCCAATGTGTACACGGGACCTCGATTATTGGTCCCATCCAAAGAACTAGACAGCTGTACATGTCAGGCTCTCCGTCCAGCACCACTGACATGTGGATACCATGCCGGAAAATTCTGGTGAACTTTGTCAGCCAACACCAGAAGTGAAGCAAGGCTGACAAGCCAGTGTCTTACTCACTTAGACACCATGGCTCCCGAATGGATTTTATGTTCAGATGTAAAGAACCCTTGGCAGTTGGAATTCGATATATATGTAGACTGTAACCCCACTGTCCGGGCAAAATGTCCCTAATAGCACACTGTATGGAGTATGAACGTCATCATTAGTCCAGTCGGAGTACATCTTCAATAGAAGGCTTGATCTCGCTTTAACTATGTACATCTTGTCAAGGCCTTCACGTATTACCTGCATATTTTGGCACTAATTTCGATTGGGTACAAGCTCAACTTGTGAGTCTATCAGGTTCCTCGATCATTGCGAATACCAAGTCTCGCGCCATCAAGCTAAAATGTCTACCTGTGATAATCGAGTTGCAAAGTTCAAGGTTCATTCAATGTCAAGGTTTCTGTGGAGGTCGCGATGTCACAACCTCTGATTGGACGCTACTGCTCACGTGTCTGTAGATAACATAGCTATAAGCTCGGGGAATTGTGAAGTAAACAAGCAACGGCCAGATGTTGTGAAACTTGCAGTCGTTGCTTCAGGAACATGGTCGGAGTAGAACAGTAGGACGTTAAACCCCATTTCATTCATTCCAAATTATTTTTTTTACAGGGCTTTAATAAATTTGTTTGATGTTCTGATTTTAGGTACGATATCTAATATTCCCCCGGGTATGGTGACAGATCAGTTTGGTATTGTGGGATTGTTATCGTTTATCCGAGCAACAGAAACCAATCAACATTTAGTTCCCGCTTTAATACCTGGGATAGATTTAACAACACTTGGTCTTAATTTAAATTCTCCTGAGTAAGTTATTATTTCAACCTGAGTAAGTCATTCTTTCAACTCAAGTAAGTCATTCCTTCAACTCTAGTAAGTCATTCCTTCAACTCGAGTAAGTCATTCCTCCAACCTGAATAACTTATCACAATCTTGAGTTTAGTCATTGTCTTAAACCTCTGTCTTAGTCTCGAAATGACCTAGTTTGTGTCGAGTGGACGTTAAACCCCATTTCTCTCTCTCTCTCTTAAACCCCTGTCATTCCTGAAATTTGAGTAATTCTTCCAAATGTGTATTTAACAAACTTGAGTAAATCATTCTTTAAATCTGAGCTTGGGTTGTGTGGCCAAATGGTTTCCCACTACTGCTAATGACCCCTAATTTATGCAATAAAATTATTCCATTTTGGTCCCGAAATGACCTGGATTGTATGGAGTGGACCTTAAATCCAATTTCTCTTTTTAACCCGAGCAAGGCATTCTTCCATTTGTTAACTCTGAGAAGATCATTCTTTCAACCCAAGGGGATCAAAGTGGCTAAGTGGGTAAGATCCTGCATTGGAAGAGAAAGTTCATCCCGATTTTCCGGCATGGGTCCCCTTGTCACTGATGCAGGACGGAGGGTCTGACAAGGAAAGCTGTCTAGTTGTTCGGATGGGATGAAAAACCGAGGTCCCGTGTACATATTGGCGTGCACGTAAAAGATCCCTTGACAGTTGGAATTCGATAAAAGAGTAGACCATAGTGCCGCTGTCTGGGCAAAATTTCCCTCATAGAACACTGTATGGCGTATGCCCATCTTCATTAGCCCAGTTCGGAGCAGAACAGTAGGACGTTAAACCCCATTTCATTTTCTTTCAACCCAAATTAGCATTCTTTCAGTTGGAGGAAGTAATTATATTTCAACCTGAGTAAGTCATTCTTTCAACCTGTGTAAGTCATTCTTCCATCCGGAGTATTTCAAGTTTGTGATTTTTTTGAACATTAAATGTTAAAATTTGTTTTCTTCCAGAATTTTGTACAGTACGTTTCAATCTCCGTGGGCCGAAGCCCCTTGTCGACCTCAAGATATAGGTAAGCTCATATACCCCTATTAACAAGACAGACGGACATTGCAAACAACAAAATTATGTCTATCTTGTTAAAGGGCACATAAGATGGACGAGAAAACTTTTCGGTACATATAGACAACGGTTACTATGTTCACTTTACAGCAAGTTCCCACCAATCTCATTAAAATTAATTCAGCTATAAATGTTTAAGTATCTGACACCCCAAAAGGCTTTTCAATTTTGCAATTACAGCCTTAATCCGGTTGATTGCCTGGTGACATCACAGGGACTACACATAGTTATATACATTATCAATACAATATATCACTGTCTGGTCTGGCATTAATGAATACACATGCCGGCTGTATATAGGTAATTAAGGAATAAACATTCCGAATATGCATTCGGTCAGTGGCGCCTGATGGGATTAAGAGTGTTTTTGATAATTGGCAAAGTCATTTTTACGGTATGTCGCTTTTTGTGACTTTGAGTGACGATAACTGAATTAATTTTAATCAGATTGGTGTGGACTTCCTGTTAAGCGGACATAGTAACCATTCACTATACGTACCGAAAAGTTTTCTTGCCCATCTTATGTGCCCTTTAAGTGAATGAATCCGGATGCCAACCGTAGGGGTCCATTGAACTATACAGACTTCTCTCCAAATGAAATCAACTCGCAACAGGGGAGACAATCCACACAAAACGGGGAATATTTGCCAAGGATTTTTATTAAGATCTGTGAGATAAATATATTACCTCTGTAAGTCGGGGGGTTGGATGGCCGAATGGTTAGCACATGCGCTCTGTATCATAAAGCCTGTCATTGAGTCATCTGGCATGGTTTCGAATCCCCGGTTATACGTGACAAGGAGTAGGGTTGCCTGTTCAACCTGGTGGGTTTTCTCCGGGTCCTCTGGTTTCCTCCCACTGCTAAAGACCCATACGCGAACGCGAATTATTGAAATAAAATTGAATCATATGTTAGTCCCGAAATAACCTAGTTTGTGTCGAGTGGAGTTAAACCCCATTTCTCTCTCTCTCTCTCTCTCTCTCTCTCTCTCTCTGGTCAGTTTAATATTAATGATAATTTGTTTTATTTTAGATTTTCATGTTCCATCTGAATATATAACTAATATATTTATACGAGAAAAGGTAATTATAATGTTTATAATATTCTCTATCATCATCCTTCTTCCCTTACTCTGGCTAACTTCCAGACCTCATAATGGTGTCATCATCTTTAAAGTTACAATTTCATATTTTTAAGTTATATTTTTAAAATGTATTAAAATAAAGCCCTAAAAATAGATACCAGTCCTACCTTGTTAAAGAATAATCCTATTAATCCTATAATTCACTATTGCCAGTTGAGAAATTGGCAAAAATATCATTTTCAACTTCAAATTCAAACGTTTGAAGATAGCTAATCCATGGTGGGGAATAGGAAAACAAGGGAGGTAATTGTGTTATTATTTCCGATGTGAAGATGTTTAAGTGTGAGAAAGATAACCTATGATCGTATAATAGTGAGTTGACAACCTATTGAGCAAAAGACATAGAAATAATTATGTTATGAAATTGTAACTTTAAAATAAAAGTACCAGGAATTCTTGGCTCGGTTTTGATCCTGTTGATCGAGACAATTCCTCAAGACTTCCATCTGTTTTAGTTTTTTGTGAATAGTGAAAGAACACAGTTTAGTCTTTTGTATTGTACAAAAACCTGGGCCCTGTGTAAACTTTGGGATGCATGTAATCTGATTAGAATACAGATCTATTATTTCGTTTTGTTTCGTTTTTTATACGGTCTGTTGCGGCGAGTTCTTGGCATATGATGCACGGCTCTACTACATGAAGAACTGACAGGTTGTAGTGGAAGGTCGTGTCAGAGGTCATAGAAGCAGCTTTTGACCCTATGACGTTAGACATTTGATTAACCAATCTAGTGGGACACACAATTCCGTGCATCACACGCCAAGCACTCGCCGCAACAGACCGTTTCATTGGCTAATCTCTCACATCAACCAGAATGTGGGTTATATAACAACTCTTCCACATCCTAGTGTAGTAAAGACATGTAAAAACGAAATTTTGAACTATAAAAAAATGAAACGAAATAGGATCTGTATTTTAATCAGATTCGGGGACATGTAAAAAAAACAAATTCACATTTGAAATTCAATGAATAGAAGGTTGAACAATTTTCATCCTTGCACACTATAAGATGTATGCCCATTGTCTTTGGGGGGGTGGATGGCTGAATGGTTAGCATGTGCGCGCTGTATCATAAAGTCAATGAGTCAACTGGCGGGATTTCGCTTACACGGTTGTACCTGACAAGGAGTAGGGTCGCCTGTCCAACCTCATGGGTTTTCTTCGGGTCCTCCAGTTTCCTCCCACTGCTAAAGACCCCTACGTGCAAGCGAATTATGGAAATAAAATTGAACCATGTGTTAGTCCTGAAATGACCTAGTTTGTGTCGAAATGAATTAGTTTGTGTTGAGTGGATGTTAAACCCCATTTCTCTCTCTGTCTCTCTCTCTCTCCCTCTCTCTCTCTCTCCCATTGTCTTTAACCCATTAATAACCCTAAATTAAAATTTGAATATTTTATTATTTCAGTTAGCACCAATCAAATTAAATCGTTATGGTGAAGATTTGTTGTTTTTTCTCTTCTATATGAGCGGTGGTGACGTTCTACAGTTAGCAGCGGCAGCAGAATTGTAAGTTAGTTCAGATTCTCTTGGTCAAGATTGGCTGAGAAAATTCATCGGGATTTTCTGTCATCATTTCCCCTTGTCAGTGGTGCAGGACAAGGACAGCTGTCTAGTCGTTCGGATGGGATGAAAATCTGAGGTCCCGTGTATACATTGGCATGCACGTTAGAGATCCGTTGGCAGTGGGAATTCGATATAAGAGTAGGAAGGGTGTCGCTACACAGGCAAAATTTCAGTCATAGCACACTGTATGGTGTATGTCTGTCTTTATTTAGCCCATTCGGAGCAGACCAGTAGGACGTTCATTTAATTTTTTTTCTCTTGGCCGAGAAAGATCTTCAAGCTTTTTCATTTCGCCCATCATGATCTAACATCTTAAAGTAGATAAACTTGATGGTGAGCTTAAAGTAGTTAAGTCTCTAACTCAATATCATCCAAAGTCTTACACATTGAAAACAAGAATTATTTCTCATTTCAAATCAACATTGATGTTGTTATCTTACCGGGAAAAGGTAGGCTTCTGATATCCAATATTTAAGACAAAATAAACATTTTACCATTGGTACAGGAATTGTGTACCATAGTGTGTTTCATCGTCATTTGTAACAAGTGACCAGAAAGAGCGAGGCTAGACATAACTTATCTGGAGTGCATGCGCAATAGACTGGAATAACCAGGGTTGAGACTCATTCCACATTTCGCTAGACATAACTGATTTGAAATTAGAGTCAAAACGGAAACAATTGAATGTAAATCAGTTTATATACAATCAGATTACATTATTATATGCGTTGCGACCCATTTGGGTCAATTTCTAGGTCCCGAATATTAGCGATTTAGCTCCTTTAAGTTTCCCCCAACACAAATCCTATTTCGTTTCGATTTTTATGATGCAAAATTTTCACTCCACTAGATCAGGATCACAAAGAGTTGATAAATAACCTGCGTTCTGGTTGATGTAAGGGATTAGCCAATTAAATGATCACTGTGACTCACAGATAACTGTGGGTAGACATTCACAGCGATACAAAACAAAACAAAGCAAAAGTTGTAATTCTGAATTGCCACTTGAAACTCACACACTGACCCTTTTCTTTCCAAAGAGGGGATTAGTGGTCGAATGGTTAACACGTGGGTGTTGAATCAGAATGTCTGTCATTGAGTCAAATTGTGTGGTTTCGATTCCCTGCTTGTATGTGACAAGGAGAAGGGTCGCTGTCCAACCTTGTGGGTTTTCTCCGGGTCCTCCGGTTTCCTCCCACTACTAAAGACACATGCACAAGCAAATTATAGATATAAAATATGAACCATATGTTAGTCCCTAAGTGAACTAGTTTGTGTCGAGTGGGTGTTAAACCCCATTTCTCTCTGTCTCTTTATTGTATTTTATCATTGGTTAAAATCTTTTGTAAATGTTTGTTTTTCCAGACATACGAGAGATTGGCGATATCATAAAGAAGAAAGAACATGGATGACCAGGGCTCCAGGGATGGAAGCCGTCGTCAAAACAAACACTTATGAACGAGGCACTTATTATTTTTTTGATGCACAAAAATGGAGGAAAGTAGCGCGGGAGTTTCACTTAGAGTACGACAAGTTAGAGGAACGACCTTCTCTTCCCCCAACCCTTCATCATAACCCTAACAACCCAAATCAACCAATCGTAGCACACTAGTTTCTCTTCCAGCACCTCCCAATTTCAACACTCGATACTTATATATGTCAACAACTTTCTTTTTTATTGTACTTGACAAGGAGTAGGGTCACCTGTCCAACCTCGTGGGTTTTCTTCAGGTTTTCCGGTTTCCTCCCACTGCTAAAGACACCTACGCGCAAGCGAATTATTGAAATAAAAAAATTAAACCATATGTTAGTCCTGAAATGACCTAGTTTGTGTCGAGTGGACATTAAACCCCATTTCTCTCTCTCTCTCTCTCTCTCTCTCTCTCTCTGCAAGGTAAAAATCTTTTGACTATTACAAATTATGGTTGAATAGATAATTCAAATATTGGGATATAACAGATTTTACTTTAAAGGATCTGCTTGCTCTGTTGTTCGTGCTTTTCTCATCACTAATGGATCAAAACAAATCAACAATTAACTGTTGAAAGAGGTCTGTGCCTTCACTGATCTTATAAACCTGTAACGGTAAATCTCTTTGATCTTTGGGGTATATTCTATGCCCGGAATAACTTGCGGTCTGAAAGTCGGGGGAGGTTATGGATACATACAGGGAAATTTGGGGTTATTCTTATGAAAGTTTTTCTTTCATCTTGCGTACATGTAAACAGATGGTTTATAAGCAAGATAAAGTCCTCGACTTCGGTTATGCCGGGGAAGAAAGACTTCAGAAAAAACCCTCGACAGAAAAAACTCGGATTTTCTTTCTCTCGGGTTATTCTCTTCAGTCTTTCTTTCCCCAGCATAATCGAAGTCGAGGACTGTATCCTACACTTAAAGCATGGTAATTCCTCGAATACAAGATATTAGTTTTTGAGTTTTTTTCTTATGTTCTTTCAAATTGAAAAGCTAAAATTATGTTGGATATTTTCTTGGTGACACCCCTCCCCCTCTCCACCCAAGTCACCAGAAATATTTAACTTTTATATTCCTAGCATATTGTTTTGTTATATTTTCTAATTTTCAACTAGAAATATTGTTGTGTTTCACTACATGCTTCACTATTCTGGGGTTTTCCAATCTTTTTGTATGAATAATGAATATGGTATATTTATATATAAATTTTCCGGTCTTTTTAAAAAAAGGGGGGTTGGATGGCCAAATGGTTAGCATGTGCGCACTGTATCATAAGGTCTGTCATTGAGTCATCTGATGTGGTTTCGAATCCCCGGTTGTACGTGACAAGCAGTGGGGTCACCTGTCCAACCTCGTGGGTTTTCTCCGGGTCCTCCAGTTTCCTTACACTGCTACAGATCCCTACGCACAAAAAAAATGATTGAAATAAAATTTGAACATGTTAATCGCGAAATGACCTAGTTTGTGTTGAGTGGATGTTAAACCCCATCTATCTTTCTCTCTCTGGTCAAGTCAGTTGAACAATATCGACTTGAAAAAGGAAAAAAATAAAAATTGAAGGAAAGCGAGTTTTAAATCGGGTAGTGAACTATATATGATATAAGATAAAAACAGAGCCAGATTAAGACTATAGGGCTACTAGTACTGTGTAGCCCCTAGAAAGACAGAGTTATATGTTCTGTATCCAGTACCTGCTTTCACAAAGCATTCTCAGACTTAAGTTAAGAATTTACTCAACTTTCAATCACTGTTAATGACAAATATCTTTGATCCAGAAACACAAAACTTTGCACATAGTTTCTTATTGATGTATTTGGTAAGTTTTATAAAGGAATATATATTTTAGTTACAATAAGATTAAGTTTGAGTATATTCTTAATTCAAGTCTGAGAATGCTTTGTAATTTGTACCCAACGACAACCTTTGTTTTTGCCATTGTACGTTTACTACAAATATATATAGGGTATATTAAAGTTGTATTATGTAATAGTTCAAAATTAGATAATCAGAAATTAATATATTGAAAATTTCATTCAAATACTTTATTCTGAGCGATGTTATGTTTGAATTTTTGACAAGATGTAGCGTATATTTTTTATTATAGTAATAATGATACTTGACAATCAAGACTAAGTTTATTTTATCGTTAAATTATTAAATCTCGCAGGTGCTCTATTCCATTTAAATCTCGGCCATCCGATGCGTAGAGAGTTGATTATAGTCTTATCATGTGAATAAATGTTTTAACACATATCTGCACAATAGGCAGATTTAGCTCTTACGTAATGTGTCTTTAATTGAACCCCTATTTTTTAAATAGATAATTTAAAGTATGGGTACTCATACCTTGATTCAGTATTCACAAATTAAATAACTTTTCAGTTAGTCTTTGGATGCCCACCCAACTGACGAGGACCATGGGCATATTCATGGTCGGACGATTTAGGACGTTTGGAAAATAGTGTCGGACATGTCCGAAATCCCATCACTGTTCTAAAGCCCATGCCTTAATCTGGTTCTGCATAAATATTAGAGTATATTTGGTGCAAATTGAAGAGGAAGTATTATATATATTATGTGTGTATATTGATGAAGACGAACCACTAGATTACGGCCAAACCAAATTAAACTATAGTTCTTTGTGGCCTTGATAAATATATTAATGAATAGCCACTTGAGTCCAGACCCCCACCCCCATGCTGGAGCAGAGAATTTTTTTTCCACATAAATTCATGGAAATAACGCTGTTTTGGCTCATCACTCCATTGTAATCATGAGCAGAAATGTTGTATCAAAGCTGCTGATTTTATTAAATTTGTGGGTAGTTCCCCACAACCTAACACCAAACTTGATGTCTCCGCCTTGGATCCCCCCCCACCCCGTCCTCAAATTCCCGGACACGGCTCTGTGATATGGAATACAAGTTACTCAAAAGTTTACATCTGGTGACGTTTGGATGAGGGTTTTCTGGTCGTCATCAAACAAAGAATGACACTTGAGTTCCCGTGAACAATTTCAGTCTTTGGAACTAAAATTCATTGAAAAGATAAAACAAGTATTTTTCCCCATGGAACAAAGGTTTAAATTGGGTTGGCCTATGTGGTATTATAGCATTGTAAATAAAGCATACTTCATGATATAAAACTTATATAATAGTTGTATTGATTATTTGTTACACCCAAGGGGATCACGGTGGCTAAGTGGATAAAACGTTGGCTCGCCTGCCTGGAGGTCGGGTGTTCGATCCCTGCATTGGCCGAGAAAGTTCATCCAGATTTTCCAGCGTGGTTTCCCCTTGTCAGTGATGCAGGACGAAGGGCCTGACAAGGACAGCTGTCTAGTTGTGCGGATGGCATGAAAAACCATGCACGTAAAATATCCCTTGGCAGTTGGAATTCGATATAAGAGTAGGCCATAGTGCCGCTGCCCGGACAAAATTTCCCTCATCGCACATTAGCCCAGTTTAGGAGCAGAACAGTAGGACGTTAAACCCCATTTCATTTCATTTCATTTCTGTTACACTCAAGCCTGCAAATAAAAGCACTTGTCATATGCCACTCTGGTGCCTGTATTTTGCATGACACTGGTTTGTCCTTTTTCAGGAGCAACATGGGTTTAAAAAGTGAGGTCCCATGCACGTAAAAGATCCCCTGGCAGTTAGAATTCAAAATAAGAGTAGGCGCGGAGTCCTGCTTCCGGGACAAAAATTTCCCTCGTAGAACACTGTATGATGTATGCCCGTCTTAATTAGACCAGTCGGAGCTGAACAGCAGGACGTTAAACCCAAATTTCACATGTTGTGTACATTTATAATTAATATAATGAAACTCTTGAAAACTGCAGTTATGACCCCTGAACAGAAAAGTGTATTCTTAAACTTGAAAACCACCCTCGACATCCTTAAAAAAAAAAAAGAACAGAATTTGATATCAATCCTTTCATTTTATTTAAACCATACACAATATTTACAATATTCTGGTATCAATTTATTACCAATAAAAACAATTATCAACTTAATATATAATTTATACAAACAGAACTTATTTAAATCTGATCGATTGTATATCCAAGTCTAAACTTGGAGAAATGGTCTACTATCTTTGTCAAGGACTAGTAAAAAAAACCGTTTTAAGCAGAGCAGTATGATCAATCGGATTAAAACACAGATCCTATTTAGTTTTTTTTTGTATAGTTCAAAATTTTGTCTTTACTACACTTGGATCTGGAAGAGTTGTTATATAATAGCCGTTCTTATTGATGTGAGGAATTAGCCAATGAAACGGTCTGTTACGGCGACTTCTTGGCGTTCTCCGTGCGGAACTGTGGGTAAACCCCTAGAAACGTCAACGCTGATTGAGTAATTAATGTAAGGCGTCATAGGGTCAAAAGTCGCTTGTTTGACCCCTGACGTGAACTCCCACTAAAACTTGTCAGATCTTCATGTAGTGTAAGGCCATCGAAAGTATAAAAAAACAAAACGAAATATAAATCTGTATTTTAATAAGATTGACAAATGATTTATATGCCATGGTGTGAGTACAATGAATGTTAATTTGTAAACTGGACCCAGTCTGATTTCAACTGCTCTTTCATTCAGTAGCAATACAAATTTAATACAAAATTAATTTCAAAGCCTCAGTACACAGATTTGTTTCAGATTCATGCACAAAATGAAATTACCATACAGGACACACCCTCTCAGACGGAAACACACGACTACTGGGCTTCTGGTCGATTTTTGGACAGATGTTACCCAGCGAAGGGTCTGAAACATTAAGTTCCGTTTATAATTGTGCACCACCGATGATGTTTCTTGACACACAATGGCGTTGCTAGGTGAAAAGCTTGAAGTTGGTATTTCTTTAAAAGTATATCAAAGTTTCAGATATTTGCTTGGGACTAGAACACTAAATATGAGACCCTTCCACATAGAATCAACCAGTTTTATTCAGTGAAATATATCTGGAATTCCATCTTCACTTCAACTACTGATGAAACTGTACACCCCACCACCCCCATTCAATAATGTCCTTCTAAAGAGGGGGGTTGGATGGCTGAATGGTTAGCACGTGCGCGCTGTATCATAAAGTCTGTCATTGAGTTGACTGGCGTGGTTTCGAATCCCCGGTTGTACGTGACAAGGAGTAGGGTCGCCTGTCCAACCTTGTGGGTTTTCTCTGGGTCCTCCGGTTTCCTCCCACTGCTAAAGACCCCTAGGCGCAAGCGAATTATTGAAATAAAATTAAACCATATGTTAGTCCTGAAATGACCTAGTTTGTGTCGAGTGGACGTTAAACCCCATTTCTCTCTCTCTCTCCCTTCTCAAGATCACACAAGATTACTGGGAAGATTCCCCAATAAATAAGGCCAAGTCTCTTGTCTCCTTCCAGGTCCACGTGTCATAAAAAAGAATAATAGGCCCAGGATATATCGGATATTTTAGACAACTCTAGTTTCACTCTCTCACATATCGGAACATATTATTCTATTTCAATTTTTATTTCAGTTTTAAATAATGTCATAAAGAACCACTAGCAGAGATTGTTTTTCTGTACTTAACAAACATTGAAAACCAGTGGCCGATGAAAATAACAAAATGGTTTTGGTATAAAATACACCCTGTATCCAAATTTCCACAACAAATCATTCAGTCATCAGAGACTGGTCATTCTCCTGCTAATGATCCTTTAACCCTTTAACCCCTGCACTCCTAGCTCAAACCACCAGTCACAAAAAAGGACTGGATAATAATTCTGTGACATGTTGGTTTGAGATAGTCAAGGGACAGAGAGAGAGAAATGGTGTTTAACGTCCACTCGACACAAACTAGGTCATTTTGGGTCTAACATGGTTCAAATTTATTTCAATAATTCGCTTGCACGTAGGGGTCCTTAGCAGTGGGAGGAAACAGGATAACCCGGAGAAAACCCACGCAGTTAGACAGGTGACGCTGCTCCTTGTCACGTACATCCGTGGAATCGAAACCCTGCCAGTTGATTCAATGACACACAGACATGCTAATCATTCGACCATCCAACCCCCTAGTCAAGGGACAACCTGTTTCGAGTTACAAAACTCAATGTAAAAAAAAAAAAACAACTTTTGTTTAATATTTTTCTAGGGAACTGGGGAAGTCAGTATTTACATTCGATCCCTGCATTGGCTGAGAAAGTTCATCCAGATTTTCCGGCGTGGTTCCCCCTTGTCAGTGATACAGGACGGATGGCCTGACAAGGACAGCTGTCTAGTCCTTCGGATGAGATGGAAACCCGAGGTCCCATGTATAGATTGAAATGCACGTAAAAGATCCCTTGGCAGTTGGAATTCGATATAAGAGTAGGCCATAGTGCCGCTGCCCGGGCAAAATTTCCCTCATAGCACACTGTATGGCGTATGCCCGTCTTCATTAGCCAAGTTCGGAGCAGAACAGTAGGACGTTAAAGCCCATTTCATTTCATTTCATTTCATTTCAGTATTTACATGTACCAAGGGTTAAAGGGTTAACAATTCACAATGACTTAATATGAACAATATTTTATTTGATGAATACACATTTTAATTAAATAAAATTCAATATACAGAATTCTTAATGAATGAAAACAACATTGGCTTGTATTGTAATTATACATGCATCATATTAATGAACTTTCATTTTGATTTAATAGAAATTCAGCAGAATTTTTTGAGTAAACTATGATTCTGAAATATTTGTATAAAAAAAAAAAAAAATATGAAGACTTCACCAAAAATGTGTGTAATTACAACCTTTTATGCCAACCCAGGCCCGTAGCAGGGGTGGTGGACGAACCGCACCTTACCTTTCCACTGGACGCAACACGAAACCAACGACAAATGTGCCCATATCAATATGGGCCCCCCCCATAAGGCCGAGTGACATTGGTTGGGCTGCCCCCCTTGCCTTCCCACTAGCTACGGGCCTGCAACCAAATATGGAATTCATGATATTTACAGATATGTTTATTTTAAGGATAAAACAATATTTTGTCATGTGTTACTAGGTAGGGGGGTTAACTCCACTGTTAGTTGAACAAATATCATTTTATCCCATCAGCAAACTATCATTACCCTAGAAAATCTATCAATGGCAATTGATTGCTTTATAGACGTGAATATATAATTATTCTCAAAGGCATATCTATAAAGATAACCAGTTTAATAAGGAATGATGTTTGTCCTTTTACGATTTCTATCTGGTCAATTATACAAAATGAGCATGAAGGCGTGAATCCCCTCCCCTCCCCCACCAATCCCATTTAATCATCTAATAGAACATCAATCAAAATATACCATATACACAATCAATAAATACATTTAAATATAAATTATATACATATTATATCAGTTAAGAACCCAGAGGGAGCCGAGATATTAGCTTTTGAATTTTAAGCCTAGCCTCGCAAATGATTAATAAAGCCTGTATGATAAAAAACATATAATTTCAATTATCCATTTTTTGGATTTAATCATCAAAAAGCGTTGAGCAGCAGATTGGATTCCAATCCAGTGAAAATCTGACACATGGTCAATTAATATCTAATCAATAGTTTATATGACATTTCAAGCTTAAAGGACAATATTGGTGTCAGTCATTATTAAATTTGTGATAGAACTGGTTAAATACATTCCAAATATAATTTTAACACAAAGATCATTGCTATGGTAGATGTGTAACAAGCACGTGAAGAAACGGGAAGTGACGCCAAACATGACAAACACGAGTTATGCTTCTATATAACTGACTGAAGTAACAAGCGATAACAAACAAACGATCGAATTTCATTTCACTGATAATTCCGTTGAAGATGAAAATGTATTATATGGGACGGTGAGAGGGTATCTCACAATTCAAAAATAGAATTGGCTGTCACTAGATAAGGGAAAACGAGAAAAATAGAAAAATCCTGTGCATTCCCCCATCTTTATTCATTCCGTTCTTAATAAAAACATGGTAATGCACGGACTTTTTCAAATTTGTTAGTTATCTTTTATCTACTGACAGCCAATTCTTTTTTTGAATTGTGAGATACCCTCTCACCGTGTCATATAACAACATTTCATCTTCAACTGAATTATCAGTCAAATGAAATTCGATCATTTGTCTGTTATCGCTCGTTACTTCAGTCTGTTATACAGAAGGATAACTCGTGTTTGTCCTTTAAAGAAAGACCTGTAATAGGCAGATTTAGCTCTTGCATAATGTATGTTTAAATGTTTTTTGAAAACCCTCCCTAATTAAAGACTATATAAGCAGGTGATCCAGAGAGAAAAGGGCAGAGAAATAATTTTAAAAAACAAATATAATTCAGTGATATATTGCAACATTTCTATGACTAATAGAAAGATACATTATGAGAGATTAGATAATGAGCTGGCAGTTCTTACTATAATAGTTAAAAACTAGACAATGTAAAGGCAATTTGCTGAAAATTTCAGTCAAATTGATCCACTCTGAACCAAGATATTAGCGATTGAATTTTAGGCCTATCCTCAATCATCATTACTAAAGTCGGTACAATTAAAAACATAGTCTCGATTATCCATTTTTTTATTTAATCAGAAGCAGCGGATCTGGTTTTAATCCAGTAAATATCACAGCCTAGCAATGGCATCGAGAGTTGATTATGGTCTTTTCATGTTAATAAATGTCCAATTAATAATTTATATAACATTTTAGGCCTAAAGAAAGACCTGCAACAGGAAAATTTAGCTCTTGCATAATGCATGTTTAATGCCCAACTTGACTTTATTTTCAATAAACTCATCTAAATTAATGCCATATTTTTAGAAATTCTAAAACCTATCACGATTGTTTTTGAGTAATTCCTCACCTTTTCTTCTTCAAGTAAATATTGAACAAAACTCATCTTAATTCATAATGCCCAGCTTGACATTTCTCTTCTTCATCTTGTAATTGTTATAAATCTGAGTAATTCTACAATTGTTTTGACTTTTACTCAAATTTGAGTAATTCTATAATTCTTTTGAGGTTTACTCAAATCTGAGTAATTCTACAACTGTTTTGACTTTAACTCAAATCTGAGTAATTCTACAATTGTTTTGACTTTAACTCAAATCTGAGTAATTCTACAATTGTTTTGACTTTTACTCAAATCTGAGTAATTCTATAATTGTTTTGACTTTTACTCAAACCGGAGTAATCCTACAATAGTTTTGAGGTTTACTCAAATCTGAGTAATTCTACAATTGTTTTGAGGACTACTCAAACCTAAGTAATTCTACAAATCTTAAGTAATTCAACATCTGTGAAGTAATTATTATTTAATAGTATTTAAGTAATTCTACTGCTTTTTTTCGACTGTTACTCTTAGAATTCAATTACTCTAGAAACATTTACCATTTTCTGAGAAATTTTGAAATCAGTCACACACTTATTTTTTTAAGGAATTTGATATATACATGTAGGTCATCGTATGTGAAATAATTTATGATTAATGAATGAATGACAAGAGATCTACGAATGCCAACAAAAATATGAGTGACTTAAAAAAAAAAAAACTTTGAAGTCTGCGCAAAAAAATAATATAATTTGCATTCCTTTCTGTATTCACATCTTCAATTTCTGATTTTATTCTTATAGATTTTGTGATGTTAAACAATAAATTTATTCTGAATCATCTTCCGTATCATAATCTGAATCGTCTTCTGTGTCGACATCATCATCGTGATCATGCTCGTCCTCATCATCTGATATATCCCATTGTGGATGATCTTCAACAGGTTTCGCTTTCTTCACATCAATCTACACAAACAAGAGATAAATGTCGTAAATAGAAATGATAATAAATGGGCTTTAACCCTTTAACATAACCTTCAAGCACCTAATAGAGAGAGAGAGAAATGGGGTTTAACGTCCACTCGACACAAACTAGGTCATTTCAGGACTAACATATGGTCCAATTCTATTTCCATAATTCGCTTGCACATAGGGGTCTTTAGCAGTGGCAGGAAACCGGAGGACCCGGAGAAAACCCACGAGGTTGGACAGGTGACCCTACTCCTTGTCACGTACAACTGGGGAATCAAAACTATGCCAGACTTTATGATGAAGCGCGCACGTGCAAACCATTCAGCCATCCATCCCCCCCCCCTCCACCTAATCTAAGTTACATGAACCAGTATATGGTCATAATCCTTTTGTGGCATTTAACAATTGGGGACATAACAGAACTAACACAGTTATATGGGACAACAATCACTGGTTTATTATACACAAGCACGACGTTTCAATAAATATCCTTACAGTAATACAAAATGGTTTCATGTTTATCTATATTTTATTCCATCTTGGCTCAATTAGAAATAAACTGCAAGAGCCGGATAATAATTGATTCAAAGGCACATTTCAAGCTTTTGTCCGTATGTGCGAGTAGATAACTTCCAGTTTGGTGCAAGTAGATAACTTCTTTTTTGTCACCATCTTTGAAAAATGTCATAAATTTTCCCAGAAAGTGTCTTGTACAGCAGACAGCGAGTTTCAAATTTTCCAGGAAAATTCTATTATTCCGTCGCGTCAAATATAGGGGAAAGTATTTTGGGGCCCTGTGCATGGAATACCTAATCGTGTTTTAAACAGTGGGGGGAAAACCGGAGGACCCAGAGAAAACCCACAAGGTTGGACAGGCGACCCTACTCCTTGTCCCGTACAACTGGGGATTCGAAACCCTGTGTATGTTTACAACATCTATCTTATTTGAAATAAAATATTGTTTAAATCCAAACCAAAAAGATTAAACTTACCTTAAAATTAACAAATTTATCGAAATCAACAAAATAAGAATCTGAGCGAAGATGAACTGAATACTGATATACACCTGGTGTGCTTGGGGCACAAAACTTCAACTGAATCTGAAAAATATATAATTTTATAATTTTCAACTAAGGACATTTGATCAAATCCTAAATATACAATGAGTTTAATTTCCTAGGTCGCGTCAGGGTTCATATGACACTATGACATCAGAGATTAATTAATCAATCAGCATTGATGTTTCTAGTGGTTTACCTACAACACGCCAAGAACTCGCCATAACAGACCGTTTCATTGGCTAATCTCTCACATCAATCAAAAGTCGGGTTATATAACAACTCTTTTAGATCACAGTGTAGTAAAGACAAGTAAAACGAAATTTTGAACTATAAAAACTAAATGAAATAGGATCTGTGTTTAAATCAGATTGACTGCGCAATCATCTTATTTTTGGTGTGAATAACCCATACTACTGTGTTCTGTATTTTAACGTACCTCTTCTTCTGTTTTTAAACTACAGATCTGTACTGGTGCTGTTATTAATAAATGTCTCTTTCTATCAGCCATATATAACCACCACCACTCATGTTTATCCTGTAATATAACATAACCTATATATAATATAACATATACAACATCATGTTATATAACATAACATACATAATATACAACATCATGTTATATAACATACAACATCATGTTATATATAACATAACATATATAACACAACATATACAACATCATGTTATATAATATAACATACATAATATACAGGGCTGTCGGTAATTTTTCACAGATGATTAGCAGCACTGCTAATCAAAAAGTCCAATTTTGCCAAATTTGATTAGCAAATTTAAAAATTGATTAGCAGTTTTTCAGTTTCAACATAAAACACCTAAATAACAAGATTATTTTAATTTTAATTGATAGCAAATGATTAGATTTCATTCTTAAGATTAGTTTAGAATTTTAGCACTTCTACAGGTAGCTGTGAACATTTCTGAATGAATGTAGACTTTTGGTTAGGCCTTATGTCTGAAGCCAATTCTTGGCAGTGGCTTCTTATTTCTTCGTTAGAAAACATTTTCGTCTGCTTTTTATCGTGTGTTATTATTTTTGTTCAATCGGAAGCACGCAGTATTTTACGAATAATCTCGATTAACTAGACGCACGCGATATAAACAATAATAGTTTACGGGAATTCTTACTTTGATTTCTCATTTTACAATACGTTTACACGTATTTATTTTTTATATTTTATTTACAATACGTGGGGGATACACTGAATTTATTTTTTTTCAAATTGAATACTGATATAATTACTCGAAATTGACATGTCTCGCAACGTGAGTGGTACTACTTGATTCCCTATTTCCAGTTTAATAGACCCGATTCATAGAGAGAGGTCCCTGTATTATATAGTATAATGAATTGAGTCTGGGTAGTTCGAGAAGAAAATGTCACACGGAGAATTCCGTTTTGTTTATAAAATTTATTTGATATTTTATACACGTTGAAAGTGTTGAGAAATGTGGATAAATCTTTGTGTCAATATCCAAAATGACAGGCATATTAATGATTCGCAGTTACTGCGAATCAAAAACGTTAAATTTTAATTTTTGATTAGCAACGGACAAAATGTGTATCGCAAATTGCGCTGCGATACTGGTTGTCGGCAGCCCTGATAATATACAACATCATATAACATAACATATATAACCACCACCATTCATGTTTATCCTGTAATATAACATAACATACATAATATACAACATCATGTTATATAAAATAACATGTATAATATCATGTTATATAACATATATAATATACATCATGTTATATAAAAATATACCTATATAACCACAACCATTACCACCTGTAACATAACATATATATATATACAACATACTCTACAACTTGAGTATCATGTAGCTGTGTTGTTTTAGCAGGAATTTCTGTATTTAATGTTGGAAAACTGTTTAAATTCATTGAGAATCATAGAAAATCATTGGGTTTCTACTGTTGTGTAGTTTTTAACCCTTTCACTGCGTATACCCGGTAGTACCGGGTATTATAAAATGTCGGTAAAATGCCCGTACCCGGTATTACCGTGTACTCAGTAAAGCCCTCGCTAAAATTAGTACCGTAACTGCAAGTGCCATCTATTGTATTTTCTATACACTAGAACATATTTCCACGTGTTTCAAAGCAGCAAACCGTAAAATGGCGGAGTGCATTGTGACAACGTAGACGATGCACTCTCGACGAAGTCGTGAATGACGTCTTGCTGACCAACATGTGGACAATTTCGAGGCGGGTGATACACATAATTCGTTTCCAGTTACTTGATAATGATAGTAGTCAGGACAGTGATTGGTATTATGAAGTGTGTGATTTGTTGCGCGACGTTCCGCCCATGGCTAGCTATGTCTCCCGTGCATGATGAACAAGCCCAATGTGAACACGATAGCAGTAGATTCTGACAATAATTCTGATGTTGATAATAATGCTGGCCTGCTGGATCGTAAAATACGTAGGTAATTCCTGATTCCCGAACGTGTAGATCTATTGACTGACTATATTGATAATGATATGGGACTTGGGGATGAAAGTGAAAGTGAAAGTAAAAACAAGGTATTGCAATCTGCACGTGATCATGGCAGCGGGAGACGTGATGCGCGTGTTCGCGGCAGCATTGCTCATGGCTGCTATTGACATTTTTGTTCATTTTATATATCTTTATCAAAATCCAGTAAAAAAAACAATATCTTTTAAGTATTTCATGGAGAAAAATTCGTTTTCGTGTTAGCTTTAGTGTGAAATGAGAAATCCAAAATGGCCGCCATGACGTCACGTGACTACATTATTATGCAAATTTCCAAAATTCTATTTTTTCCTCTTAGCCCAACCTCATGCCCATCCCAACAGACAAAAAGATTTTTCATAAAAGCTTCCATAAGTACTGCTTGGCATTCAGTTCCAACCTCCCTTTTTTCCTCAAAAAAGGGTCTAGCACAGGCAGTGGATTTACGTCTAGCATTGAAAGGGTTAAAGGGTCTGTTTAGATTAGATAATGAGTTTATAACTGTTTAGTTTCTTAAAAGGGGTTGAGTAATTAACACACTAATTAATTAATCAACACTGCTCTAGAATTTAAACAGTTATAAACCCAACACTCATTATCTAATCTGCGATATCACCTCGGTGGAAGCGGACGTAAAATACCTCTAACAAACAACAATATCCATTTAAAAACTATACAACAGTGGAAATACAGTCCTGATAGTTATAGAGAATTATGGTCCTGATAGTTATAGGGGAATATGGTCCGGATATATATATAGAGAAATATGGTCCTATAGCCCTGACTGTTATAGGGAAATATGGTCCTGATAGATATAATGAAAGAATGAATGAAATCGGTTTTGAGGGAAATTTTGCCCTTATATCGAAATCCAACTGTCAAGGGATCTTTTACGTGCACGCCAATTTGTACACGGGGCCCCATTTTTTTTCATCCCATCCGAACGACTAGACAGCTGTTCTTGTCAGGCCTTCCGTCCTGCATCATGTTATAGTATTACTTTCTATCAGGTTCTTGATTACAAAACTAGTTTAACATCTTAACATAATACTTTTATTCTCTGCTTCTTCTAACATATTATATACAAAACTTAAAGACTCCATAACTAGCTTGTATTGAGAGATCCATGTCCTAGCTCGGCTAGGCACGAGTGTGCCAATTCCCAACTAACTTACATTACATGGCCGTTGTCCGGTCTTTACTCCAGACCTGCGTGGCCTGTCCTGGCCAGACCTGTCTGTTGATTCGTTTGTTATCTGGGCTTATATACCATTCCAGACAAAGGAATCTTATTAGACATCTGGCTGATGTATCATGTATCATATCAGGTTTAACATTTGCTTATCATCAAAGAAAGTTTAAATTTAAATAAGACATGCCACCAAGGTAAGGTTAACTAATTGTTACATAATCACATAGACCAAGAACTCCAGGGATGTCGATAGCGAACAGGTGTCAAGTTGGCAGGAAGCGTCTATAACATCAGATAATCTGTGATTATTTAACAATCACTGACAAGAGGGAACCATGCCGGAAAATCTGAATGAACTTTCTCGGCCAATGCATGGCTACACCTGATAGTTATAGGGAAACAAAGACTTACTGTAGGGAAACAAAGACTTACTGTAGGGAAACAAAGACTTACTGTAGGGAAATATGGACAGTGAACTGGATGACTTTCTTTTATTTTAGTTTCTAAAGAATTTTCTTTTTTTGACTGTTGTTGAAATTTGGACCAATCTTCATCATCATCTTCTCCAGTAGATTTTTTATTACCCTCCTCGTCAGATTCTGAATCGTGTTCTACTTCTTCTCCTTCTTCCACTTCCTCACTCGCTACTTTTTTAGGTTTTGGGGATTTCTGCTAAAATACATAAAAAATTTGAAAATTGAGTAAATTCTCTACGTATAATTGTTTACATAGGGCAGTGGAATCACATAATAACATTCCTATAGAAATAGACAGAGAGAGAAATGGGTTTTTAAACAAACACTCAACACAAAGTAGGTCATTTTGGGATTAACATATGGTTCAATTTGATTTCAAAAATTTGCTTGCGCATAGGGGTCTTTAGCAGTGTGGGGTTCGAGAGAGTGGGGGGGGGGGCTTCGAGAGAGTGGGGGGGGAGAGACTGGAGGACCTGGAGAAAACCCACGAGGTTGGACAGGCGGCCCTACTCCTTGTCACGTACAACCCGTTAATCAAAACTATGCCAGTTGACTCAATCACAGACTTTATGATACAACGTGCACCTGGCACATCAAAGAACAATTTGATTCATAAACTATACACATACTTCAGGAAAACAGCTACTGATTTACTTAGGCACGTTTCGAAGTGTATTCTCTCAACGTTTTCATGTATCCTAAATTAACAACTATTCAACTTACTTTAACTGGACCATTTTGTTCTTCTTTTTCTTTCTGTAATTTATTAATTGCTTCCATTTCCGCAGCCCGAGCCTTGGCTTTTCTTTCCTTATATTGAGCTTTTCTACTTTCGGGGTTTGGTTTTTTCTTTCCTTTACCTCGCCTTTTATCCCAAACTGAAGGTGCGTTACCTTCGGCGCCCTCTACAACCTGAAATAATCATAGAAAACCCCATTGTTACTATACTCCACATGTTGCTGTTCCTGCCGGACCTTTACCCTTGGAATAGTCCAGCTATTTATATTATCTAGTTAAGTTAAAGACACATTATGTAAGATTTAGATAAAGAGCTGGGCGTTCTTGCTATAATAGTTCAAAAATAGATAATGAAAAATGAATATATTGAAAATTTAATTCAAAATACTTTACTTTGAGCGAAGATATTAACTTGGAAGGTTTGACCAGATGCTAAGCCATGGTTCACTATTTTTAAATTAATTCATTGGCCAAACCGTTCTAATCTACTTAAAATCGGACTAATCCGATGCCATCGGCCGTAGTTTATGGTCTTGTCATGTTAATAAATATCTAATTATTAGTTTATAGTTAACATGTATAACCTGATGAAAGAGAGAGAGAGAAATGGGGTTTAACGTCCACTCGACACAAACTAGGTCATTTCGGGACTAACGTATGGTTTAATTTTATTTACATAATTTGCTTGCGCGTAGGGGTCTTTAGCAGTGGCAGGAAACCGGAGGACCCGGAGAAAACCCACGAGGTTGGACAGGCGACCCTACTCCTTGTCACGTACAACCGGGGATTCAGACCTGATGAAAGACCTGCAATACCTGTTTAAAGGAGAGGGTATATTGAAATAGACAGTGCTTCATCTGTTCTTGAGCAATCAATTATAGCTATTTTCTCAGCTTAATAACACTCATTTCCATTAAATTATATAGCAACATTATACATTAAAAAATACTATGTTTATGCCAAAATGTTATTTTATATTTTGTTTTAGTTCCATCAAAGAATTAATAACGCATAGATTTCCTTCTTTCTTTAAAATCAAATAAATATTCTCACCTCTTTTTCACCATTTTCATCTCCTTCGATTTCCTCATCACCATCTTTAGCCGTTTCTTCAACTGATTTCTTAGTTCTCTCCCCTTTTAACAGATCTTCTAATGGACGTCGTTTTAATATTACCGTTACCGTGACGATAGATCCAGCCGTTACAGAATTATCTTCATCATCTAAAACTGTTCATTGAGAAAAAAATAAAACAATTTTGCATAAAAGTGAAAATTTACAAAATTTTCATTGCATATAATATTTTACTACGAGTATATGACCATCAAGTATGTTCTCTTTTCACAAGATTAAAGGAAAATTTAACGCTACTTGTGAATTGCCTACCTGAAGTAATGAACAGACTGGTAATGAAAACTAAAGACTAGAAAAATAAAAGATGTATAGATGAGTCTCAGATCACCTTTTATTAAACCATGTAGAGTAAAACCCCTATAGAGTAAAACCCCGGTAGAGTAAAACCCCTATAGAGTAAAAACCCCTGTAGAGTAAAACCACTATGGAGTAAGACCACTGTGGTGTAAAACCCTATAGATTAAAACCCCTGTAGAGTAACCCCGCCCCCCATAGAGTAAAACCCCTGTAGAGTTAAACCCCTGTGGTGCCAAACCCCTGTAGAGTAAAACACCCTTAACACCCCTGTAGGGTAAAACCCCTGTAGAGTAAAACACTGGTAGCGTAAAACCCTTGTAGAACTAGGGCAGTGTAAAACCCCTGAAGTGTCAAACCCCTATATAGAGTAAAACCCCTGTGGAATAAAACCCCCTTAGAGTAAAAACCCCCTTAGAGTAAAAAAACCCTTAGAGTAAAAAACCCTGTAGAGTAAACCCTCTATAGAGTAGCACTCCTATAAAGTAAAACCCCTATAAAACCCCCTATAGAGTAAAACCCCCCTTAGAGTAAAAACCCCTGTAGAGTAAACCCTCTATAGAGTAGCACCCCTATAAAGTAAAACCCCTATAAAAACCCCTATAGAGTAAAACCCCTGTAGTGTAAAACCCCTGACCCCATGTAGAGTAAAACAGGTGTTTTAGTCGACAAGCCCCAAGACAATGAAATAGAATTCCTTTTAATTTATGCAATAACCAATCTAAAGCTATACATTTTTAAATAAACAAATTCCAAACCTATCTATTTTTTACAGGCTTTAAATTTATATTCAATTGTACAGGGTGACGAAATAAAAAAAATGTACAGGACTCAATTCTGTGGAATACTACATGTATTATTACCCTAATAACCAGTAATTGTATGGAATACTACAAGTATTATTACCCTAATAAACTGTAATTGTATGGAATACTACAAGTATTATTACCCTAATAAACTGTAATTGTATGGAATACTACAAGTATTATTACCCTAATAAACTGTAATTGTATGGAATACTACAAGTATTATTACCCTAATAACCAGTAATTGTATGGAATACTACAAGTATTATTACCCTAATAAACTGTAATTGTATGGAATACTACATGTATTATTACCCTAATAAACTGTAATTGTATGGAATACTACAAGTATTATTACCCTAATAAACTGTAATTGTATGGAATACTACAAGTATTATTACCCTAATAACCAGTAATTGTATGGAATACTACATGTATTATTACCCTAATAAACTGTAATTGTATGGAATACTACAAGTATTATTACCCTAATAAACTGTAATTGTATGGAATACTACAAGTATTATTACCCTAATAACCAGTAATTGTATGGAATACTACATGTATTATTACCCTAATAAACTGTAATTGTATGGAATACTACAAGTATTATTACCCTAATAAACTGTAATTGTATGGAATACTACAAGTATTATTACCCTAATAAACTGTAATTGTATGGAATACTACAAGTATTATTACCCTAATAAACTGTAATTGTATGGAATACTACATGTATTATTACCCTAATAACCAGTAATTGTATGGAATACTACAAGTATTATTACCCTAATAAACTGTAATTGTATGGAATACTACAAGTATTATTACCCTAATAAACTGTAATTGTATGGAATACTACATGTATTATTACCCTAATAACCAGTAATTGTATGGAATACTACAAGTATTATTACCCTAATAAACTGTAATTGTATGGAATACTACATGTATTATTACCCTAATAACCAGTAATTGTATGGAATACTACAAGTATTATTACCCTAATAAACTGTAATTGTATGGAATACTACAAGTATTATTACCCTAATAAACTGTAATTGTATGGAATACTACAAGTATTATTACCCTAATAAACTGTAATTGTATGGAATACTACATGTATTATTACCCTAATAACCAGTAATTGTATGGAATACTACAAGTATTATTACCCTAATAAACTGTAATTGTATGGAATACTACATGTATTATTACCCTAATAAACTGTAATTGTATTGAATACTACAAGTATTATTACCCTAATAAACTGTAATTGTATGGAATACTACAGGTATTATTACCCTAATAACCAGTAATTGTATGGAATATTACAAGTATTATTACCAATTGTATTCCATAGCATTGTGTCCTACAGGGTGGGCCAAAAATATGTAACCCATTCTGATTGTACACTACCCTTTTTAATATGAATACTTTAATAATTTTTTTCAGAAAAATGTCACAGATGAAGGAAGTTTTTATTGGAGACTATATAGTATCCAATACATCATGGTGATGACAGTGTTTCACAAATAATCTTCACAATTGACAATTTTCATGATATATGTAATTCTGTGAAAGTGTTGTGAGGGGAGATTGTATAGTTAAGGTGATTAACACATTTTTTTTTATATGTAACATGTCTTCCTACCTTCAGTATTTATCGTCATTTCTACGTCAGGCATCTTGGCTATTACACTGATAATATCTAAATACTCATCATCACCAAGACTACGGAATAATGGTCGTCTGTCTTCTTCCTTTAACATAGCTACATCCTTCAAACATCTCACAGGTTTCTATATAATATAATTATACTCATTAGCACAGCTACATACTCATTAACACAACTATATATTCATTAACATAGCTACATCCTTTCAACATGTGACAGGTTTCTACATAAACATGCTCATTAACATTTCTCTAAAGAACCCAGAAAACTGGTAAATGATATATTTTTTTTTGTGGGTACATCAGTTGACCACATAGGGGTCTTGATCGGCAGTGGGACGAAACAATATGGTACATATGTGCATAGTGGTCTTTCGCTATGGGAGGAAATGTGAGGTCCTATAGAAAACTCACTTGGTTGAACAGGAGGATATCTAACAGAGAGAGATAAAGAGAGTATGTGAGAGGGAGAGAGAGAGGTTAATGTCCATTTGACATAAACCAGTTCATTTTGGGTCTAACGTATTGTATGCACAATTATATTCTGATGAATCACGTGCGTGGGGTGGTCTTTAAAAGTGGGGGGGATCTGTAGAAAACCAACCAGGTTGGACAGAGAGAGAGGGAGAGAGAGAGAGAGAGAGAGAGAGGGCCTAATGTCCATCCAACAGACCTTATGAGCCAACCATTCTGTCACCCAACCCCCATAGTATATAATAATATTTCTAACGATACCTACCTTGCCTCGACTAAGTTGTCGTAACATATCATTGGTCATATGAGGTAATTGTAAGAATGGACTAGATTTTTCTTCTACAGCTTGTATCGTCATCTGACTCAGCTTCATTATATTTTCAATCGTATCCAATCGGGGAGCTTTATGAACTTTTAAAATAAATTAAACAATGTAATTATTTAACTGAATATGATGAAAGTGGGAGGGGGAGTGGGGGGGGGGCTGCTGCACCAGTTCAATCTATTCCATATCTAAGTCATCTAATGATCTAGAGAGTTGATTAATAGCTTGAGATGTGAATAAATGTTCAAATAATAATTCATTTAACATTTGAACCCAGAAAAAAGATCTGTAATAGACAGATTTAGCTCTTACATATAATGTATGTTTAATATCTAAAGTCTCAAGGTTCTTCTATCTTCCTTGGAAAAGTGAGATCAGAGAAGTAGGACAAAATTTTGTTTTATTTTGTCTCTTAAACATACGTTATGCAAGAGCTAAATCTGCCTATTGCAGGTTTTTCTTTAGTTATGAAAGGGTCTATAAACTATTAATTAGACTTTTATAAATATGACAAGACCATATTCAACTCTTGATGCCATCTGATACTCAAGATTTTAACTAGATTCGGCCATTTAATGAATAGATTTTAAAATGGGAAAGCGAGGCTAAGCCTTGAATATACCAGTGCCTTGGTTACGATAATACACAATCAATGCACATATCTTGTCAAAACTACAAACATTGATAACTTGGCTCAGAAAATGAAACAATTTGAATGAAATTTTCAATATATTCACTTTGCATTATCTATAAATGAATTATTACAGAATTTATCTTTAAGGTTTTTCTTGAAAATCTTGGCCTATGCTAACTGAATAATAATAAGTACCAAACTTCTGTTCCTTTTAACAGATATAACTTACTTCTGCCTGCCATTGCCATGGAAACTTGATTAGCACAAATATTAATCATTTCATTGATCAGATACGGACATTTCTTCAATATATACTGACGATCTGAAACATAAATTACATTTTTTCTTCAAAAAAAGGAAGTCACGGTGGCTCAGTGAGTAAGACATAAGCCAAGTGAGACAATCTGAAAGAAAGCATTAAAATATTATTCATAAATTAAAAAATTTTCTTCAAAAAAAGGAAGCTCTGGTGGCTCAGTGGGTAAGACATAAGCCAAGAGAGAGAAATAAAATTGGGGGTTTAATGGCCACTCAACACAAACTAGGTCATTTCAGGACTAAAGAGAGAGAGAAATGGGTTTTATTGTCTACTAGGTCTCATTTTGGGTCTAATATATGGCTCAATTTCATTTCAATAATTCGCTAGTGGATAGGGGTCTTTAGCCACGACAGGGAAACCAGAAGATCCGAATGAAAACCCTACAGGGTTGGCCAGGTAACCTTACTCCTTTTGGAAAAAAGAAACACACACCATTTGACTAATTGAGACCCAATGATGTAACAAGCATGTGTTAAACCATTTGACCACACCCCTAAGACAAGCAAGGTCTACTTAAAAATTTCATCTTGAATAATACATACATATAAATACATAGAAACATACCTATATCTTGATCATTTGGGGGTAAATCTATTCTCTGAAACTGAGCCATTAACAGAGCTCTGGCCTTGACACTGTAAGGATAACACAGTGGTCTTTCTTTATTCTTCTCCTGCATGTGAGGTAACATTTTCATCAACTGAAATATTTAAGTTTTTAAAAAATGTTTATAAAATATTTAACAACGTAAAATGATTAGACTTCTTTTATTTTGGCCAAAACCAAAAATAATTCTATATGTTGGAAACTCAGGTCCTGTTAGTAAAATCCAGATCAATATTTCGTTTTGTTTTTTTATACTTTCAATGGCCTCCACTACACGAAGATCTGTTGTGGAGGGAGGTCGCATCAAGGATCATACAAGCTACTTTTGACCCTATGACGTCAGATATTTGATTAACAAATCAACGTTCATGTTTTAGTGGAATACCCACTGTTCCGTGCACCTCACGCCCAGAACTCGCCGCAACAGACAGTTTCATTGGCTAAGCCCTAATTTACTCATCTTTCAATCACTGTTTATGAGAAATATCTTGGATCTAGAAACACAAAACTTTTCACATATTATAGTTTCTTATTGATGTATTTGATACATTAAAACAACAAAAGTTTTATAAAGGGCTATACATTAGGTAAAATAAGGTGAACAATTTTTAGTAAATTCTTAACTTAAGTCTAAGAATGTTTTGTGAACGGCACAATCATGTCGAATGGCAAATAGGATTCAGAAATGCTGAACTGTCTGGTTGGTTTGATGGTTTGAGGGACATTCTTGGGAAGGAGAGGGGTGATATAGGCTATAACTATTCCCTGATCCTTTTTCATCCTACTGAAATATAATTTTGTTTACTCAAAAAAACTCTAGGGAACTGATCCTATATCACTGTTCACTGATTCTTTTTCATCCATTTAAAATATAATATTGTTTACTCAAAAAAAAACTCTAGGGGATTGAATTCTACAGTAGAATATTGACTGAATCCGAACTCATGAATATTTAAACAAGAAAATAAATATAACTTACTGCTGGTATCTGTTCGTTATCACTCGGCCTCTCTACAACCTCACTATTGTGAAATTTATCAAACTCAAAGGATGCCGCTAAAATCATCACAGCACCTGCAAAAAATAACATTTCTTGTCTGACATGTAGGTTGTTTTACCTGTATGTCAATTTGCTTAAAGCAACCAGGGCTCACAAACACTTAAAAGATAACTTTTCTTGGTAAAGACTCTAAATGTCATTTAAGGTATTGCCAAATCTCTTTCTAACTTTAACATCTCTTGTAAGGAATCCCTTGCACAGAGAGAGAGAGAGAGAGAGAGAGAGAGAGAGAGAGGGGAGAAGTGGGGCTTTAACATCTACTCAACACAAACTAGGTCATTTCAGGTCTAACACATGGTTCAATTTTATTTCAATAATTTGTTAGTGCATAGGGTCCATAGCAGTGGGAGAAAACCCAGGAGGTTGGATAGGCGACTCTACTCCTTGTCAGGTACGAGCGGGGATTCGAAACCATGCCACTTGATTCAATGACAGACCATTCAGGCCACCCAACCCCCAGGAATCCCGTTACAATATTGTGAAAGTTGAATCTCTAGTTGGCCACGGTGACTAAGTGGGTAAGACACCGGCTCACTAGCCTGGAGGTCGGGTGTTCAATCCCTGCATTGGCTGAGAAAGTTCATCCAGATTTTCCAGCGTGGTTTCCCCTTGTAAGTGATGCAGGATGGAGGGCCTGGCAAGAGCAGCTGTCTAGTCATTTGGATGATACGAAAAATGGATGTCCAGTGTACACATTGGTGTGCACGTAAAAGATCCCTTGACAGTTGGAATTCGATATAAGAGTAGGCCGTAATGCCGCTGCCCGGGCAAAATTTCCCTCATAGCACACTGTATTCATTAGCCCAGTTTGGAGCAAAACAGTAGGACGTTAAACCCCATTTCATTTCATTTTCTAGTTGGCCAACCCCTGCTATTGTTTATTATTAATAATATATGGAGAGAAAGAGAGAGAGAGAGAGAGAGGGAGAGAGAGGAGAGAGAAATGAGGTTTAACGTCCACTCGACACAAACTAGGTCATTTCGGGACTAACACATGGTTCAATTTTATTTCAGTAATTCGCTTGCGCGTAGGTGTCTTTAGCAGTGGGAGGAAACCGGAAGACCCGGAGAAAACCCACAAGGTTGGACAGGCGACACTTCTACTTGTCATGTACAACCAGGGAATCGAAACCAGTTGACTCAATGACAGACCGTATGATACAGCGCACGCGTGCTAACCAATCGGCCATCCAACCCCCCAATAATATATGGTATATATGATAATACTTACGCCTGAGTATCATATTGGGTGTTTTATTAATAAAATACCAGTATAGACGTGATGTATCGAGTAAAACCTGATCTCCACTATATTTTATAGATCTATACCACCATATACCCTACAATTAACAATATCATAACATATACACTACAATATCATATAATATACCCTACAACATCATATATACCCTACAATATCATATACCCTACAATATCATATACCCTACAATATATCATATACTCTACAATATCATATCATATACCCTACAATATCATATCATATACCCTACAATATTATATCATATACCCTACAATATATCATATATACCCTACAATATTATATACCCTACAAAATCATATATACCCTACAATAGAAACTGGGCTCTGATATAAATTATTTAGGCAAAATTTGCTAAAAGGTAGTAACATTTTTAAGTGATAAAAAAATGAATGATTTATTAACTGTGAATGGAACAGGGTTTTTAAAAGCTAATCAACGTAATACTATAATTACTTTCAGACTAATGTATAGCAAATTTAATTTCTAGGGGTATCATTTTGCCTGGTCAGCACCTTCTCCGGATGTTCTTCTTTAAATTTCAACTGCCAAGGATCTTTTGTCAGACCATCAAGCGCCACTTGGCCTGTGTCAAGGATTTGAACCTGTGCCAAGGATTAGAAATAAACTGAAAGTAAATAGATTGAATACTTACGACAACTACTGGTAGAATTATCATAAAAACTAAACCATATACACCAAGAACCTGTCATAGAAAATATATCAATACATAAATACAAAGCATGAAATTAACCATTCCTAACTTTTTTGCACAAATCAGGATAATACAGATGGGTACGCATACCATGTTGTTCCCTTTTAAGTCAATTATGTTTGCCCAACGACAAGAGCACTGTGGTCTACTCTTATTTACATTTTATAGTGCTACCAATGGTAAACATGGAGCGAGAGTTAAACGTCCCCATGACACAAATTAGGTCATTTCAAGACTAACATATGGTACAATATGATTTCAATAATTTGCAGCTGTGTATATGTTGTAACAGAGGGAGGAAAAGAGACAGAGAGAGAAATGGGGTTTTAACGTCCACCTTCCACAAACTAGGTCATTTCGGGACTAACATATGGTTTAATTTTATTTCAATAATTTGCTTGCATATAGGGGTCTTTAGCAGTGGGAGGAAATTAGGACCCGGAGAAAACCCACAAGGTTGGACAGGCAATCCTACTCTTTGTCATGTACAACCGGGGAATCGAAACCATGCCAGTTGACTCAATAACAGACTTTATGATACAACATGTACATACTAACCATTCAGCCATCCAACCCCCCAGACGGAGGAAAGTGGAGGTTACTGAAAAAAAAACACAGTTTAACGTCCTACTTGGTTATTGTCATGTACAAGCTTCAGATCAAAACCATGCAACTTGACAGACCTTATGATTAAAAATGCATTCGGCCATCCACCTCTCCTTGACTGGAAAAAATTGAAATGATCAGAACACTTACCCATAAAGAATTTTCTCGTTCTACGATCCATTTAGGTAAAGCTATTCCAAATCTGGTTACTAAAACACAAATCACATAAAACATAGAGAATTGAAGATCAAGTGAAATGATATGAAGTTTGACGTTTCTGCCGTTAGGACAACCATTTCACTCATAACACATTGCATGACGTATGCTCATTAGTCCAGTTGGTGCATAAAAAGAGAGAGAAATGGGGTTTAATGTCCACTCGACACAAACTAGGTCATTTCGGGACTAACATATGGTTTAATTTTATTTACATAATTCGCTTGCACGTAGGGGTCTTTAGCAGTGGGAGGAAACCGGAGGACCCGGAGAAAACCCACGAGATTGGACAGGCGACCATACTCCTTGTCACTAAGGCTGTGCAAAAATAACGATATAATCGATAATCGGTAGAAGTTATTTAGAGATACGATAATCGATATTGAAATTCAAATATCGATTATCGGTATATTTACCTTCTGACGGCAAGTTACGGTCACTTTCACATGACTGAACTTGCTGTAGTCTGGCATTAGCAGACGAATGAATGAATACACGTCAACACAACTATTTCCCCCCTCTGCTTACAAACTGGCACATTTTAAATATATATTATTGTAAAAAAACTAAACTTTAAGATTAAATACATTATTTTAATATTTTCGTTGTTTTTGTTGTTATTACTAGTTAAAACTAAAATAGGTCACGCACTTTGTGAACAATGACAATCGCACGTGATATATAGTAAAATTAGAATTATCTCCCTTCTTTGTTCTTGGTTGGTTTGTAGAGAAATCGTCTGCTTTCACGATAAAACTAATTGTATTATTAATCATCAACTCCGTTTTTATTACTAAATCATGTCAGATACAGCCCATACAAAACACATTTTTGACTTCCAGGGCAAATATCTATATCTCTCGTAATTTCGTGGAAGAATTCTACTTTGGTTTTCATCTAAATTAACCAATCATAAAAATTCTACTTTGAAAGCCTTCTATTTTATTTTATTCTATTAGTAGTAACACTGTGTGATCGCCAGTCACTTGCAAAGAGAAACCATGTATTGTCTTTGTATTTATCGGAGATAAAAAAAGGTTCAAATGAATCAAGAACAGAACTTAGAATAATACTCAAGATAGTCCTACATTTAGCAACTAATTATTTTACATTAATTGATTTTTTTTACGTACATCGGCACAGTATTAGACTAGGATAATAACACTACTGTAACTCGATCAACACAAATAACAGGTCGGTAAAGTTCGGATTTTTCCGGAAAAAAGATAATCGATTATTATCGATAATCGCTGACAAATTCTTGCCGATAATCGATATTGAAATTTCATATCGATTCCCAGCCTTACTTGTCACGTATAACCGGGGATTCGAAACCACGCCAGTTGACTCAATGACAGGCCGTATGATACAGCGCACGCACGTGCTTACCATTCGGCACGTGCTAACCCCCCCCGCCCAGTTGGTGCATAAAAATAGGATGTAAAACCCCACTTTGTAAGGATATTAAAACTACATTAATTTGGTAGCGAGGTCTTCATACCTTCGCCCACTCCCCAAATTGAAAATACATAATGCTGAAGAGTATAACAGAAGAGTATAACAGAAGAGTATATCTACCTCCTGGTCCATCAGGATTTCCAAATTCCTTCCAATTATTTCTGGATTCTTCATCAGTCAATCTATCAAAATATAGTTTTATTTACATATAATAACATGTTACCAGCAACATTATATGAAAACTTGTGAAACCACATGTTCCTGAAGCAACGACTGCGAGTTTTACTTCACAATTCCCGAACTTAAATCTATGTGATCTACAGACACACGAGCAGTAGAGTCCAATCAGAGGTTGTGACATCGTGACCTCCACGGGAACCTTGATACTGAATGAACCTTGAACTTTGCAACTCAATTATCACAGGTAGTGCCGCAATATGCAGGGTCTTACATGAAGGCCTTGATAAGATGTACGTAGTTAAAGCGAGATCAAGCCTTCTATTGAAGACGATGAAACCAGGGCTTCTACTTCAACTTATTTCAAAGTAACTTCACTGCATCATTTCAATACCCATATCTCAACGTCTATAAACGATAATCAATGAAAACATGGGAACAACAGTTGTCAGGAAATTAAATGCTTGTAAATTGGACACTCATTATCAAAATTAATCAGTCAGCTTTAAACTGGACACAAGTACAAATTAGATGATTTTTGGTAACTGTAAATGAAGTTTATGAATTTACAAAGTTTTGATATTGAATCAATGTGAAAGCAATTAATACTAAGTTCTGCTCCTATACTGGGTTATGAGGGAAATTTTGCCTGGGCAGCAGCCCCATGGCCTACTCCAATATCGAATTCCAACTGCCAAGGGATCTTTTACGTGCATGTCAATGTATACATTGGACCTCGGTTTTTCATCCTTTCCGAAAAGGTAGACAGCTGTCCTTGTCAGGCCCTCTATCCTGCACCACTGACACAGGGAAACCACGTCGGAAAACCCTGATGAACTTTCTCGGCCAGGGATTGACTAGCGAGTCAGCGTGTTACCCACTCAGCCACAGTGGCTCCCACACTATTGATACATGTTACTAAGACTAGTCCACTTACGCAGCATAAGCTTTGGCTATTCTCATAAATTTCTTAGGATCACCAGTCTTTTCTTTATCGGGATGGTAAATCAAACTCAGTTTTCTGTATGCACGTTTAATTTCAGCTGTCGTAGCAGCCTAAAATAAAACATACATATTTAATTTCAGCTGTCGTAGTGGCCTAAAATAATGAAATTTCAGACCATCTAAAATAATGAAATTTCAGACCATCTAAAATAATGAAATTTCAGACCATAGATCATCTAAAATAATGAAATTTTAGATCATCTAAAATAATAAATATATCAGACAATCTAAAATAATACAAATATCAGACCATCTAAAATACAAATATCAGACCATCTAATTTAATGAAATATCAGACCATCTAAAATAATAAATATATCCGACCATCTGAAATAATAAATATATCACACCATTTGAAATAATACATATATCAGACCATCTAAAATAGAAATTAATACTATTGAAGAGTTCAATACAAACGAAACTGGTCACTGACACCCGGGGTGACCAGGTCTTCATTCTTATCTCTTTAACTATTGCAACAAAGCTTAAAGCCATTGATTGTCATTTTCATATTCCAAACAATATTTAGTTTTTAACAGCTTACTCCACACTAATATGTACTCAAGAATCAAATTGATTATAACTCATGTTAAAACATCTAATCAAGAAAAGGAAATATCAATAATAAGTAATTTCTGGGCTTGGATTCAATCCGATCAAAATGATGAGAGAGAGAGAGAAATGGGGTTTAATGTCCACTCCACACAAAATAGGTCATTTCAGGACAAACATATAGTTTAAATTTATTCAGTAATCTGCTTGCGCGTAGGGTTCTTTAGCAATAGGAGGGAACCTGGAGAAAGCCCACATAGTTGGACAGACAACCCTACTCCTTGTCACGTACAATCGGGGAATCAAATCCACGCCACTTGACTCAATGTCAGACCTTATGATTCAACGCGCACACGTTAACCATTTAGCCACTCAACCCCGCTTCAAAAAGATACCCATCAAAAGTTTTTACTCAACACTTATAGATGAAACTGGCTTGTTTATGTTGTCTGCAGATTATTACGAATGCTAATTAATTTCCAATACTCACTCTATCAAGTTCCAATTCTTTAAATGGATCGTATTCAACATAATCAAGCTGCACTTTCGACACTTTATAGGCTAATAGGGCAAATACCACCCAGCCCAGTAATAATATAATTTTTCTGGAATAGACAAATTAAAACAACATCAGCTTTAGAAATATAACTTTTTACAGGCTTTTTCTTTAAAACCTAGTGGATCCTAAGAACAGAATCTTACATTATTATTTAACTGATAATTTCATTTTCCCGAATTAACAAAGTCACTCATTCCCCAATGTCTTGGTAACTCTTTACTATCTGGACCACCCAAACCTACTGCTTCATCTAGAGTCTACATTACTACCATCTGAGTTGAGTGAATTGCTGTGAATTAAGGCCTGTATACTAGTTCTGTCATCTGGGCAGTTGGGCGACGTCACCTGGGCAACCTAACAAGCAGTAGTTATTAGTTTGCTCTTATAAAACCCTGATGGAAGACAAACCTTTTATCAAACTCCCAGGGAATAAAGAACAAGTTTGACTCTTGTCTAGATCAACCCTGAGGTTTCCAGTGTGCATGATCAAGTTACAGACATGAACAGCCGATTCCGATCACAAATGAGCTGTCCACAAGTGGTGATTACACCTGATATGAGTGCGGTAATGAACAGCTGATTCTGGTAACAATGACCTGTCCACGATCAGGAGAGCAGAAGAGAATGCAAGCTGCCATTACTTTCAAACAACTGTGTGGTTTTGTCAAGTTGTGGTCATAAACGGCTAATTCCAGTCACAAACAAATGAAATGGGGTTTAACGTCCTACTGCTCTGCTCTGACTGGGCTATGAAAGAAATTTTGCCCTGACAGCAGTGCTACCGCCTACTCTTGTATCCAATTCCAACTGCTAAGTTTAAGAAACCTTTTACGTGCACGCCAATGTGTTTTTCATCCCATCTGAACGACTAAACATTGTCCCTTGCCATGCTCTCTGTCCTGCACCACTGACAAGGAGGAACCATGCCGGAAATTCCCGATGAACTTTCTTGGCCAATGCAGGGATAAAACACGGGACTTCAAAGTTAGCAAGCCAATGTCTTACTCATTGAGCCACCGTGGCTACCAGTCACAAACAAACCATAAACAATAAGATAAGAGAATTAATCGTGAAGGAAACTTACAGTATCTTTTGCTTGGCTTTGACCCATGGTTCAGTTTCTTTTAATCTTTTTTGTTTAACGAGACATGGCAGACACATGCAGGCTCTTTTCTTTTTCTCCTCATCGTCTACACAAAAAAAATGAGAAATATGATTACACTGTTTACAGATAAATTCTACACAGATATAAAACACCGAAAATTAGAAAATAAAATAGTTTAACCATCCAAAAAGGGGTTCACTAGTCCCTGGGTGCACTAGTCTGCCGCTATAAATAGTATAAGAAATACTATAAATATGGGTATCAATAAACCTAACACTAACCCAACCCCAACAATAGATATCGATGGACTAATGAATGCTAACCCTAACCCTAATAACAGATACCGGTGGACTAATGAACACGCGGACTAGTGAGCATTCCCCATCATCCCCGGCGAACGACTTGATGCAAGGTCCTGAGACAAATGAGTACCATGATGAACAGTCACTGTCTTTCTCAATCAACACCGGAAACGAACCTGGATCATCTTGATCAGTGGACCAGTGTTTCATTCACTAAGCTACTGTGGTTACTGGTTTAGTGGTGAACTATGTGAATTTTCAAAACCAACCAAAAAAGAAAGACTCGGTATGACCGGTTGATATTGTTGTGATTTTGCCCTGTATAATACAGGTGTCCGTCAGGATAACCGGGACTACTTCCACCTATCCACGGAGTCCCGTGCTACCAGCGGGATTTAACCTATATATTGCTGTTTTGCCGTAGCAGCGTCTCAGATTGTGTTTAGACTTCAAATAGGTAACTTGTTAGTACGCGGACACGCCTTAGACTTAGAACGCCAAGTGGGACTTGGTACTGTATATTATAATTATATATATATAAATAACCACTCGACACTACAATATGAATAGAACTTTCAGTTTTCACTCAATGAAAATGCAATCTAATCAAGTTTCTGAGACCCCGGGAACTGGTAGTTGTGTGAAAGAGCAACAGCGTCTTGTTTTCAGTGTTGTATTAAAACAAGTGAATGTTCCATTCTCCTGAACCTGGCTAGGAATCTTGGAAGATCATTCCGGATATTTCCATCCAAGACGAGTTGTTGAGTGGATTTCATCATCTACATGGTCATAGTATAGACTAGGCTACCTCGATCACTTCCCTGGCCCTGGTTGGAAATTTCGGTTAACCTGAGAAAAATTTTACCCAGGGTCGCAGGGTTTAAACCTGTATTCTGCTTCCTGGTTAATCACCAGCATCTAAAATTTCGTGGTCTGAACAGACGATCCTACAACGACTACTAGTAGGCTACTACGACGTAGGCTACATTACGAACAAGAAGAATAAAAATAAAAACATTCGCCATACGGCGAGACTAAACTAGTGGTTTAAATGTGACAACTTGGTTCAGTAACAAAATAATATACCTTCTTTTTTGGACCGTGGCCAGAGATAATATGTCGCCGGAAAAAGAACCAAAGCCCAGAAGGACAGGAGAAAATAATAAAAAGTTCCCCCTTCTTCATCGTACTCAAACTGCATGCCAGCCATTTTGCTAAATTTACGTGTTATACCGGATGTAGGCTTAGCGGTGGGCTTCCAAACGAGAAATTCGAAAGGATCATTTGGAATCAGTCTATTAAAAACACTCTTTTAAAAAATTCTATATCCAAAATTATTGAAATTTTATTATTTTCACCTTTGAATTAAAGCGTATCCCATATTTTAAATTAGAGGTTTTTAATTGTAGTTCTGATTTTAGAACGATTATTCACATAAATTCATCCTTTCGATTTTCAGAGATTTCTTTTAGTTGGAGTCGCCTCCCTTAAACCATTCATTAATCTGACTTTAAAGGAACATTACGCCGACGTAGTCGAGCATAGGGTGACCACCGGTCCAGCATTTTTCGGGACAGTCCCGCTTCCCGAAAACCAGCCAAAATATTCCGCAATTGCTCACGTGGAAGATTTCTATGTATGCGCGAACCTAGTCTCGCGATAGCTTACCCCATTTGAGTATTGAATTGTCAGGTATCCTCTTACAGTCCCATAATATACTATTCAAAAAAAGTAGGGGATATTTGATTTTTAAGTGTTATTAAAGTCACCTAATGAAACTGACGAAGAAACAAATGACAAAATGAAATGAAGTTCACATTCATCGATTTATTCCAAATGATCGTTAGACTAAGTAAGGCACAGACTGACCATTATAAGGGTAAAATGATACCCGGGGTCAAACAGCAAAGTTACCACAGCATCACAACCAAGTCAGTAACAGGTAAATCCTCCTCTGTTTGCCAAACAAGCATTGATCCGACGTGGCATAATCCTAATGAGACGTCTAAGGTCATTTTGGTCCAGATTGTCCCATTCCTATTGCAATGCAACAGCAAGTTCTTGGACATTGGCAGGACGTTGTTGACGTTGACGTAACCTCTGTCCAAGCATGTCCCAGACATGCTCGATGGGGGAGAGGTCGGGACTCAGTGCTGGCCAAGGTGGTGATGTTCTGTTGTTGGAGGTAACCTGTGACGATCCTGGCCCTGTGACATCTTGCGTTGTCATCCTGGAAGATGAAACGGCGGCCATGACGTCGTGCGGACAGCACAACATGGACTGCCAAGATGTTGTCCCGGTAGTACTGGCCTGTAACACGCCCTGCAACAACATGTAAAGCCGTTCTTCCAGCAACAGTGATGCTTCCCCACACCATAACAGAACCACCCCCAAATCGATCATGTCTGATGACGTTAACGTCTTGGAAGCGCTCGTTTCGACGACGCCACACCCTCCTACGTATGTCCAAAAAATCAACAGTGAACCTTGACTCATCTGAAAACATCACATTGCTCCAGCGTCGATTATCCCAGTGTTGACGATCCCTACACCAACGACGTCTTGCCTGAATGTGATGATCTCTGAAACAAGGGATCACGCGAGGACGTCGGGCGCGAAGGTGACCCCTATGCAGTTGATTCGGAATCGTCTGGCCACTCACTCTCACACCAGTGTCTGTTTGAAGACGAGCGCTGATCTGATTTGCTGTGATGACACGATTTCTCATGGCCAAGGTATGGATAAATCGATCCTGGGCTTGAGTTGTCGCCCTTGGTCGACCTGAGCGTGGTCTGTCCTGTACAGATTGTGTATCACGGTATCTGGACCATAGCGTGCTTATGACAGACTGAGAAACATTCATCGTCCGCGCCACAACCGCCTGTGTTGTGCCGATCTGTAGCATGCCAAGGGCACGTAACCTTTCATTTTGGGTAAGCCGACGCATATCAAAATTTGTTTTCTGGTCACTAAAACAATTAAACTGATGTTTCCACCCTGGAATTCAATGCCACAATGACTGTAACATTCAAAGTCAGAGTCGTGCAAATCTTGGGTTGGACCCCCATGATGATCCCAAGCATCACCTGCATTCCATGCGGTAGCTATTGGTGCGTTTGGGCGTCACATGTAACTGGAAATGTTTCTTCTGTTAGGTTCTATAGTGACTTTTTTCGTAGTCATTTGCATATTTTAGTATTATGCCCCCAAAATCAAATATCCCCTACTTTTTTTGAATAGTATATTATAATAACAACTTTTAGTCTTGGAAGGAATTAGTGAGCAGAAATTCGCCCATGTATCTGTTATCACTCGTCACTTCAGTCAGTTATATAGAGGGATGACTCGGTTTTCCTTTGGCGTTCGTCTCTTCCAATTCAGGAAACCTGTATTACTCAGCTATCGTAGCAATGATCTCTGTCTTAAAATTATATTTGGCACGTGTTTAATTATATTAGTTCTATCACAATATGTGATTGTGATAATGACTGGCACCAAAATGGACTTGATTCCAGGTGTTGGCCTGAAGAACTTCAGCACAGCTCTCACTTTCTAGCACGTCTGACAAGGAAAGGGAGAGAAATGGGGTACTTTTAATGTCCACTCGACACAAACTAGATTACATCGGGACTAACATATGGTTCAATTTTATTTCTTGAAATAATTCTCTTGTACTTAGGGTTTGTTAGCAATGGAGCAGTGGGAGGAAACCAAAGAACCTTGAGAAAACCCACAAGGTTGGACGGGGGACCTTACTCTTTGCAACGTAGAAGCGAGGATTCGAAACCCCGCCATTTTACTCAGTGACAGACCTTATGATCTAAAGCCCACACCTTAACCCATTCAGCCACCTAACGCCCCTGCATGGTTTGGTAATTGAGTCCAAGGTGTTGTGTGTTTAAGACACGGACAATAATACCGGCATTGAATAGAACTGTCAAGTTTTTTTTAACACTAGCTCTCACTTGTCAATTGTGACACCTGGATGCCTGAAAAAAAAAAAACAACACTTCTAGTCTATTGGACGGGACGCGAAACAGGTTCTGTGTACCAAATGGTAGTGCACATAAAAGATCCCATGGCAGTAGGAATTTGAAGACTGGTCAGAAAGACAAAATTGGCCGTTTAGTGGTTAGGACTATTCTTCTTTTTGTCCCCTGCCTTTCAAAGAAAGCAGGGGACTATTAAAATGGGTTTGTCTGTCTGTCTGTCTGTCCGTCGCACGTTTGGGACACAATAACTCTCCTTCTAATTGAAGTAGAATGTATAAATGCCTTGATGGCGTTCGATGATGAACATTGTCTGCTTAGGGTAAGCAGAGATAAGCAATCTGATTGGTTGATGCTTTGGGACACGATTACTTTAGTTATAATGAAGTGAGAGTAAGGTTGCAGCGATAACCCGGGGATGCCGATTAATCACGATTATTTTTTTAATTATGATATCGTATCGGCCCAAAATAGATAATCGCCATCCCCGGTATATCGGGAAATTTATTCAGTTATCGCGATAAATCTAATAATCGCCAGATCACTGATTATCGAAAGAATAGAAGTTATTTTAAATAAACAACATTCATCGATGGTATCAAAAGTATATATAAGCTGATATTTTCGTATTTAGACAATTAAGATTATTGGAAACACGGACAATCACACTGCCCAATACGCCGACATATTAGAATCTGGTCAATGCTCAACACCCTTGATGTTTCAATTTTCTTTCTCATCATGCCATCATGGATCATTTTTATCGCGATAAAAGAGAACTATCATGATAAAATACATAATCGCAATACTACTATTTACCGCGATAATTCGAAAAGCTGTTATCGTGATTAATCGTGATAAAATAATTTGATATCGTTGCAACCTTAAGTGAGAGCGATGAAACTCTGAATATAGATTCATTATATCATAATCTTCACCAAGTTTGATGGTGAGAATTTTCTGTTAGGCTAAGGAGCGATAAGCAATTTAATTGATTGGTCAAGACATAACAACTTTGATTTTAATTGTAGTAGAATATTTAAACTTGATGTAGATGTTCATTAGGTGAATGTCTTGACTGCAAGTTCAATGATTAACATTTCGAGCTAAAGCTACGCAGAGCTAAGCAATTTCATTGGTCGATGCTTTGAGACAAGGTAACTTGAATTTTATCTGATAGAGAGTGATGAAGCTTAGTGTATAGTTGATAATCAGTTTGATTGCTCAATACTTTTGAAAAAAAAATGTGCTATTAATTAATATGTGTCATCTATTTATTTTGGTATTTGGGTGGAGGACATCAGCCTCACTGTTGGCTTGTTTGATTTGTTTTCCAGTTCCATGGGGTAAATCACACCAAGTCCAAATTGATTTAAAATCAGTTTATAAAGTAAAGCAAGGTACATATAATTAATTATACAAAGGATTAGTATGGTCTCACACTCTTGACAAATTAATCTAAACTCAGTTTATAAAGTAAAGCAAGGTACATATAATTAATTATACAAAGGATTAGTATGGTCTCACACTCTTGACAAATTAATCTAAACTCAGTTTATAAAGTAAAGCTAGGTACATATAATTAATTATACAAAGGATTAGTATGGTCTCACACTCTTGACAAATTAATCTAAACTCAGTTTATAAAGTAAAGCTAGGTACATATAATTAATTATACAAAGGATTAGTATGGTCTCACACTCTTGACAAATTAATCTAAACTCAGTTTATAAAGTAAAGCTAGGTACATATAATTAATTATACAAAGGATTAGTATGGTCTCACACTCTTGACAAATTAATCTAAACTCAGTTTATAAAGTAAAGCAAGGTACATATAATTAATTATACAAAGGATTAGTATGGTCTCACACTCTTGACAAATTAATCTAAACTCAGTTTATAAAGTAAAGCTAGGTACATATACTTATACAAAGGATTAGTATGGTCTCACACTCTTGACAAATTAATCTAAACTCAGTTTATAAAGTAAAGCTAGGTACATATAATTAATTATACAAAGGATTAGTATGGTCTCACACTCTTGACAAATTAATCTAAACTCAGTTTATAAAGTAAAGCTAGGTACATATAATTATACAAAGGATTAGTATGGTCTCACACTCTTGACAAATTAATCTAAACTCAGTTTATAAAGTAAAGCTAGGTACATATAATTATACAATGGATATGGTCTCACACTCTTGACAAATTCTATAATAATTTTTTACTCAACAGTTTAATTTAATAATCCTGTTCCTTTATAGCCTCATGTTCAGTTTTGAAAGTTGATTAATACCTTGACAAACTAGTTGATGGAATGTGTTTAGAAAATATTGTTTGTAAAAGACACATACATTGTATAGGTCATAGTATACATAGATAGAATAAACATACAAAAATACCAGCGGCTGCCAGGCAGGATACGCCCACATTTTCGAGAGATGGATAGAGAACAAGCTAACAAGAAAGTGATTTTTCCTACAATCAAGGGCCATAATTCAGGAAATTACAATTCGATATGCGCAAATATCGAAAGGAACTGAGATCTTTGTGTTATAAACTTACATTTCAAGTTTCAACAAAATCGGATTAAAATTGTGACCTCTATAGGGTCCACAACCTTGATATACCATATTTTTTCGCTATTTGAGAACGAACGGCAGCCATTTTGTCTGTCAGTTTTGGTCCGATTTTCACGAAATTCGAACTCAGTCGTCCTTAGGGTGTAATGGTGATATAATAATACGTTTTTTTAAATCGGATAAAAATTATGACCTCTATAGGGTCCACAAGCTAAAAACTCGATTTTTCGTACAATCAGGGACCATAATTCAGGAAGTTACGGTCCGATATGCGTGAATATCGAAAGGATCCGAGATCTTTGGGTTATAAACTTACATTTTAAGTTTCAACAAAATCGGATAAAAATTGTGACCTCTATAGGGTCCACAACCTTGATATACCATATTTTTACGCTATTTCAGAACGAACGGTGGCCATTTTGTCTGTCAGTTTTGGGCCGATTTTCACGAAATATGAACTCAGTTGTCCTTAGGGTGTAACGGTGATATAATAATACATTTTTTTAAATCGGATAAAAATTATGACCTCTATAGGGTCCACAAGCTAAAAACGTGATATTTCGTACAATCAGGGGCCATTATTCAGGAAGTTACGGTCCGATATGCGCGAATATCGAAAGGAACCGAGATCTTTGGGTTATAAACTTACATTTCAAGTTTCAACAAAATCGGATAAAAATTGTGACCTCTATAGGGTCCACAAGCTAAAAACGTGATTTTTCGTACAAACAGGGGCCATAATCCATGAAGTTTCGATCCGATACATGCCAATATCGAAAGCAGCCGAGATCTTTTGGAGATAAACCTATATTTCAAGTTTCGTCAAAATCGGATAAGAATTGTGACCTGTAGAGTGTCCACAAACAAATTGTGGCCGGACGTCCGGACGGACAGGGGCGACGGCATAATACGTCCACATGAAAATGTGGGCGTATAAAAAAGGTTTATATATCGATACATGTATGTCATTGTATCGATACATTTATGTCCTTATAAGCATTGAGTTCTTCAATAGTAAGTCTGGCCCTGAGTTAACAAAGCATTCTCAGACTTAAGTTAAGAATTTACTCAACTTTCAATCACAGTTTGTGAGAAATATATTTCATCTAGAAAATCAAAACTTTACACTTAGTTTCTCATTGATATATGTGATACCTTGAAACAACAAAAGTTTTATAAAGGCCTATATTTTAGTTAAAATAAGGCAAACAATTTCAAGTAAATTCTTAACTTAAGCCTGATAATGCTTTGTGAACTCGGGGGCCCAGAATCATTTTTCAGTATTTTATTTACTAGAACTTTATATTTAACATGTATGACAGATGACATTAACACCATTCAACTTCTCTTAGAAATGAATACAGATTCTTGGAATGGATCTTCAACACTTTATTTTAAGAGCAAATAAAAGAAACAAACAACTTATAATTTCCTATAAATAGGATGTCCAACTAGTATATGTATATATATAGGTTCAGTGGCAGATTAAGCTCCACCAAGGCCTGAGGCGGCAGTTTTTAAAGTTTGAGCCAAGGTAGTTGCTAACATTAAAAATGAGATTCGTTACTGAGGTTATAATATTATTAAAATATTAGTTATAACTTTTGAAATTTGTCGTACAAAATGCTTTGACAGCAGAAACGTCACCGGAAACCAACTGTACATACACCTATTTTCAAGGTTAATATTTCCTCATGATGGGGTGTTTACATCGAAACTAGCGTAAGATCTTTTGCTAGATATTTTTTCTTAAGCCAAAGTCGTTTGATATTGGTAATGTAACTTTATATGCCCATAAATGACGTCACGTGGATACAATATATTAAGCAAGACATAACCGAAAACTTACAAGGATTTAACGTACATTGTAGGCCTACGTTTAAAAAATAAGATCAGGGCCTATTTAAAATGGCGTGGGCCTAATTAATTTCGGGTGAGGGCCTATGTTGATTCCCGTTGGGCCTAAACCCCACCCCCCTAACATTCATTGTCTATGCGTTTTTAATCGTATCAGACAAGTCTAAAACAATTTTTTTTACAAAATCTTTGGGCCTGAGGCTGCAGCCTCATCAGCCTCACTGATAATCCGCTACTGTATAGGTTCTCCAAGCTGATCTCTTATGATTTATACAACATAAATTTGTCTTTTTATCTGAATTAGTTACTATGGATGTGTTGACATAAACATATAATTATTGAAGAATTAAGACATTTAAAATAAGAAAGAAACACAGAACTATCACTTAATTGACTGACATAAATGGCTGTCTGTCTCTAATGGCAATCTGATTAAAAGATCTATATTACGTTTCGTTTTTTTTTTGTTTCGATCACCTACACTACATGAAGATCTGACAAGTTATAGCGATAGGTCACGTCAGGGGCCAAAAGACCGACTTATGACCCTTTTGACGTCAGACATTTGATTAACAAATCAGCATTGATGTTACTAGTGGATTACACACAGTTCCATGAAAAAGATGCCTAAAGCTCGCCGTAACAGACCGTTTCATTGGCTTATCCCTGACACCATTCAGAACATGAGTTAAATAACAACTCTTCCAGATCCTAGTGTAGTAAAGACAAGTAAAACGAAATTTTGAACTATAAAAACGAAACGAAATAGGATCTGAGTTTTAACCAGATTGTCTCTAATGGCTAACCAATCATTAATGAATAGCAAAACATAAATTTGACATGAATATATATATAATTTTTTTATATGGCCTAATATATTTTTTGTTTATTTGGCCTAGTATATATATTTGTTTTATATGGCCTAATATATACATTTGTTTTATATTAGGACATATGAAAAAATGTATAAAGTTATATTTTAATATGGACTAATATATATATTTTTTATATGGCCTAATATATTTTTTTATGGCCTAATATATATATATATATATAATTATATGGCCTTTTTTATATGGCCTAATATACATGTTATTTCTTTTTTTATATGGCCTAATATACATGTAATTTCTTTTTTTATACATATATATATATTTTTATATAGCCTTTTTTTAGACGGCCTAATGTATTTTTATTTATTCGGGCTAATATATTTTTTTTTGTTTGGTCTAATATATTTTTTTTATGGCCTAAGATATATATAATTTTATATGGCCTTTTTTTTGTTATGACCTAATATAATTTTATATGGCCTAATATACATGTAAATTCTTTTTTTGTTACGGCCTAATATAATTTCTTTTTTTATATGGCCTAATATACATGTAATTTCTTTTTTTATATGGCCTAATATATATATATATTTTTATATGGCCTTTTTTAGACGGCCTAATGTAAATTATTTTTATGGCATAATATATTTTTTTTATGGCCTAATATATATATATACTTTATATGGCCTTTTTTATATAAGGCCTAATATATATTTTTTTTATATTAGGCCTTATATGTATTTTTTTTTATTTTAGGCCTAATATATATATTTTTTCATATTAGGCCTAATATATATATTTTTTATATTAGGCCTAATATATATTTTTTTTATATTAGGCTTAACATATTTTTTTATGGCTTTTATATATATTTTTTTTTTATTAATATTAGCCACTTCTGCAAGTTAACATCTTACTGTTCACATCATCACTATTATTCTTCCTCTTGTATCCTGTAATAAAAAACAGCAGTTGCCATGCAAGATAAGCCCAAATTTTGCTACAGATGAACAGAGAAGAAGCTAAATAAGCATTCTTTCGTCCAATCAGGAGCCATGATATAGGATGTTACCGTCCGACATGCAACAATATCAAAAGGAACCAAGATCTTTGGGAAACATATCTTTTAAGTTTTATCAAAATCAGATAAAAATTGTGACCTCTAGAGGCTCCACAAGCTAAAAATGTCATTTCCCCTACAATCAGGGGCTATAATCCAGGATGTTACAGCCCAATAACCAAAGGAACTGAGATCTTTTGGTCATAAACATGCATTGTCAAGTTTCATCAAAATTGGATTAAAATTGTGAGCTCATTACATACTTTTTTTTACACTGAGGAGGTGTCGAGTAATTAACAGACTAGTTAATTAATTAACACTGCTCTAGAAACTAAATAGTTATAAACCCAACACTCATTATCTAATCTAGACAGACCCTTTAAACTAAGCCACAGTAGAAACCCAATGGTTTTCTATGATTCTCAACAGATTTGATCAGTTTTCCAACAATGACTTGAAACTAACCATTAAATACAGAAATATGATACCGGAGATGTACAGTGGTGATAAATGATGCTGGATAATTTAGTCCCTTGCATCAGATTTTTTTGGAGAACTGGGGGGGCGGTGGTGGTTGGTGCCCAAAAAATGTAGTTAGGTTCTTAGTATGTTACATAATAATAATAAATTCGCTGTTAAATTGGACACATTCAAGAAGACAAATATTTTTTTATACAACTTTTACAAAGTACAATTGTGTGCCCAAATTTTCCCAGCATTTGGTGCCCAAAATGGGGGGGCAGCTGCCCCCCCCCCCCAACTCGTACGCCTATGGGTGCAGCCCCTCTGCACTTACTATTATATATGTTGATCTAATTGTTAACGGTTGTGAGGCCACTGAAAGAATTACACATTCAGTAGACTTTGCAATTAAATTCTACTTACTAATTTTCCTTCTGGAGACAAATGCTAAAATTCTTTTTCTTATTATTATTATTATTATTATTATTAATAATAATAACACAGGTACCGTTACTATGATCCATGTTGATGTACTTTTATGCTGTACTTCTCTGTTTTCTGTAAAACGAAATGAAATGAAATGGAGTTTAACGTCCTACTGTTCTGCTCCTAACCTGGGCTAATGAAGACGGGCATACGCCATACAGTGTGCTATGAGGGAAATTTTGCCCGGACAGCGGCACTACGGCCTACTCTTATATCGAATTCCAACTACCAAGGGATCTTTTACGTGCACGCCAATGTGTACACGTGACCTCAGTTTTTCGTCCCATCCGAAAGACTAGACAGCTTTCCTTGTCAGCCTCTCCGTCCTGCATCACTGACAAGGGAGAACAACGCCGGAAAATCTGGATGAACTTTCTCGGTCAATGCAGGGATCGAACACCCAACCTCCAGGCTAGCGAGCTAGCGTCTTACCCACTTAGCCACGTGATCCCCTTCTGTAAAACGAAGAATCAGGTTTACCATAAAACAATTAATAGGGTTTATCATAAAACAATTTATTATAGTAATTTAGATCTTACCCATTGTCGTTGTCTTGATTTCGTTGTTCGTGGTTGGCCTGGTTGTTGAATCAACTATACTTTCATCTGCCCATCAAAATAAAAATTTACAAAGTTTACTATAGTTTTAAATCTGAATCTGGGGAGATTTCTACAGTTTTAAATCTGAATATCGGAGATTTTTACAGTGCTACATGGCATCAACTATATTAAATCTACACTGATTATCCAAAATTTTGCAACAGATGGACAAACTAAAAAATAGGGGCCATAATCCAGGAAGCTACGGCCCAATGTGCGCGAATATAGAAAGGAACCAAGATTTTTGGGATATATAAACATACATTTTAAGTTTCATCTAAATTGTGACTTCTGGAGTGTCCACGAGCTAAAAACGTGATTTTTCGTACAATCAGGGGCCATAATCCATGAATAGGGTTTAGCATAAAACAATCACCAACATGCTCGGGACTATTCTTTGTTTGAATACGCTCCCAGGTGATACTTGTGGACGAGCTATGAGTTTGGGCAGGGGTGGGTGTAGCTCATTACTCATGGGTAGTATTCTGGTGAAGGTGGTGACTGTGCATTAAAAGTCCCAATCGACATCCATTTCAATATTCCTTTATACAGTTAAATATACATTATATACAAGATCATATCAAGAGCTAATAAATCTCATCTCATGTCCTGTGTCCCACTTGTCTGTGTAGGGGTCTTTTAAAGAAACTAATTTGCACACAAACAAAAGGACAATCATTTCAACAAATTAGATTAAAGATAAAATTATGGATAAAAATATTTTGTAACGAATCCAATGAAAGAAGTTAAATTTATATATAAATTTCATTGGTTAAAGTTTCATAATAAAATATAATTAATAGAATCAGTTAATAAGCTTTAAGCCATAAATAAAGTAAAAGCGTTAACACTTGATTGGCACTGATCTGTCTGTATTGTTAATTCTATAACCTTTGCTCGAGGTGTCTTTTAATAAGCCTATAGACACCCAAAGATTATAACAGTACTGTCAAGACCATTCTTGCTTAAGGCAATCACTTTAAATCAAAATATTAAAATTTAAATCAATGACAGACAGTCTGATAATCTTAATGTCAGCCATATTGTCTGTATATGTGAATATAGAGTTAAGAAAAATATTATGTATTTTATCATTTCAGTGATAAATGCCCCTATCACCGAAGTTGAACAAGGTTGACTTTGTCAAACCAAGTGCGATTTCTCCATTGTCAATAAGAAGTAGCAGCACATGCATGATTCATCACCAGATAAGACTTCAAGGTATCCAGAAAAAAAAAATGTGCTAGATCAATAAGATGAACGTGGTGGACCTTACAATAGTATCATTATCCTTGATCCAGTCAACATTAAATGTTCCAGAATTACTAAAGAATATAAGCGTGTCCCTGATTAAATTTGTGTGTGATCCAGATAAAGATTTGTGAATATAAAAGTGATGGAATTATATAGTAGTGTGTTACTGCAGAAATTATAATTTTGAGGTAAATGAAATGAAATGGGTTTGAAGTTCCTACTTTTCTGCACCGACCAGGCTAACAGGTTCACAAGTTTCTACAAAGTGAAACAAGGGCCATAACTCAAGAAGTTATCAACGGAAATTGCTGAAATTCCATAGTTTTAATAATTTATATAATGTATATAACATGAATGTAAAGTGGATGATAACGTTTGTCGATAAAGTGTTCACAAGTTTCAATAAAGTGAAACAAGAGCCATAAGTCTAGATGTTATTAATGAAAACTAATTAAATTCAATAGGCTTCTTCTATAAAGATTATAATGACACATGTTATGTTATTTTACAAGCAGATATACGAAGTAGTATTCCTATATTTCATGTTTCGGTCAGTCATCCAAGAAATCATTACATTTTGATATACTACCTGAACAAGATGTCTTTCCTGTAACGTGTAAACCTGGACTAAGAATATACGCGTCCCTACCAAAATCCAATGTTGTCATATAATCAGTGAGATCCTCACTGGTTAGGTTTCTAATGGTTAGTAATATCCTCCATATTGTACCATTACTTGTCAAGTTGAAATCAAATCTAGGCCAACCGGCATGTTCAATCCTTCCATTGCTCCATTTAACCAATCCCCTTGTCTGAAAGCATGACATTTTTATTGCATTGGTTTTGTCATCTACCTAGAACTTTATTTTGTATTCTGAATCATCCCAGGCCAAAATAAAAACTTAACATTGCCCGGCAACAAATATATGCCCACAAGTACAATTCTGATTGATGATTTTCAAGTTTTCAGGGTCAGGGATAATAACTTGATGGATGGCCATCTACGAATTCTATATATTGTAAGACTAGCTGAACTATCCTGACAAGTTTTAAAAACAAGAGTAAGTGCAGGGGAACAAGACAAACCCGTGGACAAGACAAACCCATGGACAAGACAAATTACACAGACATTACATGCTGTAAACACTCCACATTCCAGCATTATTCCAAATGACAGCTTTTTTAATTTCTATTTAACTCAAATTGACATATTGTCTACTGTGGTGGCAGTCGGCATACATGAAAATAAATCGGTGCCATCCTTAGTGTACAGTTATTTACCATGGCAAGTTTCAATAAAAATCTGAGGAACTGCAACCTCTTACATCAAACATTTATCCCAAATGTGGGTGTGGCAAACGCCCCTGCGAGTCGGGCATGCTCCAAATTCAATAGCATACTAAACTTGTGCTGTCTGTCTATAATTAGCTCCGCTTGAGAACAGACACTAATAAGCTGGTTCACCGACATTTGAACTCGTTTAGTGAAGGTTTAATTAGTCTTTTTGTATAACAGATATGAACCGGCGTAGGACCGCATTACAAAACAGCGTACAAATTGTTGGATATGGCTGCCATTTAGGGCAGAGATCTAGTCTCGAAATATGAAGTAGATGGAATCTCTGTGTGCAGAATGAATCGGGGGGTTTGATGGCCGAATGGTTAGCATGTGCACGCTGTATCATAAAGTCTGTCATTGAGTCAACTGGTGTGGTTTCGAATCCCCGGTTGTACGTGACAAGGAGTAGGTTGCCTGTCCAACCTCATGGGTTTTCTCCGGGTCCTCCGGTTTCCTCCCACTGCTAAAGACCCCTACACGCAAGCGAATTATTGAAATAAAATTAAACCATGTGTTAGTCCCGAAATGACCTAGTTTGTGTGAGTGGACGTTAAACCCCATTTCTCTCTCTCTCTCTCTCTCTCGCTCTCTCTCTCTCTCTCTCTCTCTCAGAATGAATCAGTAGGGGGTGACCTTATGATAGAATAAAATATAAAGAATCTGTAATGACCAGAGTTCTCCTTTATTGTCAGTCTATAAAAATAAAACAAACCTTGTCTTTAAATGCCAGAACTTCATCTGGAACCTGAGGTGTCTTGAATTTCCATTCCAAATTTAAATCTTCACCAACACAACCCGGAACATCTTTCTTCTCAATGATCCAACTGAATTCTTAATTGAAACAATACAAATACATATACTTGACCTGTCTCAGTCATCTACTTTATAAATCAGACATGGAGCAGCAGTGGCTCAGTTTTTAGAATTTACAAAGTAAAAAGCATGCCACATTTTCAATGTGCTTCATAAATTATAAAATTTAAAATAATATTGTTATATAATCTTTAACAGACATATAGAAGTAGATTTCAAAAATTAAAAACACTTATATGGATATACTACTTCTGAATTTATTAACATGCTATGTTTCGTTACAGATATCGTTATCAAGCAAAAAATGATATTTAACATCTGTGTGAAAAAGCTTTATTTAACATCCGCTTCCACCAAGGTGATATCGCAGACAATGATATTTTAAAAAATGTGGTGCAATATATAGATAACAATTGGAAACCATATAACAGATTAATCATTAATTAAGAATTAACAAGATGAGAGAAGTAATAATTTGGATAAATATTACAAAGGATTAACAACATGTAAGAAGTAATATATTGATAACAATTACAAAAAATTAACAAGATGGAAGAATGTAATGTATTGATAACGATTAGAAAACGAGATGAATTTAGCAGATCAAACAGTGAGAGGAGACAGTAGGGCAGTCATACCTGACCACAATGCTAAGTTTATGATACCATTTCAATCTTGAACCCAAAATGTTAAAGTTCATAAATAAATATATAAATCTTACCCGAAACTGACAGTTTTCTGTCAATAGATTGTTGGAAATTATTTACATAACATTTGTAGATTCCTGCATCTTCTAACGATACCTGGTTGATAACTAAAGATATTTTCGTGTGCGATCCAGCAGTTTCATTAGTTATGCGATGTTTGGTGGAGGGATCAATTATCTGAAAAAAATACAATACCATTATTTAGTTAAGAGAGAACGAAACATACACCAACCATGCCTGAGTTAAGAGAACGAAACATACACCAACCAAGAAAGAGAGAAAGATACGCCAACGATGTTTACATATAGTCAAGTGAATAATTCTATTTGTAATGTTGCAAAGACCCCGAGTAAATGTCGGTAGGTAAATATATCCACATTTAGCAATCAGACTGTAGATGGCATGAATAGAAAATAGATAGAGAAATGGGGTTTGACATCCACCTAAAAGAAATTAGGTCAGATTGGCACTTTCACATGGTACAATTTTATTTCAATATTTTGCTTGTGTGTAGGGGTCCTTAGTTGTGGGAGAAAACCCAATAGGTTGGGTACACCAAATCCATCTCAAAACATTGTACTCGGGAGTAAATACTCCAAGCTATAAAAAATGTATTCAAACTAGCAAAGGGGGCGAAGGCGGAGGAGAATTCATTGGATATAAAATGATGTTGTCTTTAATCACTGTACATTTATCATAAATATTCAAGCCTAAGTAAATTCTACGGTGGCCTTGAAATTTACCTAATATGAGCAATCGCAGTGAAAAGTGTCATAAATAAAAAAAACATTCAAAACCTTTCCACCGCGTAGAAAAGGTTTACACCGTGGTGTAAATATTTTCTCCGCGGTGTAAATATTTTCTCCACAGTGGAAAGCTTTTCTCCACAGTGGAAAGCTTTTCTCCGCAGTGGAAACCTTTATCTGCGGTGTAAACATTTTCATTGAAAATCAATATAGGCCTACTTGTTCGTCTCAAGACCTTAAACACTGTGTATAAATTTAAAGTCAATTGGATATTAACTTTAGCCTATACAGAGTCCATAAGCAATTGGGTGCGCCGGACAGCCGGACGGGGGCAACACAAAGGGTCATAACTCAGGCAGTAATTATTGGAAATTGTTGAAAATAAAGAGGCTTCTTCATCTCATGACCTTAGATATTGTGTATAAATTTAAAGTCAATCAGAGTGTTCACTTTATCCTCGAGAGCATCCATAAGATTTTTCAAAGTGATCAAGGGCCATAACACTGGCAGTAATTATTGAAAATCGTTGAAAATATATAGGCTTCTTCTTTTCATGAACTCAAACACTATGTATAAATCTAAAGTCAATCGGATGTTAACTTTATCCTCAAGAGCATCCACAAGGTTTTTAAAAATGATCAAGGGCCATAACACTGGCAGTAATTATTGAAAATCGTTGAAAATAAATAGGCTTCTTCGTTTCATGAACTTAAACACTGTTTATAAATTTAAGGTCAATCTGGTGTTAAATTTATCCTCTAGAGCATCCACAAGATTTTTCAAAGTGATCAAGGGCCATAACTCTGGCAGTAATTTTTGAAAATTGTTGAAAATAAATAGGATTCTTCATCTGGAGAAACTAAAACACTGTGTATAAATTTAAAGTCTGATATTGACTTTAGCCTCTAGAGCGTCCATATTTCAACCATATTTCAATGTGGGCGTATAAAAATGGAAATGAAATGAAATGAAATGAAATGGGGTTTAACGTCCTACTGTTCTGCTCCTATACTGGGCTAATGAAGACGGGCATACGCCATACAGTGTGCTATGAGGGAAATTTTGCCTGGGCAGCGGCACTATCGCCTACTCTTATATCAAATTCCAACTGCCAAGGGATCTTTTACGTGCATTCCAGTGTATACATGGGACCTCGGTTTTTCGTCTCATCCGAAGGACTAAACAGCTGTCCTTGTCAGGCCCTCCGTTATGCACCACTGACAAGGGGAAACCACGTCGGAAAATCTGGATGAACTTTCTCGGCCAATGCACGGATCGAACACCCAACCTCCAGGCTAGCGAGCCAGCGTCTTACCCACCTAGCCACCCATATAAAAATGGATGATCAAGACTTTTGTTTATTATCTTTACAATGCTAGTAACAATCTGATTATAATACAGATCTATATTTTGTTTACCAACCTCGTGGGTTTTCTCCGGGTCCTCCGGTTTCCTCCCACTGCTAAAGACCCCTACGCGCAAGCGAATTATGTAAATAAAATTAAACCATATGTTAGTCCCGAAATGACCTAGTTTGTGTCGAGTGGACGTTAAACCCCATTTCTCTCTCTCTCTATATATTTTGTTTAACTTTTTTATACTTTCGATGACCTACACTACATGAAAATCTGACCGGTTGATGTGATAGGTTGCGTCAGAGGTCATACAAGCGGCTTTTGACCCTATGACGTCAGACATTCGATTAACCAATCAGCATTGATGTTACTAGTGGATTACCCACAGTTCTGTTCAAAACACGCCTAAAGCTCACCGTAATAGACCGTTTCATTGGCTAATACCTCACACTATTCAGAAGACATCAATGATAACAACTCTTCCAGATCCTAGTGTAGTAAAGACAAGTAAAATGAAATTTTGAACTATAAAAATATAAAAAATGAAACGAAATAGGATCTGTGTTTTAATCAGACTACGCGAATTTTATCATACATTCATTGGCTATTTTTAAACTATTAGAACAAGAACGCCCACCTCTTTATCAAATTCTTGCATCTTTAAAAAAAAATAATTATTACTTTTACCTTTTTCAAAAACTTTATATTAAAAGATGTTACATTATTAACATCAAATAAAAACCAAATAACCACGGTACTGCCTTCCACCGATGGTATCACAGAATTATCAGTTGAAGTTTCTGGTACTAGAAAGACAAAAAATAAAATGGGGCTAACAGGGCACAGTCCAAACCTTGATTCTCATATCAATAAACTATTTGGTACTAATTTGTACCAATAGATATTAAACCCCTTGGGTGCCATGTTGAATTACACAGTTTAAAAACCTAACTACTTTATGGAATCAACAACAAATCTAAACTTGGGCACTCCAACTATTTTTATTTTTGTTATAAATTATATTGTCATTTGGGGCAGGGGAATGTCATAATGTCTGTTTTGGGGACATGGGGATAGGGGCTCCCGGGGGGGTAGTCTGTCACTGAGGTGAGTAGGAAGCTGTATAAATGGATGATCTCATCTGAGAGATAAAGTTTGTATTTCTGAATTTAACATCAGATAATGATGATAGCACATGAGAATGATGTTTGGACGTTTGTGTAATTCTCTTGAGGTTTGGATGCCATCACACAAACATAATGAGACTGGCATTGTCGTTTACGATAGGCCATGGCCTTGATAGCAATAAAAACTAAAAACCTCCCTCCTGCATAAGATATTTGATAAGGATTGTCTGGGGGATTTCTACAGTTTTAAATCTGAACCTTGGAAGATTTCTACAGTGCTACATCCTTTATCCAATCTAGCCTACATTTTGTCTGTGTATCATAAATTTGTTCCAACTTGCCACAGCTCAATATAGACATAGAATATTTTAACTAAAAAATGACCTAGTTTTGAGGTCCTACTTTTCGGGCACCATGGGATCTTTTACATGCATTACAGTGTATATATCAGTCTGCTCATGGGACATCAAATTTGTTCATCCCATCCAAAGGGCTTTACACTTTTCCTTGCCTTGGCTCTATCCTACAATGCTAACAAGGCATTATCTCTCTTATCAAGAATATAAACGTAAATAATTTTGAATAATTTCACTTAATTAATGAAAACCAAAGCATCATCTGTGATGATTTAATTAAAATATTAAAATATTTTGCACACAGTCTTATTGTTCGACCCCTGCTTTCCAGCATGGTTCCTCCTTGTCAGTGGTACAGGACAAAGGGCCTGGCAAGAAAAAACGTATAGTCTATCGGGTGGGAAGAAAAACCCTGAGGTTCTGTGTACACATTGGCGTGTATGTAAGAGATCCTTTGGTGGTTGGAATTCGATATAAGCACAAGAGCTTAAAATATCAAATACAGTCACATTAACATCCTTGAACGTGTTGCACAGTCAAAAGAGTATGTAGATAAAATCATAAACATGGTCACGTTAACATACTCAAATATATTGCACAGTCAAAACTAATCCAAAGCACCAATAGCCCCCTCCATCCACCCCCTCCCTTCTCTATAAATACAAAGATGATAAGCTTACCTTGTTGTGGTGGAATATATATACGACCATTAGGAACATTAGGAACATCAATCCTAACTACAATTCTACCTTGAAGTGTTATGTTGTTCACAGTCATATTCATTTTACCATTCTTAAGATCAACTTCAATCTGTATTCCTTCTTTAAATTGTGGATTATAGGCCTGATTTCCTCTTTCATCATACAACTTCCACACATTTATTGGCTTTAATTAAAACAATTAAATATATTTAGATGATCAGTGCACATCACCAATCGCAGGCTCATATACAGACGTCCTGACAAACGGATACCAGCTGGGGGGGTTGGATGGCTGAATGGTTGCAGAGAGACATGGGGTTTAACATCCACTTGACACAAACCATGTCATTTCGAGACTAACTCGACACATACTAGGTCATTTCAGGACTAACATATGGTTCAATTTTATTTCAATAATTCATTTGCACGTAGGGGTCTTTAGCAGTGGGAGGAAACCGGACGAATGGTTGCATCATAAGATCTGTCATTGAGTCAAGTGGTGTGGTTTCGATTCCCCGATTGTACGTGACAAGGAGTAGGACGTCGCCCATCCAACCACGTGGGTTTTCTCCGGGTGTCTCCCGGTTTCCTTCCACTGCTAAAAGACCCCTACCCGTAAGTGAATAAGTGAAATAAATAAAATTGAACCATATGTTATTCTCGAAATGACCTAGTTTGTGCCCAGTGGTTAACCCCTCTCTCTCTCTCTCTCTCTCTCTCTCTCTCTCTCAATGATACCAGCTGTAGAAGCTACTTGTTAGTCTTTTTACGTGTCATAAAACCAAAATTTTAAAGAATTTTACAAAATAACACCATAAATACAGTTTAAGGGAGCTAAATCGCTAATATTTGGGACCTACAAATTGACACAAATGGGTTTCAATGCATATAATAATGTAATATGAATGTATATAAACTGATTTACATTCAATCGTTTCTGATTTTACTGTAACTTCTAATCGGTTATATTCGACGAAATATGCCAGAAGTCTCAATCGAATGGCAATCTCTAACGTCTGGTTATTCCAGTCTACATCAATAGTATTTATTGTGCATGTCTTCAGATAAGAAAATGGCATCACTGTTTGACATGACTTGTAGAATATGTACAGCCTCATTCTTCGAGTATCTTGTTACAAATGGCGCTAAAACGCATCATGGTACACAATTCTTTTACCAATGGTAAAATGTTTATTTTGTCTTAAATATTGGATATGAGAAGCCCATCTTTTCCCTGTAAGATCACAACATCAATGTTGATTTAAATTATCAAATAATTCGTGTTTTCAATGTCGAAGACTTTCGATGATATTGTGTTCGAGACTTAGCTACTTTAAATAATAATAATAATAATTAATAGTAAAATGAATATTTGTATTATACGCATTCCATCTAAACAGGATACTCATGATACAGGTTTGTATCACTCTTTATCACGTGGCTAAGTGGGTAAGACGCTAGCTTGCTAGCCTGGAGGTCGGGTGTTCGATCCCTGCATTGGCCGAGAAAGTTCATCCAGATTTTCCGGCGTGGTTCCCCCTTGTCAGTGATGCAGGACGGAGGGCCTGACAAGGATAGCTGTCTAGTCCTTCGGATGAGACGAAAAACCGAGGTCCCGTGTATACATTGGAATGCACGTAAAAGATCCCTTGGCAGTTGGAATTAGATATAAGAGTAGGCCGTAGTGCCGCTGTCCGGGCAAAATTTCCCTCATAGCACACTGTATGGCGTATGCCCGTCTTCATTAGCCCAGGTTAGGAGCAGAACAGTAGGATGTTAAACTCCATTTCATTTCATTTCATTTCATTTCTCTTTATAATAGGATTCAAACACATGAGATTTTAGTTTGGATTTGAAGTTTTCAACCATTGTGAAATTTTGAGATGCATACGTTTGGCACAATGTGGGAAAAACCTTGAAACCAAAAGGATTTAAGTTTATAAATTAGTACTATTAGAAGGTGCATTTGGGGATATATTCAGATAGCAAAATATTTTCCGACTGTTCCATTTAAACATTCATGGGCAATACACAAGAATTCAAAATGGATTCTATGGGCTCATTCAAGACAGTTTCTGTCTGATCTGCAGACGATCCTTGCTGTCGGTCGCCAAAATCGCAATTTGCAATAAAAATATGAAAGTGAGATTATTCTGCTGATACTGTTTTGAGGGTACTGGTGATTCTTTTTGAGAACTGGTAGAAAAAATCTAAAGATTCTAATCTCATTCCGTTCTACTCCAGTATACCCTGGGTTCATCCATGGGGTATTCACGTTATCAAATTAACTTTGTGCTGTTTTTACGTTTTCGTGACCCTACCGTCTTGCCATAGATTATAACTTGTAGTCGTCAAATAAGACACTTGTTACTAGAACTAAGGCACCTTACGGTAACCAAGCTGACGCTACGCTTGTGTTTTCTTTATCTTAAACCTACCACTATTTTGTGTACTTCGGTAATGGACATTTATTAAGTTTATCATTTCATTCCATATAATTTACTGACACTTATTTCGCATTTGCATTTGGTTTGAGCGTCACAGCGAGTGTCGGTGCTGTCTTATATCTGAGAGACTGGACAATGAGATCTATGAACTGGTTAGAACCCGCCATTGTTTCCAACATGGGTTGATATTTGTTTTGTTCGTCATAATTTTGTATGTGAAACTTCACAGTGTTTTTACCACTTTGCCCATTAAATTAACATCGTTCCAGGACATCGTCGTTCTATGATTTATTTGTGGGAGTGCGTTAAGCTGATCTGACGCGTCCGGTTTGTTGACATCTTCGACTTTGCTGCGGGTAAGGCCTCAACGGTACTGTCAGAGTTAAAGAGTCGTCTGCAAGCCGACAAAACAGTACAGTAAAAAACACTAAAGTTATTCATAGTAATTGTTATGAACACTTCGCAACACGCGAATTAGTTGTTGATCTTTATTTGTGGTAAAATTATTAGTTTCTTCAAAATGTTTCAAGACGAAGTTTTAAAAGTATGGAAGCCCATCAAGGCGACAATGAAACTCCAATTGCGCAAAATTCATCCAGAAACCGAACGCCATCTGTGAAATTCCTTGAAAACGCTATAATGGAGAAAACTAAGAAGTTTTGGAAGTCTCATAAAGAACTTAAACACCACGAAGCCACAGAGATTCAAGAGTTATTCACCCGTGATAAATCGGAATCTGGACAAGCTGAAGCTCTTGAAATTTCGTCTAGAACAGTGGAATGGTTAAAGATATCAGATAGTGCACTGGCTAATAGCATTCCACCACCTATCCCTTGTAAGGAAGGCACCCAAGAGCACCCCTGTGACGATAAAAAATCTGCTCATTTGTCAAAAGCTTCTACTACATCAAGTTGTGCCAGGCGACTGGAAGCTAAGGTACGAGCTGCTGAGCAGAAAACAAAATTTGAATTTGATCAACAGATTCGACAGTTTCAGTTAACCCAAAAGTTGAGAGAAGCTGACCTCGAACGCCAGAAACTACTAGATGCTTCCAAATTAGATGAACTTAAAAGTAAACGAGACCTCGCAATGGCTGAAGCAGCAGTAAAGGCCTACAGTGGGGGATCAGACATTGGCTCTGTTGATGATTTGGCATCACAGCTTGATCGCTCTAAAGCAACCCAGGACTGGATAAACGACGTGAAACCAGTTTTTGATACTCAACCTAACAGAATGATTTGCTGGTAACGACCCACTGTTTCGACCATTTGATCAAGCAACATCACATCAACATAATGCAACTTTCGCACTCAATGAAACCCTGTTTCGACATCTTGATATGCAAAATGAAACAAGTGCTAAGCTTATGTCTTCGTTGGCAAAACAGTCACTACCTAAGTGCGAACCGGATGTTTTCGCTGGAGACCCTCCTATATTTTTGCCTTGGAAAGTGGCTTTTAAATCAATGATTGCTGATGTCGATGCTTCACCAGACCAGGAAATGACATACCTTCTTCGCTACACATCTGGAAAACCAAAGGATCTTGTCAACACCTTTCGTAGACGTGTACATCCCGACGCTCATGTGAAAGTCACCAACCTTTGGAAAGCTATGGAAGAACGTTTCGGTCATAGTGCAGAAATTACAAACGCCCTCCTGAACAACTTGCAGAAAGCTGCCAATTTCCGAAGCGACGACCGACAAGGGTATCAGAACTTTTATGATGTTTGTGAAGACGTTGGTTCACAAATTCCGTTTTTGAACGGTCTGTCCATTCATCATACTACATGAAGTCATTGATTGAGAAAATCCCTAAAATGGTACGTGACAAATGGGAAAACAAAGTTACCAAACACATGATGTCAAGACAATCTGATGATTATCCTCCATTTTCTTCCTTTGTTGAACTCATGCATAACATTGCTTTGAAACAAAACCATCCAGCTATCATCAAAATGCCTGGAGTTGACTACGAATCTACTTCGAAACTACACAATCTCCAAACCCTCGTAATTTGAACTTCTATTCGAACAAAGCAGGACATACCAAGTCATTGAAAACGGATATCAAAACTTCTGAAGACATTAATCCGGAAGAAGACGTGTTATGCCCTATTCATCCTGAAAGTAAAGATCGTCACACTTTGCTTACTTGTCGTGTATTTGCAGATAAGGAACCCAGAGAGCGGGAACTGATTGTCAGAAATGCTAGCATTTGTTTTCGATGCCTCACCAAAAAACGTTACTCTACAAGATGCAAATCAGATGTCAAATGCGATAGCTGCCGACGTAGACATCCAACACTTTTGCATTACAGCGCATCTAACTCGTCACATAACCCTTCTCGGTCAACTGGAGAGAACGTTGGAACAGCTTGCATGAAGATATGTGGATCACCAGGCATCAAAGGGAGAACCTGTGGAAAGTTCTCACTCATTGACATTCTCCGTGGAGACGACTTTAGCGTAGTATTCCGAACGTATGCCACTCTCGACGACCAATCTAGTCATAGTTTGGGTAGTGGATCTCTTTTCGATGACCTTGGCATCACAGGAGATAGGCACCAGTACACACTTGAGACCTGTCATGGCAAAGAAACTTGTCTGGGACGACGAGGCACGAACTTATATGCCCGTACTTTGGATGGCAAAACATTCAAGCTCCCGACAATCATCGAATCCGATAATATACCGGAAGACAAATCTGAAATTCCTACAAAGGAAGCTATACAGCAAAT